ATAACCCCTAAAAGAATCCCGACATTCGCTGATGTCTGACATTCGCCGAGCTCTCGGAATTCGGATTAATACATGTTCCTCTGGGCCAAGAGGCGCTAAAAATTAGCGGTCCCATTCTAACATTCGATCAGCTGTCGGTCGCAAGGGACCGTTGAATGGCATAGGTAGACGGCGGTGAGGATTCATGATTATAGGTAGGATTCTCATTAGTTAGGCGCTAAATGTCTATATAGAGGTCGAGGCGAAGAGTTATTGCAAAGGGACAATTATTGGCAAGTGTAGTTGTCCGTCGTTTCTTCTCTAAGTCCTGTGGTATATATATACAGCCACGGTCGCAGCAGAGATAGACAGCCTTTTTCACCCCTTTCTTAGTGTTTTTTGAACGCTTAGAGGTGACTGCATATCCATGCGGGCGTGCAAAGGTATTAATCGAGACAATCGCTTCCTCCGAGGTAGGGTACGTCTGGTCTATTGGCGGAAGCGGGAACGTAAAGCTTGGTGTGGACTCGGTACTTGGCAGCTGGGTGCTTGGCGGCTCAGTGCTTGGCGGCTCAGTGCTTGGCTCGGTGATTGGCTTGGCTCGGTGATTGGCTTGGTGATTGGCTCGGTGGGTGGAGACTCGGGGACGATCTCTGTCTCGGAATCCGAGGATAGCAGGTATTCGAGGTATTCAAGGCCTAGTGAGGCCATATTGAGGATGAAAACTGATAAAAACAGATGAAATTGGAGGGATTTGGATGAAAATGAATGTCAAAAATGAGGTGGAAGAAGGCAAGTTAATGTATGTAAACCAGAATTGAAGTATCAATTTGTTTGATCTTGTCTATATGGAGTGCAATATAACGAAAGTGACTTAATTTTGTTAGGGGTTTACATACAAATTGCAGGTACCTACTGTGTCACTATAATTGTATGGAGACTTTGTCACGAAGGCGGTGTATGAAATTAGAAGGCGGTGTGGAATGCGGTAGACAGGCACAGGTGTCGAAGCAAAAGCGGTACCCAATTAGGAATGCATACCTTAATTTTCAGGCAGGGGGTATCAGATTAGCCAAAGGGGTGTCGGATTAGCCAAAGGGGGTGTGAGTATATCAATCCCCTTGTTAAATTCTCAGAGTACTTGTGAATACCAACCGCACGCTATCTTTTCTGTTGTATGTATAGGCCAATAATTATTTGACCCAAAATTTTGCGGTCACTTACCACTCCTGCTTCCGTTTACTATGAACAGGACATTTATTATGAATAGGATGACACTTGGTTTTGATCAGACCTTTTTATTTTGTTGACGGTACAGGCCATCATCGTGGTTGTTCAACCTTCAGCGGATCGAGGATTAGTTAGGCTTCTGTTTATCTCTTTCTATCCCCCCCAATCTACATGCTTAGGAAAATAACGACTTAGAATGGACGGCCGACATGGTTCAAAGCATTCACTCTCTAGCGCATGAAAAGAGGCATATGCTCTTGAAGCCTATGCATAATTCCAATATATATTACATCGGAGTAGCCCTCTGTTCTTTCATATCCCAGGTAGTTACTCAAACAGTTAGTTTCTGGACTCCAAGGTCCACAGACCGCGTACATAGCACCCATTTTGAGTGGTGTCAAGCAAGAGCAGCTCCGCAAGCGGCGAAATAATCTCCTTCGGCGCCATAATGTTTTCTGGCGTTTGTACTCGATTCGGAGTTGGTTGGTTATGGAGATGCCCAATAAGGGAGTTTATACATACAGCTCCCATCCTCATATCCCTGCCCCGACTCGTGAGGAAATAGTAAGATCTGGAAGACGGAAAAGCACAAGGTCCCGAAATTGATATTGCTTTAGAAGAGACGTCCTCAGCCAGCAACTTCTGTCCCGACTAACTATATCATTAAATGACCTTAACCTCGATCATACCCCGAAGCTCATATGAAAGTTTACGGGCAGACCTTGAGAGAAACTCTTAGTGGTCAGCTGTACGGTACCATTCAATAATAGCACCTAAGGCGGAAACAGACCAAGTTGAGGGCCTGCAGTCGAGATTTGAGGCCTCTTCTATGATAGTGATTTGTTCGCGTGATAAAACGCACGAAAAGTTAAAAGGTATACAGAGATGAGTAAAAGAGGAAGGCAGTCGAATTCATTATGACCCATCAATCAAAAGGTCGAAACAACTACGACAGGATTTTATTCCAGTGACTCTAAATAATCAGGACAAATAAGGTATACTTTAGTGAAATAGTCACTAGCTAGTTAGGCAAGTAGCTTAAATTATATCTAAATTACACTAAGCTCTGATTGGCCTGTAATAGTTATAAGTCCCGCCGAGTGCGTTTAGCTCGATTTCAAGATAGCTTTTTGAGCAGATTAACCAAATCGATTAGTATTGCCAACTTGCCTACTGCCTAGGTGTATGATACTTCCAGTTCTAGTTATATACAGATGCCAGGATATCGAGTGTTCTAAGGGAAACAATATGATCCAATGATATTCTGCCGTTAGTTCAGCTAAAGGGGTCAATGCGGTGGTCGCGCGACCTAGGTGATTCTTACCCTGATTCTCACCCTGTCTATAGCGCACTTACCCTTATCACCCCCGGTCGCGCGACCGTAAAGCAGCACTCACCCATTTCTCACCCGGGCGACACCCACCCGACTATCTGCCGCACATAAGCCACACGCCGGTGAGTTAGTAGTTGGGTGGGTGACCACCAGCGAATCCTCACTGTTGTATGTTTTTTTATCTTATTCTTTTTATTTACTCAAACTTTTTGATGGCTTAATCCCCATATCGCCAAGCTTTTATTTATTGATAATTGCTTTAATGCCTTCCCGGTTGCTCTAGGCGGTTGGCCCGGTCACCCATGCATAAAGTGTATAGAACCGAAAAAGGGAGGAATCATAGAAGATGAGGACGCTGGAAATCGTCCGTTGGGCAGAAATGCTAGTGAAAACCGAATATGAGAAATACTAAGCCTAGTAAGAAGGGAACGTAATGCATCAGACTAGCAATCTGGAGGGAGCCTAGGGACCGATAGCAAATCACGGAAGAGCATTACTTCCAAGGTTGGCACAGAACAGAAAGGAGATTAACGAAGGCGTTGATGGTGTGAAGGCAGGGATGGTTTGCAGGTTGTGCGGGACCCTTCACTCGTTCCTTATTTCAGCGCAAACCCCCCCACCCCCCTCAAACATACATTGTTGCAGTGAAAGACTGCGCAGACCTACGTCCGGTCTCCATGTACCATTGATGTGGCCAGCTCGATTGCCGTGGTGGAGCTTTCCTCTATGAATTCTTCTCGATCGGCCGGGTCACTCCAACCCTCTCGCTCATCTTTGATGACTCGGACGAAGAGCATATCCAGGATTACCGCCAACAATGCAATCCCAGCGCCGAAATACAGGGCTGCCCGGAATCCAAGAACTTGATCGGGTCTCTTCTTGTTGACCTCAGTCTCAATAGTGCCGGCAAACCCAAGGCCAAGGCTGTTACCATAGAGGTTTAGGGTCGCGATAAGGGAAGCAGCGATTCCTTGTTGCCGCCGCTTGACACTGTTACTTGCGACAATCTGGGCTGCCACATAGACAAAATCAGGGCAGAACGCCATGAATATCGTGGCCGGAAAAACCTGCGCCCAATACATCTGTTGTACTGGCATAGTTGCTAGAAGGATGTTGGCAATCAAGATGGTGGCGGAGCCAATCGCTAGTATCCACTGAGCTGCAAGCCGGGGTATGAGCCATGCTGCAATGAAAGTGCCCGCTGTTGCCACGATCACGAAAGGCGTCCACTCAATTCCAAATTGCAGTATAGTCTTTCCTCGCAACAGCTGCATCCAAGCGACCATGTACCATAGAAAGATCCCATTGGACATGAAGCTCAACAGGACCACAAAAACGAGGACGGCAAATGATGGCGTTGCCCATATATCCAGCGGCATAATCGGAGTGTCTGCAAACCTGTACTCCCAAAGGCCAAACAGCGCCAATAACAGGATTGACACAGTTATAATGACAATTTCAAACGGAGCATTCCATCCGCTTGCGGGAGCTTGGCTAAGAGGTGTTAGCCAAACTGCTACAAAATCGATGTAAGACACACTTACTTCCACGCAACATTAAACAAAATCAGTCCGCTTGTGCCCAAGAGCGCACCGATCCAGTCTATTTTGCCGTATCGATCAACAGGACGGTCGGGTGGCAGCAGTGCTCCCAGGGCGCCGAAAACGACTGCGCCCATTATTGCCCTGTCGTGGCATTTGTCAGTATCTTGAAGAAGGAGGTCAAGTCTTAAAAACCTCACAGGCCAAAGAAGATCCATTTCCAGCTAGTCCATTGAACAAAGATTCCAGCCCAGATAGCTCCTAGGTAGCTTCCAATCGGCGCAGATGCCCCGAAGAATCCGAGCGTTATATTTCGCGATCGACCAGGTGGGATGGTTGAGCTAATTAAAGCAACCGCATTGGGCATTATCAAAGCCCCGCCAATACCCGAAAGAGCACGTACCACGTTGAATGACACGAACGTCGTGCAGAAACCATTCACCAACGACCATAGGACTAGCCAAATAGAGCCGGCGACCAACACATTTCGGTGACCATACACAGAGCCAAGTCGGCCACTGACCAGCACAAATGTGCCCTGTGTCAATCTAGAGGAGTAGTAAGTGTCTCGAACGGGGCTATAGCGGTAGTGTCACATTACGCACGGATAAGAGGCGGCAGCCCAGTTGGCTTTCCCCGGCCCAACAGGTGCACCCAACACCCTACTAATTTCAAGGCCAGCGGCAAGTCCCACCATGTTGGAAATCATCTGGTCGGCTGTCAAAGTCTGTCGATTTACTCAGTGAGGAGTATTGCCTCACCTGTACCATGTTGCTTGCAACGATGAAAAAGATTATGACCCCTTGGCGTGTTTTGGAAACAATATTTGGTGAGATGGCGGCGAATTCCCGTCGATGTGGTTCGGTCTCCAGCCTTGCAATGTGGATACTTGCCCCTTGGCTGTTTTCATTGACTTCTTGTTGGATTTGAGACATTATGAAGGTGAAAACGACGAAAGGCGACGAGAAGACTCAGTCACTTCTCTTCGCAGGGGCTGCCGGTAATAACCACCAGGAGTTTTCAGTCAGGTGAGAAGGGAGAAGTGGTTGGGCCAGGTAAGAATGACGGCCGGAGGGTCTTAAGATCGTTCTAAGCCCGGTCAAGAGCGATTAGCCACAGGCAGGAAAAGTGGGAGTGAAGCGGGAATGGGCTTTTACCCTAGGCCCAGACTCAATCGGAACAGGGCCAACTATCGAATCAAATTTCCCGGGTACAAACCTAAAAGAGCACAGTTCTCATTAATACGAACACGACTCTAGTCCTCCATTTTCCACAAATGGCATTGCTTGAACAGTGTCTTGTGATTCTGGGTAATCTTCGGGAGTCAAGGGTAAACCTTATTTTCCTAGGTGGGGAATTAAGGGTAAACTTCGGGATTAGTCATAGCACTAGGTGACACCTGCATATTCCATATTCGACGTCACTCACCGATTCCAGCAACTGGCCTGAGGGGTATCTGGAAGTGAGAAACTGTATGCGTTGGAACAGATACGAGATTTTGCCTAACTTTACTTCAATCTTCACCAGCAATCTGTAGCTTTTCAAATATTCAAAAAAGAGAAATGCTACGAGACACATATTCTTCATCTGGCGACACACTCCCCGATAGCTACTTCCAGTATGTCTACCGCTGGTTGATAATGGCGGCTAGTGGGAGACATACCCTAAGTAGTTTAGCATGATAGATGCATTTAGCCTAATTCAAGATTTTGGTTTTCACACTCTGATGTATCATAGTGTCCCTCGCTTGTCTGCGGGATTTGAGAGGTTTTGTGGTCACGGCTGTCGCTGCATTGAGCCCCGCGACGTGAAAGCTGCTTTGCAGGATAAGATTCGCGTTAAGAGTATTCTACGCAGGGGGATGCTGTAAGAATAAGGCCTCTAGCGATGTGTAGGTGCCTCTTTGTGGCGTTGACTAGTATTCAAGTATTCCAAGAGTAATCGGAGAAGGAAAGACCTACATAACATCTTCGTTATCTGGTTTGTAGTCCGAAGAATCATCATCATTGGAAAGATCTAATGGGATTTAGATAGATCTCGCAAATTCAATCACCAAGACCGCAGTATTGATGAATGAAATTTCTTTGTTATCGGGTGCCGTATTCCCCTTCCTTCTGCCTTGGTAGTTTGTGATCCGATAGAGTTCCTCCGCCGCTATTGATTGCGATATCAGCTATTAAGGTATAGAGTAACCAGGTATATGAGTGTTATGGTGAATTTCATGGTGAGTCTTGTGGTGAGCTGTGAACGGTGATGTGTTGAGATGCGCTGTTTGGTGAGTGGTCGGGCGGTGAAGAAGATCTACCATTTTAAAATTAATATACTATTTTGGATCTTTGGGGCTTGTTGATATTTCGTGACAGATGACCTTCCTCTTTTCTCGGCCGTGCCAGAGACGGTTTACGTATCACCTTATAGCCGTATGGCTGTTCTAGAGCGTATACGGAGACAGATTGTGCAATCAATAACAAAGATCCGAATCTACAAAACAATCCAGTTAACGTCCACTGATTTACGCCTGGGCAGATATTCCCCATCTCCCACCAAGGTCAGCACATGGAGATTCCCGATTTTGATCATCTTCTCCGGCTGCGATGAGTCCCCACCACTGGCGGCCTTCAACAACAAACCATCCCATTGTCCGGGTCGGTACCAATGATGAATAGCATAGTACGTCCCACGCACTCCGTAGATCTCCGGGATGAGCCGTTTAATCCAGTATCGGAGATCCCCATGATACATGCTTCTAATAGCCATGAGATTGAAAATAAAGAGAAAGTGATATAGCGCCGGGGGTAGAGGGAACGACAAGCAACCGGCAGATCATGTAAAAGAAAGACATAAGTATCGCTCATCGTGGCAAATGGCCCGAGTCATTCGACCTGGGCTTCTGATTTTCCGTTCCTTGCAGTTCAGCTTGAACAGGTCTTCGCTTGGCCTTGGTGATTTCGTCATTTTGAATTGTATTGCCGCGGGAACTCAAAAGCGACAGACAACTCACGGAAAGCAGGCTGCTGATATCGGTGCTTCCATCTTTCGCTAGGAAGGGATCAGCGCCATCGAAATCTCGTAGGAGCTTCTCGATCAGTTCAGCACGGCCACTAGCATGGAGAATATTACCGATAGCTGCATGGACAGCTAAAAACTCTGGGTTTGGATCTCTGAAACGGTATCATTGTTTGTAAGGGTGATGAAAGTTGCCGTCGGATAATTCACAAGGCATGAGCGTCTCGGGAATTTCTTCAATCGATACCGGTTTGGTACTGTTGTTGGCTCAAGAATGAAATGGAACATGCCGAAGTCTTCATGAAAAACAGAAGCCACCATTAGGATGTTATCTTCGCGATTAACATCACCTAATAACATATTAAGACGGGACCGTAAATTTGGAAACCATCGAAAGATATTAGTCCATACTGCCGACATTTTAACTCGCTCGTCGTCGGTGCGAAAATTTCCAAGGCAGAAGGGAAGAATGTGAACTGCTTGCAACTTGTGTACAGGCCGCCCGGGGGGATGTGGGGTGGTATCCATATCCCAGGTTCCTGTTATCGCACATTTATAGCCATCGCGGGCTAAGCACTCCTGGCGGAGTCGCTGCTGGTCAACTCGTGTCACGGATTCCACATCGAAGGTGTTCAAGTATTCGATCGAGTCCTCAAGACCGAGACGAGATGAGGGAGTGACTGCCGGTGTTTTACCACCGGTAGACAACATAGGGCGGAGAAGACCTGTGTCTATGCTCTCGGCAAGTTGTCTAACCTCCTGGTCATCTTGACATCCAGATAAGTCTTCGATCAGGTTACGCTGTCCGTCTGCGGGCAGGTACTTGAAAACAATCTGGAGAAAAAAAGGTGTGTCGTCTGTTGAACTCAAAGGCTGGTAGCCCTGTAAAGTATGATTCAGGGATACTTGAAGTTCGGAGGTGGAGAGTTCTGATGTGACGGATGGACTTAAGCTTCGCAGGTCCGACATTGTAGATTGTGCAAGTCAAACAAATAACAGAAGAGGCTTTTCTGAACTTGGATAGAAAGGAATTTTGGATCTTTGCTCAGGAACGAGACAACGGGGAAAGGAAGTTATCGGCTTGAAGTGGTGAGAAAAGGGAGAAGAGAAGTACAACAAGAAGAGAAGTTGATGTCAGACTCTAGGATGAATACCGTCATTTTTTCATCTGTCAAGAATGGGATATGGCCCCTCTAGGCCCTAAACAAGAACCTTAGTTTTTGTTATGGTCTAGTGGTAAATTACGCTGTACGAAATTCGACATCATCCTTGATACAGATGGATCACGTGATTTACCAGGCTGGTTTTACTGCAGAAAAACCAGTCCCACAGTTTTCTGGCGAAAAAAAAAATCCTTTCATTTTGTTTTGTTTGTTTTTGTTTACTAAGTTGTCCACAAGATTGTCATTTTAGAGCTTATGTCTCATCGTCATCATTGGGTCAGGTGACCTCTCTCTCTAGATGGTCATAGCGTCAGATAGATATGTCAAATGCTTATGTCTCGTTAAGCTTAATTTCTAAAAAGTTATTATAGAGTTCCACAAATACATATGTTATTACTATATTTCATTCACACCGAGTAAAAAAAAAAAAACATACAACAGTGAGGATTCGCTGGTGGTCACCCACCCAACTACTAACTCACCGGCGTGTGGCTTGAGTACGGCTGAGCGGACGGGAAGCCCTATTTTCCACACCCTATGGTCGTATGTGTCAGTTTAGATATTGGAGGGGAACATAAAGCAGCTGAGAATTATAGACTACAGCTGTGGGACAAGTTAGAGAATTTATTGAGATACGAAGTAAGCATCTTACGTCTTCGATAGTACAGACTAATATCTACGGCAGCCGAAATGGGCCATATTGGACAATGCGGTTCCTACCATGCAATCACTACTAGCGGAACAATACAATACCAGTGAAACTCAAATAAAGATACAACATGGATCAACGGCGATACATGTACGGGGTAAGATCTTTTGAATACGTTTTCGCCGCCAATACACACTACCATTTTCCGCCTTGTGGAATCCCCGCACGGGTAGGCAACAACATAACATAACAACACCCGAATGAAAGCGCCTTTCTACTCCGAGTACTCATCTTTTGTCTAGCCACATTCTTCATATTCGTGACCCACGGGACTTGAGCTGAAGCAAGCGAAAACACTACCATGAAAAAATCACTTCTGCTGGGAGATTTCGCCAGAAAACAGCAATTACAGGCTTCTCGCCCGAAATATTGGGCCATCGTCTCGGTGATTTTGATCTGTTCTTCGTTTGCTCTCAAACACTGGTCGGTAGAAATACCAACATGGCACCAGCATAGGACCCTCAAATACACTGGTGAACAGATAAGTTGGGAGCCTTGTGGATTCATCAAGGGGAACTTCGTGGAGTGCGGCAATGTTTTTGTCCCCATGGATCAATTCAACCAGAGCAACTCGGGAAATAAAATCTTCACCATTCCACTCATCCGCATGCGCGGCACGAACGCAACCCAGAACCTCATTCTCAATCCAGGTGGCCCTGGAGCGAGTGGTTTCGAATTCCTCAACCAGAATGCAGAGCAGCTGAGGGCTATAGTTGGCGAAGGGCTCCACCTAGTCTCGTTCGATCCTCGCGGTGTTAATAGCTCGACGCCGCTAGCCTCCTGCTATCCCGATGTCAAATCTCGAAAGGATTTAGCTCATGTCAGATCTCGCAATGTCGAGATTGACAGCCCTGAAGTCTATGCATGGACACAGAACTTTGTCAAGGCATGCCACGATACGATGGGAGAACACGCCAAGTATTTAAACACTCCCCAGACAGCGGCTGATATGAATGATATTCTGGATGCACTTGGCCAGAGAGACATGGTTTATTGGGGTTTCAGTTACGGCAGCCTTCTGGGGCAGACCTACGCGGGACTGTTCCCCGAGCGTTCGAAACGTGTCATCATCGACGGTGTCGTGAACCAATTCAAATGGTACGACGGTACTTTTGAAATAGAGTCCCAGGTTGACACGGACAAGGTACTTGATGGGTTTTTTGAAGAGTGTACCAGAGCAGGCACAAAAAAATGCCCACTATCCTCGCTCGCAACATCTGTGGAATTGCGCGATACGGTCCTTTCTTATATGAATAGGCTCCGAGAACAGCCAATTGGTGTGTACGTGAACAATACAGCACATGGTGTACTAGGGTATGAAGAGCTCTGGTATGATGGTGTTTTACCAGCCCTTTACTATCCCTCCACGTGGGGTACACTTGCCAACAACTTGTACAGTCTCATTCAAGGAAATGCGACAAATGCTTTTCTTGCATATGGGCGTGAAGATTCTTGGGATATGGGCCATGAGGCAAGCGAGTTTATCAGATTGAACGATGGCCTGAGTGGTCCCAAAAATTGGCCCCAAGACAGGCAACCGCTACTTGATTATATCTTGACTTCGTTCAATCAGAGTATGTTCGGCGCTAGACACAGCAAAATATTCTTCATGAGACAGCAGTGGACTATGCCGAGGACACACTCTTACGTACCACGCAAGGGAGTTACAACGGCGCATCCGCTGCTGATTCTATCAACTACTTGGGATCCTGTAACTCCTCTTACATCTGCCCGCTCGGCGAAGGAGGCATTTCAAGATTCACAAATCGTCGAAGTCAAAGCTTATGGCCATTGCTCTATCGCGGTGGATTCCTCATGTGCTGCAAATATTATACGCGATTTCCTGTACGAAGGCAAATTGCCTCATGCATATACGGAATGTGAAGTGGACTCCCCTTACTTCAAGGAGAGCGATTAACTCTCTGTGGGAAGATATTTGCGGGGGCGAGAAATTGGAATCCGTAGGCACATGCCTAGATACGCCGCGATTTCATCGCAATACTTCAATTCCAGGGAAAAACGCTGCATCTGCCTCTTTGCTGCACATGCGACCAGTCGATTGTCTAGCACTTCCAAGCCAAAAATTGTAGTTGAGGAAGCTCAACCCCATAGATTCATTGTACGGTGAACGAAGTTGTGGATAGCCGGTTTTGCATGCCTCTCAATATTATTCGCAATTTGCCAGAGGGAAAGCATATTGATGGTATCTGGGAAGACCTATAGATAATAGTTTACTAGTAGATAATAGATAAAGGGTTAGGATTATAATACTAACCTGCTTGATAGCCTTCATAGGCGCTCTCTCTTTATCCGTGAGGATAGTCAGGGGGCCAGGGCAGGCTCGGTGGCAAGAGTCTTCAGCCCCCTTCAGCCTATTCACCCGAATGCTGTCTTAGTTACTAATGTAGGCACTAACTACGCAAGAAGGAAGTGATAAACCAGAAGTGAGAGCATATGACTTATAGAGAAATAATGTGCTTACTTTTGGGTTCAGTGGGGAATTCCGATTAAGGGAATTTTGGGATAACCTTCCGGTATGTGGGTCAGGAAAAAGCTTCAAAGTGCATACACATATCAACAAGCAATCGTCTTTAGGGTACGAGAGGTCCGAGAGTGCTTGGGAAATTAATGTCTTACCTTAGCTCATAAAAGGCGTTGTGATGGCTCCACTACTGGTCCGATACGTATAGTATTCGCAAGTTTCATTAGACGAAAGAGACCCTGCCCTATCTCTTGGTATGGAGAGCCGAGCATAGGTGTTTTACGGAGTAGACTGGCAGAAATAAAAATACAGAGGGCTTAATAAGCAAAGTATCGAACCTTGGAACTAACTTTGTAAAAAGAATGAAGCTATTCCCGTCATACAAATCTCCGCATATCCCATTTCTAGGCGTTGAAGCTGTTGCGAACGGACAAATCTCTCTGAAGAATTTATACCAATCTCCGTATGCACCTATTTATAGGTATAGAAGCTGTTACGACCGTGCAAATGGTTTGTGGGGTGAAAATAGCTTTAATTCAGTGGTTTATGCGGTCGGGGACGGTTCCTGACGCTAGGGCGGGAATAGCTTCAATTTACACTACCTACACGGTCTAGAGCGGTGTCGAAAGCGGTCCATAATTAAGGCATATTAAGGCATAAACCCAGCAAAATCAGGCCTTCGCAAATGTAGGTTTATTCTTACTTTTTATGTTTAATTCCTTTGCTTCAAGAAGGTGTAGCTAGGTGAGAGTTACACACTTCCGATCAGTGCAGCTTCTCACGCGAGTCCCGCACAACGTGGAAACACGCCACCCCATCGTTGGCCAGTTGCGCGACAAGCCCATACTCCCAGTCGAGATATCCTTGCATATCCTTGCGAGCGTTACTTGTCCCTTCATACGGTCTTTTATACACGTCGATTGGCTGCGACAAACATCGCAATTCGGTCTCGAGGGGGTGACCAGCAGCCACCCAGGCCGTTGTCCCTCCCGTCAGATACAGAACTTGTCGTGAGACTGAGTTGCGTGCGTCGTCAACGTTCGTGGCGGCAACGTCACCATCGGGCGAGGTCAGCACGATAGGGCCGTCACCGTCGATAGCCCTCAGATCTCGCGCAAGTTCCGGTCCAGAAGCGAACCATGCGCCCGGAATGTGGCCTTTGCGATAAGACGGACTGCGGGCGAGATCGACCACAGTCGCTCCCTCGAGGTTCTGAAGGTCGTTCACCGTGATAGCGCCATCCTTTGGAGGATTCCACGAAGAGACTTCAGGCAACACAAGCCTATCAGGCACCGCCAATCGCTCTTCAAAGACATACACCTCCCATCCGAGTTGCAAGAGCCAGCTGGCTGTCATGCGCCCTCGTACACCATCCGTATCGTACAGAACAATGCGAGCTCCCCTAACACCTACCCATTCGTCGGTGGCTTGTACCAATTGACCACCCGGAGCATTGGAGAAGCCGGTCGGGTGTCCAAGGGCATACTCTTCCGGGTCTCTCACATCTAGCAGATACAGACTTCGATTTTCCGACTCCGTACTAAATCGAGTGAGCTGATCGCCATTAATAATAGAGACGCCGACGTGATTCGCCCACGATTCAGCGTATTCCCGCGCTTTTTGTAATGCCTCAACTGAAGGACCTGGGACCCGTTCCGTCTGTTTAGTCTCTAGTTCCAAACCCTCCAATGTCCACCCGATCGTCCCATTCCGGAGCGCTACCACTTTATTCGGAATTCCAGAATTCACCAAAGATTGGGTCCCAACAATACTCCGCGTTCGACCTGCACAATTGACGACCACTGTGGTTTCCGGAGAGGGTACAGCTTCGAAAAAGCGATATAGAAGTTCTCCCCCTGGACAGCTGCGGCCCCGGGGAATGCTCATTGTTTTATACTCCTCAAAACGCCGGGCATCCAAGACAACCACATCAGTCTCACTCTCCAGAACATCCTTGATATCCCGCGCAGATAAGGATGGAGTGTGGTTGATCGATTCGACAAGCTCGCCAAAAGCCTTGGATGGAACATTGACATCGCGATAGACCTCACCAACGAGGGCGTAGCCGGAAAGCCCGCCTTGCAGGATGGCAACATCTCGATATCCCAGCGCTAATATCCGGACAGTAGCCCGAGCTGCATAACCTTCACCGTCGTCGTAGACCACAATCGGGGCTGACAATCTAGGAACCAGTGGAGGCAACTTCTTCTCGATCTCCGAAACTGGCACACTTAGTGCGAATAGAGGATGGGACTCGGAATAGGGGCCTTCTTCGCGGACGTCGAGGAGGGCAACTTCATGGTGATTTACCCAATGCTGACGCAATTCGCGTGCGGTTATGGATTTGGCCATTTTGCTGTTCAACCAGAATGAAAATTTTCCGATTGAATTGAAAGGAAATAAATGGAAATTACAGCGAAGCGACGCTACACAGAAGCTCGGCAGTTTTTTCTCGGAGGATTTTCGACAAACCCGCAAACCACAGCTCCGAACATTGATATTCAGAAGCACACGCAATACTTGAGCTTTTGATGTCTTCTATTGACACCTTTCATCCCAATCACTGACTCGGCATGATGCATAGAATCTGCTGCTCAGAGGCTGCACTACCCCGCTCGAAGCTCGGTTGACGCCATCTCAGCGCAGGATGACCAATCCTCCAATTCCACCTGGACGTCAACTTCCGACCTCGGTCCTGTGCTTGTTAGATCAAACTAATACATTCAACATAGTATGTATCCCACTCGACAACGAAATTCCTGCGAAGCATGCCGTGAGCTGAGCCGTTCTCCACTCCTTGAATGTCTGGCTAATGTTAAATAGGGGCACGGAAGCTCAGATGCTCAGGCGAAAAGAGTGGTTGCTCTCGTTGCCGGGGCTTAACATTGACATGTAAATTCAAAGACAAAGGAGCCCCTGGAAGGCCGAGAAAGCGCGCACGACAAGAGGAACCAGACCGCGATTTACCGAACGAAGAGGAGCGAATAGGATCTTCAAGCTCCTCGCATTTCTCGCCTGTCATTTCTCAATCGCCCTTTGACTCTCATGAAGCCGGCAATATGTTAATGGGAGCCGGTGAGTTCGACTCATTACCATACGAGCTATCCGGTAGCTGCGGATTCGATTCCTCGCACTGGGAGATGCTCGGGAACGGCGATATGTGTTCCTTTCCCATTGAGCTATTGCACACATCACGCCAGAGCGGATTGCATAACCCGGAGGTACCCTCAAGAGCCTTGGATGCATACGTCTCTCCCATGTCGTTCTCTCAGTCTTGTAAATGCGACGAAGAGGTTTCCGATATAATCCGGAGCTTGAGCCGCGCGAATATGTCACACGATATCGTTCCGATGCTCCGCGCAGGCGTGTCCCTCACAGAGAGACTACTGACCTGTCCTATGTGCTACGATGTGTCCAAACCGCCTCGAGTAACGGTTCAAAATGTGCTCCTCATCGGCCAGCTCATGTTTGAAATAACATCCGGCTACCAAAGGTACATCCGCTGGCTGCATAAGCACTGCACTGAGCTAGATATCAGCAACGAGACTAGGACCGTCTATCTTGACTGTGGGCTTGGAATACCGTCAGAGTTGAATCTACAAATCAGCGGCGAGAAGCTCCGGGACCTTGTCGTGCACGGCCTCCAGACAGATACAGACCGGCTTTTGGTGTTCGGTGAACAGTTTGCGCAGCGGCAACGCAATCGCCATATGGTCGGGCACGAAAATTGCCCCAATTCTGAAGGTCGTTGTCGGAGAAAGGAGGATGCTGTTGATCACGACCCGCTCGATCTCTGTCCACATGATCCGATAGCGCGGAAGTTGGTGCCTTGTTTCCGTATCGTTGATGAGGTTCGCGGGATGATCAAGCAAGTTGCAGATGCCGTGGTGTGATACCCGTGTTTATAGCGTATTCTTTTAAGGTGTTCCCGAAAGACCTGGCATGATAAATTTGTTGCCTACTTTGGTGGGCGCGTAGATTTTACATTTTACATCTTTCTATATGTATCATAAACGAGAAGCCAGCGGAACAATGTTAATTTATGCAAAATGTTCATCTAGCTCTTATTACACGTCGACCCCACACTGTGGCAACCATTCATTTTAAGCTTTCCACAAGGTGAGGGCAATTTCCCAAGCCGGCAAAAGCATGAAGATGTAATTTCAACATCTGCCTCCACAAGAGCAAGGGAAAGTTGTTTCTTGATAATATTGGCCTCCGCATGGCGATCCAAAAGCTGAAGGCACTCATGATATCCATGCAAAGCCCAAACATTATTCGGGTGTTGGTGGGTGCGTTTGGGTGTCGGGAAAAGCCCCAAATCTTCAGCATAAGCCTGTGCAGCCTGCTCAACTCTGCCCTGTTCCAATGACAGGGCTGCATATGGATGCCGAGCTGGAAGCATCCACCCCCATGGCTCTGCGAAAGGCAGCTCGTCTTCCAGAGTGATTGCCTCCCGTAATCTGCGGAATGCTTCATCATAATCGCCTCTTCTATACTCGATCTCGCCATCCAGCATAGCAGCTGCGATTTTGAGAATGTCGGTGATTTTGTTGGGGAAGTCGAGGCGTGTGGGGGGAACAAGCTTCGAAGCGGCTTTGAAAAGCTCTCGCTCTTGGTCGGCTTCCTCGAGCTGCGACGTGGCCGCATACGCGATGGCCTTTCCATAGTGTCTCATCACATTCGTCACACAATAGAGATTCTTATCTTCGAGCGGGTCGAGCTTCTTGAGTTCTTCCCACATCCCAAAGCGAATGAGCACATGGACTCTGACGGCCTTGAAAAATTCCATCCAGTTTGCAAGCGCAGGCGTCTCGACGCGCAGAATTTCTTCTGTGATAGTCGCCTCCATTCGCTCCGTCGCTGACAATGCCGCCTTTGATTTCCCACCAAGCATCGCAGCGTAGATGAGGGAGTGATAGTCGTGTAAGCGATAATAGCTGTAGAATGTCAAGCCGCCATTCTGTTCAAAGAATTTGTCATCTGCGACGGTCGCTTTCAGATTGTATTCCACAGCACGGCGATAATCGCCCACGAGAACATCAATATGCGCGGGCATATGGAAGGTATGGCCTGTATCGGGAAATATTTCACGGATCATCTCTGCTGCCGGCAGAGCAGCCTCAGGAGTCGCCGACATTTCCATCAGGTGGATATACATGTGCGCGGGACCGGGATGAAGTTCAACTTTCGGCATCTTCAACGCCCGATCAAGTAGATCTTTCACTTCGAATACCGGAGAAGACGCTATCGGCAGCCCCGTGGAGGCGTCGTATAACTTCCGCGGTGCGCAATTCATCAATGCGTCCGCGAATAGTGTGATAATGTCAAAGTCTTCGCGACCGAAACTTATATATACCTCTCTCATGGCATCGGCATACGCTCGGCTACATCCTGCAAGATCCCTACTTGGATCGTCGTTGGGGTACCGTTCTGCAAGAGCCTTGATGAGCGCCTGCTCCCAATCTGATGCATTGTTTGCCCGCCTCAGTGCTTCTTGAGAATATATATAACACTGTTTGATTGCATTGAGTCGATCTCTTTGGTCGAACAGCGCCCATGTTTTGTTGTAATTGGACCCCGAGCAGAAGGATACCCCCCAGTAGGCCATGGCGCAATTTTCGTCGTGCGCGATTGCCTGCTTGTAACAGGTGATTGCTTCATCATGATTAAAGCAATATGTCCAGACAAGGGCCCTGTTGAACCATATCTGGGCTTCCTGGGAATTGGTGCTGACTTTGCGGCTCAATGTTCCCAGGTCAAAGTAGGGGTCACTCGTAGCCCTTGCGGGCGATTGGGTGTCAACTGAGTTCATTGTCCAAGCTAGATGAGCCGAATACCAAGGATGCTGTGTCAGAAACCTGTCTGCGAATAAGGAATAATCATGTAGAAGACAACATGAAGAGGTTCCCACAAATTGTGAGGGGTATGTATGGAGTCGGAGGGTTTTTATTAGCCGCGGGGAGATCGCGCGATTTTGATTCGATTCTCGGACCTTTTTTGGAACTTGGAGTAATTGGATATCGGGGTAATTAACATCATACAAAGTAAAAGAATATCATTTTTTCTGAAGATCATCACGTCACGGATATTATTCAATGAATTTTTGTCAATGGAGTTGGGGTTTGGTCTATAATCTACAGCTTGTAGATAGGTTTCCGCAATATATCTAGGCTTGTCAACAGCTCTTCCCTCAATTGTTCTTCAAGTCATTGTCCACAACATCTTCCAAAATCGTCTCGCCCCTTTTTTCCGCTGCGATTTTAGCTAGCTTCAGCCGCCTCGTGTCACGCTCCGTCTCCTGTGTCACCCACCACGTTACCACCGTCAAGATCGCGCAAGTACCCACAAGACCGATAGCGACGGAGAATGGCACTGTGTAGTGAGGTCCAAACTTGCTTTGAAACAACTGCGGACCAATGGCGCCGCCAATTTGACCGTAGCTGTTGACAAATCCGATAGAGAAGGCGGATCCCGTAGCTCGAGAGGTGGTTTGTACGCGCCATGGCCTATTATCACGTTGTGAGCTATACAAACATACGAAGTGGATAAGGACATAGGAAGCTTACCACATGACTGGGTACCATGATGCAGTCACGGCATTTCCGATCAACGTTACCGCGTATATAGCAGCATTACTCGGATAGGCAACAAAGACCCCGTAGCAGACTATGATGATAACAAGGAAGGTAAGTGGGTATAATGGCCGGGGTATCCGGCTACGGTCTGCTGTAATTCCTGTAGCCGCAATGACTAGGAGACCACAGATCGTGATGGGGATATTGAGAAGCTGGGCTTGGGCAATGCTCCTAAGAGACTGTTAGCAATGCACGTTGAAGTCATAACCGTATGCGGAAAAGTAACCAACTTACGTGTATCCGAGGTTGGCAATAACCGTCGATTGATAGAATGTGACACCGTTGGTTCCAACAGTAAAGGTAGCCCAAATGGCCGTAAACAGCCACAGCCTCCGATCTTTCAGTGACTCGATAACTTCACGCAGCTTGAAGTGCTGCTCATTTCCACGGGGCGAATTAGATGGGAGTCGAGCCTGGATAAACTTCTTCTCCTTCTCAGTCAACCATTTGGCTGTCTCGGGAACTATCTCGCATTTTCGCATATCAGTCACTGGCGTCGTGTTATGAGAGCAAAGGATGATCCTTACAGTCTGGGAGTAGGAACCAAATCACAAATCCAAAAAGAACGGTCGCAATGCCTTCTGAGAGGAACAACCTAGAATAATTTTAGTACGGATTCAGGAATGGATATAAGAGAACACTACCATTGCCACCCGGAAAGGCCGCCTGCACCAGATGCGTTGTCAAACCCATAGGCAAGAAGACCACCGAAGATACCCGAGATATTTCCGCAGATATCTTTATATCGTCAGTTAAAAATTCCATGTAGTGCGAGATGTTTTGCGAGCGGATCGTGTGTAGCTTACAGAAGTAGAGCAGTCGTAAGGACATCTCGTCCGGGCGATACCAGTAAGTCATCTGGAGAATGACGCCGGGGAACTGTCCAGCCTCGGCCTATTGCGGTGTCAGTTTATTCCATTTTGGAATCATGAGACATATTGGCGCGGTAACGTACTACACCCAGTAGGAACCGTGTCGTATATAAACCGCCCTTATTCTTCACAGCAGCATTGCACATGAGAGCGATACCCCAGCTGATCATAATCCTTGATTGCCATTTTGAAGGGGAGCATCTCTTGAGCAGTAAATTTGAGGGTGCTTCTAACAAAATGTATGGGACCTATCACGTATGATTAGCGATACGCCACGGCATCTGGATCAAGACTCGCTCGATATCTTACATAGTAAAGCACAGTCACAAGATTGTACTCGTTAGATGTGATTCCGAGCTGTGTCATGATATTCTGATCCGTTCCCTTGTTCATGATTCGAGCATTGGATGCCTGCGAGGCTGTAAGTCATAATGTCCTACCTAGTATCCTTGTGTATACGCACATTGTTGCTGTCCAGATTCTTAAACATAAAAATGAGTGAACAAAGCGTCATTAACCGCCAGTCGATCTTGCGTAGTAGCTTCTTTTCCTCTGCTGCCGTGAGCAGTGTCCTACCATTCATAAGCTCCGGATCGTAGCCATTGATGGTTTCCAGGCTTGATGAGGCTTCTTCAAGAGCTTCACCACGTCTCGCAAAATGAAGCGCATGATTGGTATCGGTATCACTGGTGGAGATAATATCGGTGGCCGTGGTCCTGCCCAAATCTTTGGATGAAATGCGCCCGTCTTCTTTGTCTGCCATTGTCGCGATGTTGCTTTCAACAGTATAATTTCTGAATTGATACTATTGACAGTATCGGTCAAACGCGAGTAGTCATTGATAGATCTCTATGCATCTCCTTTATCAGTCCGGAAACCCTCCGAAAACATCACAGAAGCTTAGACCAAGCTCCAAACCTAGCAGATGAAAAATTGTATCATAGTCGAAAAGTATTGCAAATGCTATGGCCTAGGCCATACTTGCTGCTGTCAAGTCCTGACATACAATATGGTCTCAATTGGATTCAATCCAGATGAAGATAGTCTATTCGAATATTTTTGGAATCAATCTCTTTACTTTCGTCAACAATTATATATCGAATTTAGTAAAGTCGTGTAGTTAATATCCTCATAAGCGTTCCCGGTCAAATTTATTTATTCCCTTATTTGGAGTTATCATTGGAAATATTGCAGAAGTGCGTAAGTCGCGATTTAGTGAGGGAACAGTCGCTGATCACGCAAACGGAGGATATCATGATGAGATCCAAAGCCCACGTGGCGTAAAGAGGTCCACCTGCACTCGCACCAATCTGCCCGGCCTTGCATATCAACCTTGCGGGCTGCCAATGGAATAAACCTACAAATTGCCCGATTGGAATGGATTCAACAATAAGCTCAAGGGTCAACTACAAATCTGCTACAAAACCAAGGATACCGCGATCTTGATAAACCCCCATCTGCCAGATATAGTGCAAATGCACGCTATTGTCTTCATAACAAAATCCTTCTACTCCAGCTTGCTGTGATATATTCTTTTTATATATTTTCTTCCACTATCTTGCATGAACCATGGCAACTTTGACCCAACCTCCAGCCCCTGTTCCTACGGGGTCTGATATCCCAACATACAGTCAGGTCCCGGAGACTACTTTTGATCGTAAGTGGTTTAATGCAAAACCTAGGGTCCTAGCCGAGATTTGAGGCACCATACTAACGTGAAACTTGCATATAGTGGACTGGGCGGATCTCGCTACCTTGGATCTGTCTGTGTTCGACCAACCCGGCGGTAAAGAGCAGTTAGCCAAGCAACTTTTTGAGGCTATCCAGAATATAGGTCAGTAGTATATGTTTCAACACCAGCTTCCCATGATTGTATACTTATCTGGCATTAGGCTTCTTTTATATTACCAACTTCGGGCTCTCGCAGGAAGATGTTGACCGCCAATTTGCTATTGGCAAGGAGATATTCAATCTCTCAATAGAGGAGAAACTCAAGTATCGTGCGGAGCTTGAGAAAGGTGGCTACAATGGCTACAAGCCAATGGGTCTCCGGGTAAGTCGAATGCCGTTAATCTACGGCGAGAAACAATCATATCTAACCCTAGGTTAGGAAATTAGTCCGGGTGTCTATGACAAGACAGAAATCTACAACATCCCAAAATTCATCCCAGCCCTCGAGCTTCCCCAACCGGACATTGTGAACAACAATCGTCCTATTATCGAAGGCTTCGCACGCCACATTCATGACCAAATCGCGGCCAAACTTCTCGTGCTCTTCGCCATTATCCTCGAGCTACCCGAGGACTATTTCCTAAAAGTGCATCGCTATGGTGAAAAAAGCGACTGCCACCTAAGGTACATGAAGTACCACCGGCGTCCAGACGAAGAAAACGAGAAGGCCGCCGGGATTTGGTCCAAGGGCCATACCGACTTCGGCAGCTTGACTCTGTTGTTCCGCCAACCCGTTGCTGCGCTGCAGGTTCGCACCCCAGAGGGCGAGTGGAAGTGGGTGAAGCCGTACCCCGGGAGCATCACGGTGAATCTTGCGGACTCTCTCCACTTCCTCACCAACGGCTTCCTCAAGAGCAGCATACACCGTGTTGTTGCACCGCCGCCCGATCAGAGGGATGTAGATCGTCTAGGTGTTTTGTACTTTGTTCGACCGGAGGATAGCCTCGAGCTGCGACCGGTTGTGAGTGACGTGCTGCATCGTCTGGGATATGACCAGACAACCGATAATAGTGCGGTTGGTATCACTGCTGGCGAGTGGGTGAAGGCGAGAGTGGCCAAGGGGGTTGACAAAGGTGTGGCTCGGAGTGAAATCGGAGATCAGCCTATCATTGGGGGTGTGGTTGCTAAGTATTATGATTAAACTCTAACTTTTGTGCTGTTGATGTTATATTATGTACATATGTTGTTGTTTTCTTTATATCGTTGTGGATGTGCGGGTGACTAGTGACTTCCTCAACAGTTTTGAGGAAGAAGTGACCTTACCACATCTCTGTATCTCCTCACTTTTCTTCGTTCTTCAACCTTCTCAACTCCCCCAAATTTTATCCAAGTCCCAAGAAATACTTGGGGCTTCTTTTTGCAATGGCCATCTCTATCCTCTCGTGTCGCTAGTGAGTGGCACGATCGCGAGATTTGGGACGTTGGAGTACCAACTTAAGGGACCTTGGTTCATTCAGCGTCCAAAATGATTGAGGAGCTTCTCTGTGTGGATTTGAACAGTACGTCAGTAATATCGACAATAGAACAAAGCACATTACTGATTGTAACGTCAGTGCTATGTTTCTTGTGATGCAGTCTCAACTGAAGATTCCGGAATTCTGTCGGCCCTCCACTTAGGCCTCCAACCAGATGCCACAGATACATCATACGCCCATATCATTCAGCATTGGCCCTACCAGTCTGACCCCGTCCCCAATAGTGTGGAGTTGAATAAGCACGTCTACAATGAGCGACGTGGCAAGAGGCTGCGCAGATGTTGCGTGGATAATGCACGATTAAAGGAAACGGACATGTCATTTGGTAAATCAGATCGGATTATTCTCACAAAAGTTCCGCTCTGACCAGATCTTATAGACAAGATCATCATGGGATATTTCACATCTTCTCACGACGACAACAGTCACGAATTCATTATCAAGCCCGAGTTCGATGACAGGAAACGATCGTCACTGTTGTGTAATATAACGCTGAAGGAACTAAACTACTATCATCCCATGTTCATCTAGATGGTTCCTATAAGTCATTGAAGCTGACATCTCTTAACGTCGTGATTTTCTTGGTCATTTTTCTTCTTTCTTCTGTCCAGATCAAAGTCGTCCAAATGAAATATTAACTTTTTCTATTCTGAATCTCAATATCTAAATCAGGGACTAGTGATATCTACCTGGAGTGGCCCCATGTATCGTCAGAAGTTTCCTGAGACAAGTGGGTCGTAGAGTATTCTCCAGTCATTGTTCTGATACAAAATGGGTAATGAACCTCACGCATATTACTGATCAGAGCAAAACGACTAATTCTAACTTCTAATGCTACGTAAAGTGTGACTGTAGAAGCTCTGGGGAAGATTGATGGTTTATTCTTTAGGGACCCGCCCGAGAGGCCCACGTGACTGTATATCCACAGTCTAGCCATATTAGACCTAGTCTATATTTATTCTGCCAAAGTTAGCCGACTACTTCTTCACCGCATTGATTGTAATGATTTGGAGCGAAAGGAACAGTCACGTGACATGCACACGAGGCTATGATTTAATTGCTTCGCTCCGTTCCACAATTTTGGTCACGTAGCTGAGTAGTCTAGCGTTTGTACAGCCTCGTGCTAACTAGATCGGCTAAACCGAATCCGGCTTTCACTCACAGATTGCGACCGTTCTTGATCATCATATGGTGCCATCGAAGAAAGCGCCGATGCGGCTGGAAACGAAGCTGGATATTTCAGGTGAAGGACTATACGAAACGAGCGCCATACAGATTATTAAGACCAATATAGTGTACTTTTCATGTGGAAAGGGAGAGATAGTTCGTCGGGAGAAGGGGGTGAGGAGAAAGAAGATGTGGCCTGAGCGATCGAGGAGAGCCCCCTGGTTAGCGTCAGACGCACTGCGCTCTCGACAAAGGGAAGCGAGAATTATGGCTCTTACGAGACTGAAAAATAAATAATGATGGTATTCACGACAATGTTCCCAGGTTGGACTGACGGTGATTAAAAGTCTAGACCTGACCAATCGACATTTCAAAGCTGTTACGTAGAGTAACTCTATACGATAAGAAATTAAACAACCGCCAAGTTAGATACATTGTAATAAATTCTCATCAATTAAACTCTAGGGAGAGTAACGCGCAACGCCCGGGGGGATAAGCTCGTCGCATCTCCATCATGATCCAGAGTGAATTCAAACTCTGGAAGGCCCACGTTGCCATACACCATTGACTCAAGCAAAATCCACGAAAAGCAGGAGCCAATAAAAGGCCCAGCATCTTCCGAGATAGGAAGTGCATAAATGACAGCCAGGAAGGAGATCCGCCCTGGGGTCTCAAGACCACTAGGCTGTAGACGAATGCCTATCGCAGAGCGATCAGCTACCCCTTGCAAAGTCATCAAAGATTCGATCATGTCCACCGAGTTGCTAATCCATGCTGAGACCACCAGACCCGGCCCGTCATCAGCCATGACGGTGATTGAGGAATTGAAGGAGTCGCTCGTCAAGGCATATGTACCGCCAAAGCGTTCAAAGGCTTGGTTTCTAGCGACTTCATCAAGCGCGGGAAGCATAATATCGGCAACCATTTCTCCGATTTGTGCTGTCATCGCGTGAGAGTTAGCTCCGGCTACTAGAACCGTGAAACCGGCATTGTGATCCGGTGAAAGACCGATCGAACTGGAGTACAGTCCGATGTCCCCAGCCTTGGTATACAGGTCGACCCGACGAGGTGTCAAAAATGTATAGATTTCCCAGGGGGCGCCCACGGACAGTTGCAGGGATGATGTGTGAGCCATCGGCCTCAGCCACCTTCTTGTCACGGCAGGGTCAACAAGGGTGTTGGAAAGAATGGCACGGCCAAATGTAGCCATATCCTTTGCAGAAGAGAACATGCCTCCGGCACTAGTAATATGTAAGCTATGTATACTTCAAATGGCTCATTAGCACTCACGGAGCTTCTTCACCAATCTGATACCCAAACCAACTGAAAGTCTCATTGTAGGGAATCACTGCCAAGCTGGGGTCTGGGATTTGAAGACAAGACCGAGTCAAGTTGAGTGGCTTGATAAGACGGTCCAGTAATATATCTTCAAAGTCGGCTTTTGCGATTGACTCCAACACGTAGCCTAGAATTTGATATCCTGCGTTTGAGTATATCGGGGTCTGTGATGTTGCAGTCAAGGGATCTAATAGGCCATGTTAGGGGTATGTCTAAGTTCAGCGGTATCATGTCTACTCACGCGTTTGTAGAATGCCACGGAAGAATTCTTGAAAACATTCCCGCTGTCAGCCAAACAATTCGACCATATTATGAGCGCACACAATTGACTTACCCTTCCTATCACACGTAGACGTGCTCCCACAAGTCAGTTGATCATTTTTTAGGAGCGCAGGGAACCCCATGCCCTGCAGAAGCTCTGACTCAAATTCGAGGTCTCCAAATGCATCTGAAATCAAAGGTCAATTTCTTTTTCACGGTGCACACTCGCGTCGCCAGGTTATGATCATACAGTCTCTTGCAAGGCCCGCTTGGTGACTAGCCAGCTCGCCGATCGTCACATCGCTCCATTGCAAATAATTAATTGTATCTTTGGCCTGTGCTGCACTGTAGTTTGTTCGCAGCTCAGGAACGTATTTCGAAACGGGCTCGTGGAAGTACTGTGTTCCTTCCAGGGTCATGAAGAGAAACATAGTCCACAGCTTTGATATGCTGCCAATGCGGAACATGGTATCCTCGTCGACCTCTTGAACGCCCACAGATCCAACTTTAACTGGATCATCTGTGTGGTAGAAATCGAATGGTGCGTCGTCCTCTTCGCTGCTAAAGACCTGCACTGCGAAGGATATGGCGGGCAGACTTCCATTTTTAATGGCATCATTGAGCTTTGAGGTCAATTCCTCAGCTTTGCTAAGGAAAGTAGGATCCTCTGAAAGAGCGGTAGGGGCAGGGAATGCCGGTCCCAAAATAGGACATCCTGTTGTTTGTATGGCTTTAACTGAGAAAGCCAGTGCCGATAATGCCCACAGCGAGCGCATGATGAAGAGAAATCAATAAGTTGACTGGATAGTATGCATAGGGCAGATCCAAACATCAGGGAAAGGCATCATATATATATGTCTAATCTTAAACTTCCAATTGAAAGAATGGGCATTACTGATATCCCATTTAAGGTCCAGGAATGTCTTGGGTTACACTCTGGCCCCCGTACTTTCGAGGAGCTAATCTGGCATGGTCAAACTCAAGTTAATTAAACTCATATAGATAGGCAGAATCCCATGCGGACAGATGAAGAGAGACAGCCCCAATATCGCAAGCGAAGCGCAGGGCGCAACAAGCCCCGCATATTAGTCCGTATTTTGTACACTGCCCCGACACTAAACAATCCCTGTCATTCATCATCCCCGACCATTCATGAGTAGATAGTTCTCACCGCTCAGTTGGGACTTTCACTTTCGTCGAGGAACACGTACGATGGCTCTAAACTATCGCTTAGTTGCATGAGCTTGGTTTGTCGTTGGTCTGTCGTTGGCCGGACTGCCTAACTAGATCTAGCACGCGATGCGCTAGTTCAGTTTAATCGGGCCTAGCAGATGAGAGTTCTTTGTTTGATTCTGAGGGGTCTGATCAGAGAGAGTTTCCCAGAATCTCAAGGGAACTCAATCGAAGAAGCCAAAATTCCTTGCAATGCTGTGACAGGGAAAGAGATGCCGAGGCCAGTGCAGTTGGGATATCGAATTGGCTTCCGCCCTACGCGACCCTAGAACCTTAAAATACACGTTATGTAAGTAGTATGCATGGTTTTCTAAGGTTGGTAGGCTCTCCTTGAATATGCATGGGTACCAATAACTTTAACCCTCGGAAATGTATGGTTCAAGGGGTATGGAATTTAAAAAAAAAAAAAAGAAAAAAAGGGGCTCAGCCGGGAATCGAACCCGGGACCTCATCTATATTAGGTAATTTTGAAACCAGAGATTTCTCCCGAAAGATGAATTATCCCACTAAACCACTGAGCCGCATTGCTGATAAGCTGACAATTTTGTTATCATCACGCATTGCGCCGTTTTACTAATTCAGACAACGCAAAACAAGAGCGCTACTGAACTATATGCAGGTTGGCATTTGATGGTGACCTACATAACCTTGCATGTTTCCGAATTCTCAATCCCCGTATATTCCCCTTAATGCATGTGTCGATCCCTGTCTTAGAACAGCACCCCGTAACTATATATACCCATTTTCAGGTTTTCACAGGAACAATTAGAATTTCATTGATAAAGTATTAAACTGGAATAAAAACTTATAATACATCCAATCCAAAGCAAGCCCGCAATACCTAAAGCGAACGGTTGCTCTTTAAAGCACCGGGAAAGTCATCTTGGAGCGCCTCCCATAGCGGCTTCCCTCCCAGCTGAAGATCTTGGAATGCTGGACAAGTAAGGTTGAGCAAAGGCACAGCGAGGATATTAGTGACAAACTCCAACGGCTTGGCTACGGTGGAGTATATGCCACTAAGAGCGTTGGGGCTGGCGAACTTCAGCACCTCAGCCACGAAGCACAGTAAGTTGTTACCCTTCAGCAGGCTAGCCAGGTTCAATACACCACCTGTCAAATCCCCGAGATCAACTCCGGCAAAGCTGTCTACTTCACCCAGATTTCCGCCAATGCTGTATCCCAAGTATTGTTAGAAGATTATCAATATGAGGAACCTGGCAGAGTGTCTTACCTTCCAAGCTCCGGATATTTCAATATGAAGCCTATGACATCCACGTTGAGTGAGACTAGTCCATAGTCTATAGGAGTCTTGTACCAATTTTCCGGAATTCTTTCCCATCCTTCGCGGTAGGTTAAATTGTGTTCCGGGCCATAGATGCCGTAGAAATTTCGAAGGTGGCTCTTAGCTAGGATGGGGTTAGTAGATCTCGCATAATCAGTCCTTATATATCAGCTTACTCAGTGTTCCCTCTGGGTTTTCACTCGAGTGATTTCGGAACAGTCGACCTGCAAAGATGTAACCGGCGTTGCGCGCAATGAGCCCAGTCACGGGTCCGTAGTAGAAATCCGGGTTTGTATGGATAGTCTGATCCATACGGATCTTTGCGCGTTCAGCCATGAGATCCATATTATAAGTGCCGTCGGAAGACATATTATACCAAGTCATGAACTTGTCCATGTTCAGTGTCCAGCTGTTGCCTGTAACGTAGAGATCATCACGCGTGTTGGAGGAGTCTGCTTCGATAAAATTGTGCGAGCCAATGAGGCCTTGCGGCTTCCCTGCAGGCGATGTCAGCGGTTGACGGATATCAGAAAGCAAGTAAGGTTCTCTAACCCAGGATGCCACCCAAGTTGTTGAGAAGGTTGTTAACGCCAGTATCGGGACCCCCGATGGAGAAGCTGGGATCGAGGGACAGCACGTCTCCAGTCCAGACGGTGCCCATGATCGCAAGGACGGTGGCCAAGTCGACACCCATGCCATACACTGTAGAAGAAAGGTCAGAATATGTTGCGTCGATGATTTCATGATGCAATCATACCTTTGTTGATTGCTGCGATCACATTTATGAACTTTTTGGGTTTAGCTAGGAGTTGATGAGAGTCAAACAGGCATAACCTACCGACACCACTCCACTCCTTGGGATATATCCATGATTTGCTAGTGCATTGAGACCTGGACAGGGGCCTCGCTGGTCACCATTCTCGAAGTCTGGGGGTTGGAACGCATGTTCTCCGGTAACTATTGGTTTGTTACAAATTGTGACAAGCGAGAGGGCTTTGGTGGCATACTATCGATAGGCGATTTCATCAAACTGAAGAGAAACCGCTTCTCATGTTCCGTCTTCGGTTCAGCCTGGTCCTTGGCATTGGCATATGGGCAAGACTTGTGCATGCCTTGATGTCTCGAATGACCATTGTGGTTGCTCATTGACCCCGAGAAAGCCGATACTAGTGTAGAAAGTGACAATTGGCAAAGAAAAAACCCTGCAGTGAGAATGCGCATGATGAACTAATGTGTTAGCCCTCCACTAGAAATGCCAGTTCCCCCTTAGGTTTAAAGGAATGATCGTGCAACGAGTGACTGAGGAAGACTGTCCAGAGGAGTGAAATAATGCATTCCTTAGATATCCCGCGTCAATTCTATGCCTAGGTAAATATTCGAGGATCGCACATGCTGAGAAATGATGATCCCCTGAATGGCCCGCCTTAGCGTATGAGTCCACTATAGAATATATGCAATTATGGCCCGAAGGAGTACAACATAGAGACAACTGTCCAGGCGTATGGTAGTGGTATTGCAAATAATACATTGTGTATGTTGTAAGTTGACCGGCAATCAGTTTCAATCCTCCGGCTCTTTCTCTATTGAAGGATTCTGTTCTGGTAGATCCCTTTTAGCACCCCTGCACGGAGTAAAAAGCCACGAAAAGTACGACAAAAGCCCCTGATTTTTCCATGACCATCCCTTCGACTACACAGGGTGGATTATGGATACATATACTCCGTACTATTCGTGTGTTATTGTCGATCGGGCCTAATCAGGGAATATTCGAACGCTCCTGTGGTGGATATATGGATCTTGGCGCACGCCTCGCGGTGAAGTTAAATCTTAGTAGACGCCTCCAGAGTGAAACATCTTTGTTCAACGATAGTGCTGATCGCGGCATTGGGGCTGTAAGATATGTCTAAGGATCATTGATGTATGTAGATCGTAAATATCGAAACGCTTCTCCCCATAGTATAGACCCACTACGGAGATTCTTCGGATCATCTCCACGGGAGTCTGAGCAAAATTTAGCCATTATTCCGGAGCCTGTGGATCTCTCTGAAGAACACTAGGCTCAACTAGGTATACGGCATACATAGAAATGGATAACCTACTCCGAGTGGGGAGTGTCAAAGTCCCAATTTAGATCGGCGGTCTCTGGACGGACCATCAATTCCGGCATTAGTGGGCCCCTCCAAATGTCTAGAGTTGGCCCAAGAGCTGGGGAAGGCTCGTATATGTGCCGATCTTAATTTAAATCAGCTATCATCCATAACCATTTAGTCAATTAGTTATGAGAGACCAGCTCAGTCAACTTCTTGACTGGCCCTAAGGGTCCGAAGTTGCCGGTTGTACTTTGTATGGAATTACTTATACTTTTGTGATCTAGTTCAGGAACTCCTGAAGTTGTGGATTGTTGCTAGGTGACAATGTGATAACTGGCAGGGGCTTGAAACAGTCCCCAAATAACGTCAATGACAGATGTGGTACCTAAACATCTAAACATGTAGAAAGGCAAATCCTCATGAGGACTAATGCGGCATTTAAACTTAAGATTTTCATGCACTAGCGATCCTGACAGGAAGGTAGAACAAATTCTTGTCTCCCAGCTAAGAGATCGTCGTGAATCTCATAATATTACTCCGTAGATTCTCCTGACTCGACTGATCAAATTCAGCGCAGGTCTCCTTTAACAGTCTCTTAATCGCAAAACGAATGAATCCTATCCTGTAAGCTTCACGATGCGTTTTTTCAAAACAGCAGTCCTTGTGGCCGCCCTGTTCGCAACGACTGTGATAGCAGGAATGGAACAGTTGGCGGCCGTTTTACCCTCATGTGCGGTAGGTCGTGCAATTCTTCTGCCGTGATTTTAGCGCGAACTCGATATCACTGACCCTTCTTAGCTGGACTGTATGATGACTTCGGTGTCGCAATCTTCCTGCAAGACAACCGACCAGACATGCCTGTGCAATGATGTACACTACACGGCCGTTCTGCAGGAGTGTGTTCTTGCCAATTGTACAATTCGAGAATCTCTAAGTGAGTCAATGGTTTTATGACTAGTTATTTTATTCCCTGCTAATATACACAAGCTACAAAAAATGTCACGACATCAGCATGCGGGGACCCAATTCGGGATCACACAAAGACTGTATCTTATGCAGGGGTTGCAGGCGGAATTATAGCCCTTTGCGCTTTTATTCTCCGGATAGTGGCTCGATTTAGATGCTGTGGTGGCATTTTTGGAGCGGATGATTGGACAATGGTGTTGACAATGGTATATACCACCTTTCCCTTTGCTCGAAACCGAATTTTCTTCTCACTGAAATTGACAGGCCTTTCTCATACCACTTTCAGCACTCTCGGTCGTCTGTACGGTTTCCTTGGCAGCTAGTCAAAGCCCCTTCACCCCACTAACCATTTGTATAGTGGCCGATACAGGTTTAGGGAAGGATATGTGGACCCTTCCTTTCGACAATATCACTCATATTCTTTACGTGAGTACCCCAAAGTTCTTGTTTCCTGCTCTTCCCAAGGTACGTTGTCTAATTGCGCCAGGTCTACTTTTGGGATGAATTGTTGTATCTGAGCATTCTCCCGCTGACCAAAATATCAATCTGTTTTTTCTATCTTCGTATTTTCCCCGATCGGAGGTTTCGGACAGCAACGTACGTGGTGATTGCACTAAACGTCTCCTATTGGATCGCCTTTGTCTTGATATCGGTATTCCAGTGTCGGCCTCTACCCGGAGCGTGGCATCGCTGGTATGGAGAGGAGAACTACAAATGCAACCACATCAACGCACAGGGCTGGTCATCGGCAGTGCTTAACATGGTTCTCGATATAATTGTCATGGCACTCCCTCTACGACAGCTATACGGTTTGAACCTTTCCATGAAACGGAAATCATTCGTAATTTGCATGTTCAGCCTGGGCATATTGTGCGTTTCCCTATTCAGCCTGTTCCAGAATTTCAGTGACTAACCCATGAGCTTAGTGTCACCCTTGTCAGCATCCTGCGGCTGAATTCACTCATTCACTTTGCCTCTACCACTAACCTTACATGTGAGTGTTCATTCCCTCTCTTTTCTCTTTCTGTATTCGCAGTTTCATTGACATCTAGAAGGGGATTACGTGGCTATAGGGTATTGGAGTACTATTGAATGTGACGTTGGCGTTATATGTGCGTGTCTGCCCGCTATTCGATCTCTACTACGTCGTATATCTCCCCGATTTTTTGGAGATACCGAGCAAGCCAAATCATCATCATACGCTATGAACTCGCGTTCTCGTGGGACTTCTGGCCCTGTCCAGAACAAGAGTAGTGATGGCCCATTCTACCAGTTTGATGACTTGGACCTTTCTGATGAAGCCCGACTACACCATCCACAACCAGTGTAGTTGAGGGTGAAGATAAGGTATCTTCTTATGTGGGGCAATGACTTCTATCTCTTTTGTTTCTTTCTCTGTGTTTACTTATTCGCGGTTATTTGGTTGTTGGATCCTACCAAAATGACCATGTCCCTCTTTAATATAATATTTTAGATTTTTATTCAGCATACTCAATAAACGTATGATAAAGCTCCAATTATTCATAAGATCAATCCACATTTTATTTTCCTCCGAGTGTACCTTACATAAAATCAGACGGAAAGATAGGAAGGAAGCGCTACATCCCCAGTCATACACAACAATAGGGGGCTTTAAGTTTCAGATGTCTGAGATGTATTCCATACGCCCCTAAAACAGTAAGCGTATCATCGTGACGAACAAAGAACCTGGAACCCAAAGAAGACTAGCTTCACCGTTAGATTAGTGGCTTTTCAGAGAGCTGTATGATCGGCATGTCAAACGGCACAGAGAAGACACCAAGAGGCTAGCACGAGTGCGCAGTATCTAGAATATATTGATTGGCTGGCCGGTCCCACAAGCCAAAGTATCAATGTCTCGCCAAGACCCGGCTGCGTTCGGAGCTAGTTGGTACGAGTCCTTCGTACAAGGATCATAGGAATAGTCTGTTACTAGGCTGGATTAGTGTGTATTGCGGTGAGTATCCATGTCTGATACAGGTTAATTTGGAAAGTGGAAGCTTATGTCGATCGCCTTTGCAAGGACAATGAAGGAAAGTACCCAGTAGCATAGCCGAATATAGTACTATGGGCGTCCGCGGTGCTTTTGCTTCTATGCCCTTATAATAGAGCCAGGAGAGGAGCTTTGTGACCATTGATATAATCCAAGTTCCTCGTTTCTTTCTTTTCTTTCTGGCTGAAGACCCCATTTTTATTTCTCTTCTTTTGCTGTTTTTGGGGTAAATCTTCGCCCTTTTCTTTCACTATGCGTTTTCCTGTGGTAGTTGGGCTATTTTCCACTCTTTCAATTGTCTCAGCTATGTAGGTACACCTTCAGTCTCTACCTAGATCTTGTTGACACGGAAAACTAACATAATATAGTGATCATAGACCGGATCATCGATATCATGATGCACACAGGAGGTCTTCGGATAACTCCACCACAGAATATGATTATGTTGTTGTTGGCTCTGGCGCCGGAGGTGGCCCTGTAGCGGCACGATTGGCCATTGCAGGCTACAAGGTTCTTCTTCTAGAAGCAGGAGATGACCAGGGAAATGCGACTCAGCAAATTGTCCCCGCTCTGCAGCTCCAGTCCACCGAATACGAGCCGATGAGATGGGATTATTTCGTGAATCACTACTCGAACTTGACTCGTCAGGAAGAAGACAGCAAAATGACTTACCGGACACCTGCTGGTGACCTCCATGTTGGAAGCAATGCGCCCAATGGGTCTGAACCTTTGGGAATTTTATACCCTCGAGCCGGTACTTTAGGTGGATGCTCTGCTCATAATGCCATGATGTGAGCCATATCTTCTCCGCATGTCTATCGGATGTATCTGTCATATACTGACCAGTATCTTTATAGCACGATCTACCCGTACGAGAATGACTGGGAGCAACTGGCCAGTCTCACTGGCAATGATTCATGGTCTGCCTCGAATATGCGACAATACTTCGAGAGACTAGAGCGCAACCGATACCTTCCCAGCAGCATCATAGGCCACGGATTCGACGGATGGCTTACAACGAGCCTCACAGACCTGCGTCTTGTCATTGAAGACCAAAAGCTTCTGTCCTTGATCCTGGCCGGTGCGACCGCCGCGGGTCAAACACTGCTGGGCAAACTGATCACTACGGTCACGGGCCTCGCCCGAGTTCTGCTGCGTGATCTTAACAACCCCCTTCCTTCGCGTGACTACGAGGAGGGTCCATACCAAGTCCCTCTCGCCGTAGATGTCCCCGAATATAAGCGGACAGGTCCTCGAGAATTCCTCATGAAGACAGTCAATGCTGTAAACTCGGATGGTTCGCGAAAGTATCACCTTGATATCCAGTTGAACACCTTGGTAACCAAGCTCCGGTTCGATACCACCGGAGCGAAGCCACGGGCTACCGGTGTTGACTATCTTCGAGGACAGAGCCTCTACCGTGCAGACCCCCGGGCTTCCCAGACATCGTCTAATGGAACACCGGGTAGCGTGAGTGCTTCTCGTGAAGTGATCCTGTCTGCAGGCTCATTCAACACCCCCCAGCTGCTGAAGCTGAGTGGTATTGGCCCAAAGGAGGAGTTGTCCAAATTTGGAATCTCAACCCTGGTGAATCTCCCCGGCGTCGGTCGTAATCTTCAGGATCGGTACGAAATAGGTACAGTGGGCAAGTCACCCACCGATTTCGTCCTCACATCGAAGTGTACCTTTTTGTATTCTCTTCCCGACCCCTGTTTGGAACAGTATGAAAACAATCCTTTGTTCAAAGGTACATATACCACCAATGGAATCGCCATCGCCATCATTCGCAAGTCGTCTGTTGCAGAAGATGAGCCCGACCTACTGATCTCAGGAGCACCCGTCAACTTCCCCGGCTATTATCCCAACTACTCCTACGAGGGTCTCAAAGATGCCCAGCACTGGACCTGGATTACGTTAAAGTCGCGCTCTCGCAATAACGCTGGTACAGTTGAGTTGCGCTCTACCGACCCGCGTGACATGCCCCTTATCAACTTCCACTCGTTCGATACCGGAGTGACCACAGATGGTGCAGATGACAAGGACCTGCAGGCTGTATATGAAGCAATGCAGTTCTCCCGCACAATATTCGATGACCTTATTCCCCTTGATGGCGGGTTTGAAGAGGTCTGGCCGGGACCCAATGTCACTACTGAGAATGAACTGAAAGACTTCATTAAAAAAGAGGCATGGGGTCACCATGCCTGCTGTACTGCTGCAATTGGAGAAGATGGAGATCCTCAGGCTGTGTTGGATGCGGACTTCCGTGTTCGTGGGGTTGACGGCTTGCGTGTTGTGGATGCTTCGGTCTTTCCTAAGATTCCAGGTTACTATATCGCCCTACCCATCTATATGATCAGTGAGAAGGCTGCCGAGGTTATCATTGCAGATGCCGTATGATACTGGTGCTGATTGTTTCCAATTTTATGTATTCATTGTTTTTTCTTTTTTTTTTTTTTCTGCTATTTGTGACAGTGATCGTCTTCCATTCTTGTATAAGTTCTTCGCTTGAGCATCTATTACGAGTTCCTAAAATATCGGACTCGAACTTCTGTGCAAGGCATGATTATGATTAATTGTATATCTTTTTTCTTTTTCTTTTTTTCTTTTCAAAGTAATGAGTTAGCTCATGTATGGTACAGGACGGTATTCAAGATCAAATCCAGGTTATTGTTCAGCTTGGAAGTCATCCCAATTGTATGAATGACCCAACCAATGCCTATCTTGTCTATTACAGCAGGTGCCAAAATCTCAATTCTGACTCTAATAGCCATCTAAATAATCAAATATCAGCATCAATATATGCATATATCTCATGCAGCAATAACAGGTTCAATCTCGAACCGCATCTGCGGCGCAGTCGAATTACACCAAGTGGCAATACGAGTGATCTTCATCGTACCCCTAGGGAATGAAGAAAGGATAAGACAAGCCATAGCTTTACCCAACTTTGTCCCGAGGAGTTCTTGATACTCAGCACTACCATGCTCAAACTTCATACACTCAACGTCTCTTGCCTGTGACCATCTAACACCCAATCTAGGGTATAGTTCGTGTCGTATATATGGACCTGTTTCTTCGTTCCCGATATCAGTAAAGACAACATACCTCAGAGTATTCAAATTAAAATCAAGCAAGTATTGGGCTCGAGCGACCTCATTCCAATGAGGACCGTCTTCCCTATAGAGTCTCTCGGCAATAATAATACCCCGAGTAACCCGATGCTCAAATTCGTTAGCTTCGAGTGTGTTTGGCCCCGGATCCTGTCGGAGGTGTGTGTAGCGGTATCGCGGACCGCCTCGATCAATATTCATCGACTCAACATCGCCGCCTTGTAGTGCCATAGGCTCGGCTATGAAATAAGATTCATGGACTTTCCAAGGCACCTGTTGTTTTTTATCAATCATCTCCTCTATATTTAATGTTGCCGGTTGGATTTGGCACCCTGGCTCTTCCGGGTCGTCAATCCATGCTTGGTATTGGGCTCCTTTATTTCTGTACCTGGTGACGTCCTCCACTGTCAGTTCGATGCCGGTTCTCACTCTACCGCTTGCAGTGTCGGATGAGTCGTCAAGACGCTGGCGTTTGCTGCTGCCGCTACTGCCTCTGGATCCATAAAGACCCCTGTGTTCAGCATCGGTTTGCGCTTGACTATCTAGAGAACGCCGGCGTCTCCTGTCGCTAGAAGTGCTCGACCATCCGCTGGAGTATTCCGCATCGTACATTACTTCATCCAGATCTAGGTCGAGGCTTTCATCGTCAGCTCCATTATAGTCATCTCCATCGGTATTGTATTCACTTATACCAGACGCTCTCAGGGGAGAAGAGCTTTCTTCAGAATCTGAAAATGATTCATATTGGGACTCACTGGGGTTGGGATCACTCATCTCGAGACTAATGCCTGTGTGTGAATTCTTTGTTCCGACGGAATAAAAGTCGTCGCCAGATGAAGGTTTGTGGGAACCAGTATCACTTACCCCCGGGCTGTTTGTGTAGGGGTTTCTGGTTGAGGGGGAATATGGGTCATCGCTAGACGAAGACTCATCAAGATTTGTCTCACTCATCGCAGGTGTTACGCCTGTGTGCGAACCCTTGGTGGACAGAGGAACGTTGCTGGGCGGGGGAGCTTGGGGATCATAATCACCGCTGCTATCCTCATCTTCGCTGCCATCTTCACCAGGCTGGTTAGCTGGAGCCGCGCTTTTCGCAGCATTCTTAGGAAGTGGTTGACGCAGGGCGCGCTTTGGTACCCTTGCCCGTGGGTGATTAGATTGGTCTCCCGAGCATTGACTGTCATCGTCACAGTCACACCGGTGTCTTGGAAAGCATCTCAGCGAGTGCCGGATTTTCTTGAGCATCTTTGGTAGAAATTGGTATAACTCAAACAATTGAAGTCAGATATATGGAGTTTTGGTGCTTTTGTTGGATACTGAGCTTGAAATGAAGACCAAGAGACATACAGAGGGGGATTATATAGCTGATACTGGATAGTTGAATGGTCTTTGTTAAGTTTATTGTTAGTTCCAAAGTTTGTCGTGATCAAACACTAGATTCATCAGAAATAGGACCAAAGAATAAAAAACAAAGGATGAACAATCAACTAACACCTCGAAGACTCGAGAGATCTAAACATAGCCTTGAAAGACAAAGAAATTCGAAGTAGAGCGGATAACCTTGGGAAAACAATGAGAACGAGAATATATCAATGACAATAACATAGTATGTCAATTTATAGATAGTATTGAAAACCAAGAGAGAAGAGACAAAGAATTTGACTTAAAAGTTCCTAGAAGAGTTACTAATACCAATACCACCTTTGACATAAACTTAAACAATTCATCAGTTGAATTGAGATGTATGTATATCATGTCTCATAGTAAGAGGCAACTATTTCTGATCTCCCAAATCGGGACGATATTGAGACTTGACTACGGGTTGTCTAACAGTGCCAAATTCTTAGGAGGAATGTTACTTCAGACACCGAATTTTATTTACTTACGGTGCTTATAGGAAATCCAAAGGAAATGAATTAACATGGAATCGTGAAATTCTTGATGTGCTCAATCTAATGATCACATTTATTTGAATTGTACTTCAGTACAACCCATTCTATCATCATCATCGTCAGACATAGTATATACAGTTGGTAACGTCTCGACGAATTTAATTTATAATTCAAGCATTCTCCTTCTGCTCAATTTCACTCTTCTCGCCCTTTTCATCGGTCCCGGTCCACACATCCACCTCAGCAGCCTCGCCTTGAGGCAGGTGACGAGCCATGGAGACAATATCCCACGCGGTCGGAGCATCGCGGAAGACATGGTTCAGGGACTCCAGGTTGCGGTTCATTGTCTCGGGGTAGAAGAAGTAAACCGAGACTGGAATGCAGGCAGAGATGACAGCGTAGATAATGTAGTACTTGTATCCGATGGTGTCGAGTGCGACGGGAGTGACCATGACAACGACGAAGTTCCACAGCCAGTGGTTTCCGGTCGAGATGGCGGACATGGCGACACGGAGACGCATGGGAGCGACTTCGGTACAGTAAAGGAAGTTGCCGCCAAGGAAGCCGACAGGGTAGAACGAGTTGAAAAGGAAGATAAAGACGGCCGAAATAATGGATGCGGTTTTGTTGTCCTGGAAGCTGTTGGTGATGGTGAGGACCGTCATGCAGACGGACATACCAGTACCGCTGATAATGAAGATCTTTCGACGGCCGAGTCGGTCGATGGCGAAGAAGGAGATGAAGCTGCAGATGAACTTCCAGGTCATGGCACATGAAGACAGGATGCGAGCCAGGTCGCTGGACATGTTGAGGTTCTCTTCGAAGATTGTCGACACGTATGTCGAGATTAAGTTACCACCGCACATCTGCTGGAAGAATTGCAGTGCAACGCATAGACAGAACCGGTAGATAAGGCGCTCATCGTCGGCCTTGCTGGATGTGAAGATCTCCATGATGGAGGCGCTGTTAACCGTACTCTCAAGAGAAGCTTCGATACCGGCGATTTCCATGTGGACAGCCTCATCATCGTCAGGTAGACCCTTGTAGGCAGCGAGACTGCTGGTAGCCTCATCGATACGGCCAACCCGCACGAGCCATCGAGGTGACTCGGGGAGCAAGAAGATCGAAAACACGACGACGACGGAGAAGAAGATGGAAACGGCCAATGGAATACGCCACTGCAATGCGCCGGTAATTTTGCTCAAGCCAAAATCAATCCAGTTACAAAGAACATAACCCAAGCAGATACAGATACCGTCGACGACAACGTGCTGTCCACGATGTTTGGCTGACGTGCACTCGGACTGCCACACGGGAACGGCAACACTCATCTGACCGACACCGAGACCAAGGATGATACGGCCGATGACGAATTGTGGCAAGCCATAAGCCGCAGTCTGCAACACTTGGCCGATGATAGTAAGGAGACCACCCAAGAAGATGGTCTTGCGGCGACCGAGGCGGTCACCCAGGAATGTACACGACAAGGCTCCGAACAGAGCACCGAGCTGGAAGGATCCGATGACGGCACCCTTGCCTGTGGAGTTTTGCGCGCGTTGGGCGCCCGATGTGTTGATTGTGTCGATTTTGGGGAATACTTCGACCCAGCTCTGCAATGTAGCAAGAGGGCCCAAGCCAGACTGGTTGTAACCGAAGACGATGAAGGCCGGTGCTACAATGAGCAACGCCTGCGCTACGCTCAGCGCTTTTCCTCGGAATAATGAGACCATATTGGAGTGTGTATGTGAAAGGCCACTCTGAAGGATGAGAGAAACAGAGAGAAAAGGGAGGCCGGTCTCTCCATGGGTTTATACCCTGTTTTCGGTCAACCCTTCTCGTGGAGACCCCGCATCAGAAAAATGAAATCCTGTACCTGTGGGATGGGGGAATTCCACAGTGGATAACATATCCATATCCACCGTGGCAAGTTTTGGGTAAATCTCACTAAAATCCGTGACCGGTTCTGTCCTGTGACTCGGTCACATCACCGACTCCACGGGGTAGATATGGTCCGGGTCCCGGTGTAAAAAGATCCCGCAGCTTCGTCACTCCCGAAGAAGAAACCGCTTCCGGACTAGATCCACGAGGTTTGGGGCCGAAAATAAGAGTTAAGTGGCGGGATGATCTGGCTTGCTCGGCCGGACTGATTGGAGGAAATGCCGAATATCGGAGCCCAGACGGGGTGCCGATCCTCCCCATGATTTCGCTCGAATTATGCCACATGGAATGGGGAACTAGGAATGAAGCTGTTTGGAGTAATTTATTTTCCGAGAAATGCCATCATAAAATATCCCGGATCTTTTCGGTCTCGCGTGGTGGTAGCTCATTGCCTGACTCGGACCGCCGGCCTCGGCATTGAAAGGCTTGGGCTAGTCCCGAAGGCTTATCCACTCCGGCCAAGTGCCAAGTGCCAAGACTTTAGAACCTCGACCTTGAATCTCACCTCCAGGCTGGGGTTTTTCCATTCTCATGCACCCCACCATCTCGGTCACTCTCCGGATTTGCCCGTGGAGTACAGGCACGCCTTATTAAAATCAAAGGATTTGTCGGGAGTAGCTTGTTCCACATCACAGAGCTTTACAAATTAAAATGGTCGCTTTTGATGACTGTTTCTTCCAAGGTTCCCTCCAGATCGTGCGAGATTGTGTCATTGAGGCGTTCAAACTTTGCCAAAAATAAAATAAAAGTCTCGATCTAGTCAGGCAAGCCACGTTATCCCTTGCGATGTATGTTGTACTCCGTATAACAATTGCATTATTCTCAGGTGGATACATTTTTCCCGAGAGATGTCCGAGGAATATTGTTGAGCTCAAGACCGGGGCAAGATGGGGGTTCCCTCCACACCGTGGACGTATTCGGGTCACAAACAGTCAGAGATTTCAACATTATTTGCGGGGTCTAATACGGAGTAGATATTCATGACCGAGGTAGAAAGCCTGGCCAATAGCCAAATGGGCGAATTGAGCAAACGTCTGTCAGCCGTTTCCCTAAAGAACATGCTAGCATCTACTCCGTACTTCGTGCGACGGATGCCTTCGTGTCTCAACAAACCAGCCACCCTAACCTAGAGGTCTTCTCGGCTTTCTCTCCAGCGGTGTGCTGCACACTTTGATTATTTGCAGCATTCATCAAATTCAATCCTTGATTAGGCCAGAAAGCATCCGACCTACCCGGGGTCATGTTCCTGATACGATGGATGTATTATCATGCAGTATCTGGATTGGACAAGAACTTATATCACGGAATACGATTTCCGCCTGAGAACTCCCGAACTCGGAAATTCTGAGGATCGCCAAGCAACTTCCTTTCTTCTTTTCTTTAACATATTATTCCTCAGCTAGACTTCCACACGACCCGAAACCCAGCCCAGACTGGGTTCATCTGGGTTTTTCTGGGTCGTGCGGAGGTCTTTTCGAGAAACTAGCAAGGTCTCTCCCGTGAGAATCTTAGGGTTTACTCCGTACTCTGTACTAGACGCACGGATCGTGACTTACAATAGTTAGATTATCTCACGGCCTTGCTTATCTTCGCATTCATCCTATCAGCCACGTCTTTTGCGAACCCGTGCCGATTCCCTTCTGATCTGAGCCTACACGTAATGATGTGACTAGATTCTTCACCCGGGTAGGATTAGGATTGAATAACAGATTATACAAAGGATCTGAACAGAACATGGATTTGCTACCTAAATCTTACTGGAAAGAGAAACGAGAAATCTGAGACATTAATGTTAGAAAATAGTCCGTGACCGACGCGTGATATAAACAAGATGATATCATTACTGTCGTTTCTATAACTAGGGAACTGTCTCTTACGAGATCTCACCTTTAGAGCCCTGATATTGGCTGAACAATAGTACAGAAGCAGCTGCTAGGATATATATTATCAGGGGTATGGCCACCCCTTGTCTGAAAATTCAGTCATCGCCATCCTGATCGGGTGCGACATATGCCGGTAGAGTTTTCTACATACCGTATTCTGCCCACTCCTAGTTCACATACGTAGTAAAAAGACATGCATTTTGCTTTGAAATGGTATGAACACCTTTCCAAAATTAACTATTAAATTACAGATTCGGCGAAAAATGCTGGCTAAGGAGCGCCTTATCCACAGTAGTTTGAATAGGTGTGCGGTGAGTGCGGTGAGGAATTAGGGGTGTGCAAAAATCATATAGAAATCAGGTACACTACAATAGTAGTAGCAGTATTAGTGGTAGATGACGTTTAACTATGGAGCACGGCATTTTGAGATTTGACTTTCCGAGATTCATATCGTTTCGATGTACGTGTCTCAAATCGTCTGTGGTTAACCTAAAACAATATCACCCGCTACAAGCTCCCGGCTCTTCTATGGAAGAAATATAAGGTTGTATGTCCAAATTGCTTGTTAAAAAGCCAAGTTATTATTATCCCAGCCGCCTCCTGATGAGAGTCTTCGTTCTGTCCAAGGCAAATACATATGAAGTGTATATTGTAATAAATTTGAAGCAGGTATAGTATTAGTTAGACCGGGTAATACCATGGCCATTCGGTTAATTCGATTTGAGATACTGGCTCTGGCTAGCTAATTGAAGTGGATTTTATAAACACAGAGAATCTTCCAAGGTTGGTAGCGACCTTGTTCCAGGATACAGCCTTGGGATAATGTCATCCAGGCCCGTGAGCAGGTAAGATGAGAGTGTTTGAATGGTTAAACATTATGAATCTAGATGGGTTTTCCCTTGCTATATTATGAATCAATGAAAAGAGATTTGAATCGGAACTGGTCAAAGCAAAAAAAGCAAAATAATGTATTCTAATATCAACGTCCTTGAGAAAAATAAAGTTTACGATCAATGTGATTGGATATCCCATTTCTATCACGGTAGTACATACAGTACATAGTCATGGAAAGGGCAGACTATTGGCTATCATCACATCTGGTGTATGTTGTATAGGGGCAGGGGCATAAACTCCAAGTCACATTAGAGTTTGAACCTAAATTTGGCAGAATAGAAGGCGGTCAATAATCGGCGAATTGTAGTTTGCCTGCTCAATGACCTCACCTAGACAATTGATTTCCCGCTCGTTTCCCCTCCCACCCAAGTTTACATTGTCGCAAATCACAATGGACACGCAGGAAGATACTATGCCAATTGAATCCCTGTTTCGCCCAGCAAAAAAGCGCAAGTTCATGCGACGACGTCCCGACCATGAGATCCTAGACACCGAAGAGGCCGATAATCAAAATGATAATCCTGGCGCGTCACAAGCTCTGGGGAGCAATAATCTTCGGCGTCCACGCGCAATTCGAAAGGGCGGCATTGGGTTTTCTACCGCGTCACGGCTAGGAGATGATCAGGGCCAGCAACTAGCGCTAGTACCAGTGGCTGGAGATACTGAAAACGAGAAGATACAAGCAATGAATGAACGTTTCACGGGATATACTGGTCAAACAGTGGATGTTGACAAACACATGTACGGATCCTTTCCCGCGGCTGATCGTCCGAATCGTTTGGTGTGGACTAACGAGATAAGGATGGCATTCATAGATTCCGAGATGGCTAAGCGCTACCAGCCTGAATCAAAGGCAGATCATTCAGGTTCCAACCAACCAACCCAGGAGGAAGTTGCCGGGGGATTGTCGCTACCTGGACACCAGACACGCGAACCTGCGTCGCTAGGCAAACTCCATGAAATCGACCTCGGCCAAGAAGCCACATTGCGAAACATTGCGCGAACAGAGGCTGCGACTCGACAAATGACTGAGAATGGAGGCTTGCCGACATCGGTTGATACTGCTCCAGAGACGGGTCGCCCTAACCCAGACGGCAAGTCATGGCGCAATCGCAAACAGAGGACAGATGCAGACATCGCAAGGGATCGTCTTGTGGAGGAGGTACTACGTGAGAGCAAATGTACGTGGCATTCCAAAGTGAATTTTACAGGATCTTTATCTTTGCTAACACTAGCTGTTATAGTGGAAATCTATGATGAACAAGAAGAGGAAACACAGCTTGATGATCAACAAGCTGCTGATGACCGAGTTGCTGAGCAATTCAGGCGCGACTTTATGGATGCGATGCAGTCTCGGCGTCGGACTCGGCCTGCAGCAAAACCCGTGGCTAATGTTGAAGCGCCTCGGGGTCCGAAGCTTGGAGGCAGTCGCAGTGCAAGAGCTGCAATGCGAGAGAAAGAAGCACAGGCGGGAAAGAAATGATTGTCATTCTCATCTGAAACGGCTGATTTTCTTTGATATGTACTTTTATGCACTTGGCCCTCTGCGGCGTGTGTTTTTACTCGACATGTATGATACCGTAATATTCTTGGGCTAATGCTATTTCCGGCCTTCCCATTTCAAAGGGCTACTGACTATATCACTGGCTGGGGGCTTCTAACCGCGTGTGATGGACGATTTGCAGCCAATTATTTTTGTTATATATATCCAGAAGACATGGGTGATTGGTATGAATGTTCCAATAGGCTGGATGATTATTTTTTTGGCTTTGGCTTATCATCGAAGTAACATATAAGGACACCGAGATGCGAGAAACAAGCACAAGAAAAAGAGGGAAATAGAATAATATCTTGTTCATTAGGTTCTTCGGTATAGATGCTTTTTGCTTCATTTCGGATCATGTACACCGCCTCATCAGTTTATCTCTATTTTCTCGTATAAGACAATGTCTTCATCGAAATACTATGTGCACTTCCAATATTTAACCATAAAAAGGATGTGACTCAAGAAGGGCCATGCATAATGTCCTAAAGCCCTCTGTTAAGGTATCTGTGGGCCTCTGCCCTGATTAGTCAGCACAACTGCTCACCTGGAATGACTAAGCCTGATCTTGAACTGCCCGTTTGGACGCCAAAGCCAAAGCTACACCACCCGCAGCAAAAAGACCCGCCCTTCTCCTGCCTCCAACCAGCCCCTCTAGTTGTCCGCGCGATACACATGGTCACGTCTTGACTTTCTTTAGGCGACCTAAACCAAAATATTCACGTTGATCGTTGTGACAGCTGCGACCCTTATCCTCTAGATATACCTGCACAACTTTCGCGATGAACCCTTCCAACCCACCTCAAGCTGCCGAGTATGGTGGAGGTATGTGATCCCAGATATCCCATCCCAATTGCGCCTGCCGCTGCGATTCCAAAGAACGCTTTCATGCTATTCACCATACGAGATGCTAATTATCGCGCGACTATAGACGAGGTGTCAGCAATTGTCCTAGACCCGGGGTATTCAACCACTCGCGCGGGCTTTGCCGGTGAAGATGCTCCCAAGTCACTGATTCCAACCTACTATGGAAAATACAACGCCGACGGCCAAGAGAAGCTCGTCTTTGGCGACGACATATTCGTTACCCCACGACCCGGTCTGTCCATCTACAACCCAATCGGCAAGGATGGAATCGTCGAAGATTGGGATATGGCAGAGAAAGTGTGGGAGCACTCATTTATTTCGCGACTCACCGGAACGAGAGCGGGCAACCCGTTCCAGAACGGATTAAACGACGTTTCTGCAGACGAGCTCCCTACGGAGATGGAGGTGGAGTCAGAAGAGAAGCCTTTGTCGGACAGCCCATTGTTGATGACCGAGCCTGGATGGAACCCGGCCAAGGCACGCGAAAAGACCATTGAAATCGCAATGGAAAAATGGGATACACCGGCCTTCTATCTCGCGCGTACTGGTGTTCTTGCTGCGTACGTATACCACCCATTAACTATGATATGTGGACCACTTGCTGACCTAATTCCACGCGCAGTTTCGCTTCCGGCAAGGCCTCCGCCCTTGTTATTGACATTGGCGCTTCTAACATCTCTGTTACCCCGATCCACGATGGCATGATCCTGAAACGGGGTGTGCAGCACTCGCCGTTGGGCGGTGATTACATCTCGTCGCAGATCAAGGCAATTTTCAAGGCCAACTCCCCACAGCCCATCACAATCACGCCGCATTACCTTATCAGCTCGAAATCGGCCGTCGAAGCCGGACAACCGCCCCAAGTGAAATACAAGACCTTCCCCGCAGACAAGGCACCCGATGCGTCGTACCGTGCTCTGCTTGAGGAGCGTACACTGTCCGAGTTTAAGGAATGTGTCGTCCAAGTTTGGCCAGGACCTACGAGGCTCTCAGCCCCCAGCCCTACGGGCGTATCTAACGAAGACATGGCTCGCACTACCCCTGGTCGTCCATTCGAGTTCCCTGATGGATACAACCAAGTCTTCGGTGTTGACCGTTTCCGCGCAGTGGAATCTCTGTTCGACGCCAAAGCTGCTATTCCAGACCCCGACTCGGCTTTCCCTCCCCCGACACCCGCTCAGACTATCCCAGAACTTGTCAAGGCTTCTTTGGCCGGCGTTGACGTCGACCTCCGTCCCCACCTGCTGGCTAATGTCGTTGTAACCGGTGGATCCAGCTTGCTTTATGGCTTCACTGATCGTCTAAACCACGAGCTGATGCAAATGTTCCCTGGCCCCAGGGTCCGTGTTACTGCTCCCGGTAACACCTCTGAGCGACGCTTCGGCTCCTGGATTGGAGGAAGTATCCTGGCTAGTTTGGGAACTTTCCACCAGATGTGGATATCCAAGAAGGAGTACGAGGAGCATGGGCCGAACATTGTAGAGAAGCGTTGCAAATGATTCCATATCTTCTTCGCATTTCACTCGTGTGGTTTTTCGTTTATTGATGTTTACGGGCGTTACTGCGCTATCTTGGGCGCTTCAAAGGGGGTTTTGAGCAACTCCGGATCTGGCCTGTCTGCAAGGAAGGACCTACAAAACTGATCTAGATATTTTGTGTACGACTAATGCCACTTGATTTGATTTGTCTGAGAATAATATCCAAGACATTAAGGTGCACACTAGTACGAAAACAGATGTATGGTATAGTGGCCAGTAATGATATCCGAACGATTTACAATGAATTATTATTCCAGCTCTCAGCTAATCAAGATGTGTTCAATGTGAGACGTCCATTGGCGGGGAGGTTTATTCGTCTGCATCGATGCGTTGGCAGCCAACGCATCAGTGCCGGGGTGGCCCGTGTTTTATTTATGTCGGCCATCCCCAAATCGACTTTCTGTCAATTTTCCCCCATGAATATTGCCAAAGCACCCTAATACTTATCAATCGAAGAAAGCGACCAAGAAAAAAACGATACGAAAAAAGAAGGCTCAAACAAGCGCACATCACCATTAACATACATACATCATCATCATGAACTCGAGAATCCATGAGCAGAAAAAGAAGACTACATCGTCAACATCGTTACATCCGAGGCTGCGGGCCAAACACGCTGGAGTCAGAGTCTACGGGATATGAACACAATCAAAATGCGGCACAGTTAAGGGTATGAAAAACAAAAGGGATATCGCGAGTCGAGGTTGAAGGTCAGAGCGGGCAGACACAAGTGACAGTATCCTCACCGGCTAGCTCGAGCAATGAGCCAGTGCAGGACAGCGTCAAGGTTGGTTTCCTCCTTGGCGCTGATACCGTAGCAGCTTACTTCGCGATGGGTGATGGATTTTAGATCCATCGCCTCAATGATCTCATCCACAGACAGCTTGTCTGGAAGATCGGACTTGTTTCCGAGGACCAGGAGTGGGATGCTATCCAGCGTGGGCTTTTTCATCAGGTCGTGAAGTTCTTCTGTCGCTACTGGGAGTGCAGCGCGGTCTGCTGCATCCACGATATACCTTTATTCACCTTGGTTAGTATGCCGGGAAGAGATGGGACGGGGAAAGAAGCAAGTCTTACACGATCGCGTTGACGCCCCGACAATACCGTTCCCACATCGGCCGAAATCGAGGTTGCCCACCCAGATCCCAGCTGCGAGGGATATATTAGCGCCGCCGGGCTTAATCGGGAAGGATGAACATACCATTTCAAGGTCACATGGCCTTTCTGCACTCTTTTGGTGTTGAACCCGATTGTTGGGATGGAGCTACAAGGAAGACGATTAGGACATGGCTAAGATGAAATGATCTCAGATGTGAGACCATCTATAACTTACTCGATAGTGAACTCTCCACCCTGTTATGGTCAGCAACACCCCGTCAGGACTTTATCAGATCAACTTACCGCCAACACACGCAGCAGAGAAGACTTGCCGGCATTCTGAAGGCCGATCATGGTGACATCCATCTCGCTGGCCCTGTATGGAGTTTTAGCAGGGCTTCATCTGCGGGGACGGGCCGTGGTCACCCGAACACTGCATATATCAAACGGCCCACTTACCAGAACATCCTCAGAAGCCAGTCATAGATAGCACGAAATATACCGGCCATGACGAAGAGAGGCGAAACTTTATGAAAAAGGAATGAAAAAAAGGAGGGAAGAGAAACGAGACAATACAGTAGAATAGAACTAAAAAAAAAGAAAGCTGCCAGAGAAATTAAGAGGAAGTTGCCTCGTGTGTGTGAAAAAAGCCCAGGATGACAAAAGCCAGAGAGTGGGGTCGACCTTGTAACTGCACAACAGGTTGATATATCCTTGATGATGTCTCGATACGACGAAGAGATGAAAGGTGAGAGAAAGAGGGAAAAAAAGAAGAGAGAGAAAACAAGATCGCCACACCGTTGCAAGAAAATCAACCAGACACAATTTAAAAGGCCTATTATTAGAGGGAATGATGTTTTAAGGGGATAACCGCCGGCAGATGTCAATAGAAAAGGATATTGGATCTACACAACGTCCTATTTGTCTATGGAGAAGTGGCCGATCTACCTACACACATGACCTCAGGGCGCTTAGCCTCCATTGGCTTCAGCTTGGGGTGAATGGCGTTGTGCAGCATGGCCAGCCCGTGTGGCGTAGTTACAAGTTCCCACATTTCTAGCGGTTATGTAGTGCTGCAAGTTTGATCAATCTAGAGTCTACTGGGATTAGGGCTTCATAATCATGCCAGGAGCTTGCAGTCAAACTAGAGTTTCAGTACGGCGTTAGGGAGTTAATGAACGGTGAACGTCGAACTTTTGGACTTGAACCTCATTTTGGCGCCTCAGGCCAATAATGCATATCACCACGTGCCGATAAGCGTCTGGCTCCACCCTCGAAAAATTTCCCCAAGCAGAACAGACATCTCTCGTCTTTTGGCAGCTGCCATTGTCGGTTCAATTCCTGTGGTCTGGCTGATACAATATTGGGCGGAGGAATAGAACCGATATTGTCGCGATTTTATCTTGACATATAAGGGTCACATTTATTGTGCTGTTTAGTCTTTCTTTTCTATACCGCATCAACCGACTTTCAAGAGCTGCGAATTTCCATCATGGCGCCCGCAGCCACAGACACTCAGTGGTCAGTCGAATACGACACCCTGCGACGGGAGAACCTGTTCAAGAATCCTCCCGCGGATCACACGGCTTATCCATCGCTGGCCGAGTCGATTCGACCGCATATCGATTCCTTCAATGCTCTCTTCGAAGACAGCAAGATCCTGGAGGCAGGATTGAAGGATATCGGTACCAAGACTTTCCTCGATGGGGAACTCGAGACCTATGAGCAGAAGAAGGCCCGCCAATCAGAAGGCGTTCGCCCACCGAAGCGGAATCGCTTGAACGTCCGCGTGCGTGAAATCTTCCTCGACAAGCCTACCCTGCCCCCAACCAACAAGTACACCACCCGAAACCGTGAAATCTACCCCTCGGAATGCAGAGAGCGCCACTCGACGTACCGTGGCAAGCTCCGCGCTCGCCTCGAGTACCAGGTCAACAATGGAGACTGGATGGAGTCTATCCGCGAGCTGGGTAATGTCCCGATCATGGTGCGCACCAACCGGTGTCACCTCGAACATGCTAGTCCCGAGGAGCTTGTTCGACACAAGGAAGAATCGGAGGAACTCGGTGGCTTCTACATCGTTAACGGTAACGAGAAGCTCATTCGTATGCTGGTCGTCGGCAAGCGCAACTACCCCATGTCCATCATTCGTAATTCTTTCGTCAAGCGTGGGCAGACTTACACAAAGTTCGGTGTTCAAATACGATCGGTCCGTCCCGATCAAACGTCGCAGACAAACGTGCTTCACTACCTCTCCGACGGAAATGTCACCTTCCGTTTCTCATGGCGCAAGAATGAATACCTTATCCCCGTGATGATGATTCTCAAGGCACTCGCCGAGACTAACGATCGCGAAATCTTCGAGGCCATTGTCGGTGGTGCTTCTTCCAAGGGCATGAACAACACTTTCGTCACGGACCGTGTCGAGCTTTTGTTGAGAACCTACCACGCCTACCAGAAGCACAGCCAGTACGATTGTCGATCTCACCTGGGCAAGGCTTTCCGACCTGTACTCGGAGTCCCCGCTGACATGCCTGACGAGGAAGTTGGCACAGAGTTCCTCCGTAAGGTTGTTCTCCCTCATCTTGGAAATGAGCATGTCACCGAGGCGCAAGATTGGGACAAGTTCAAGTTGATCACCTTTATGGTCCGCAAGCTTTACTCTACAGTTGCAGGAGACTGTGCCCCCGACAATCCCGATGCCGTCTCCAACCAGGAAATTCTGCTTGGTGGTTTCCTTTACGGAATGATTCTCAAGGAACGTATCGAGGAGTGGCTCCGTTCATTCGGTCCCATTGCCAGAGACTGGTCCATCCGCAACAACGGCGCAAGGTTCACTGATGAAGCATTTGAGCGCGACTTCCTCTCTAAGATCGTCAAGAGATCAAATGAGAATATTGGTAATGCACTCGAGTACTTCCTCTCCACCGGTAACTTGATCAGTCCTACTGGTCTTGATTTGCAACAAACTTCAGGTTACACCGTCATTGCAGAGAAGATCAACTTCTACCGTTTCATCAGTCATTTCCGCATGATTCACCGTGGTAGTTTCTTCGCCCAGTTGAAGACTACCACTGTCCGCAAACTACTACCGGAAAGTTGGGGTTTCCTTTGCCCTGTCCACACTCCTGATGGATCGCCTTGCGGTCTGCTCAACCATTTGTCGCACAAGTGTTTGATTTCTACTGACAATCTGGATGTATCTGATCTGCCTCGGACTCTGGTTCAACTTGGTGTCCGGTCTGAGTCCTCCGTGGCTCTGGACGAGAGCGTTGTTGTCCAGTTGGATGGACGAATCATTGGTTACTGCTCACCCAAGCAGGCCCAGAGAATCGCCGATACCATCCGGTACTGGAAGGTCGAAGGCAAAAACAACATCCCTCGTGAATTGGAAATTGGATATATTCCCAACTCAAGCGGTGGACAATACCCAGGTGTCTACATGTTCTCCCAATCAGCGAGAATGTACCGCCCTGTTAAGTATTTGGCGCTGGATAAGCTGGATTACGTCGGACCGTTCGAGCAGCCTTTCATGGAGATTGCATGTGTGGAGTCTGACCTGATTCCCGGTCTTTCGACCCATATTGAGTTCACGCCCACGAACATCCTCTCTATTGTCGCGAACATGACCCCCTTCTCCGACTACAACCAATCTCCACGTAACATGTACCAGTGCCAGATGAGCAAACAAACCATGGGTACGCCAGGTACCTCGATTGCTCACCGTACTGACAACAAGTTGTACCGCATCCAAACGGGTCAAACGCCCATTGTGCGACCACCTCTCTACAACGCCTACGGTCTGGACAACTTCCCCAACGGTATGAACGCAGTTGTGGCTATTATCTCCTACACCGGATACGACATGGACGACGCTATGATTATCAACAAGTCCGCACATGAACGTGGCTTCGGTCACGGTACAGTCTATAAGACCAAGGTCGTCACTTTAGCCGACAACGACTCCCGTCGGAATAAGTCCAAGCGTGAGGTCACCAAGCTGTTTGGATTTGCCCCCGGCGACGAGGTCAAAGAGCAGGTGCGCAACATCATCGACGAAGATGGCATGCCGCACCTGGGTGCTCGCGTCAAGGAAGGTGACAAGATCGCGGCCTGGCACAGTGTGCGATTCGATCCCGCCTCCGACTCGTACGTTAACGTCGATGGAATCACCCATTACATGAAATACAAGGATGCCGAGGAAGGCTACGTCGAGAGTCTCCGAATCATCGGTTCCGAGTCTGGCAACGAGCCTGCTCAATCGCTCAGTATCAAGTACCGCATTCCCCGCAAGCCTGTCATTGGTGACAAGTTCTCCTCTCGTCACGGTCAGAAGGGTGTGTTGTCTCAACTCTGGCCTGCAGTCGACATGCCCTTCTCCGAGAGTGGCATGCAGCCCGATCTGATCATCAACCCTCACGCTTTCCCATCCCGTAAGCTCCCATCACTCATAATATCAAATTGTTCCCATCTAACATATCTTAGGTATGACAATCGCTCAAATGATCGAGTCCATGGCCGGAAAAGCCGGTGCCATGCACGGTCTACCGCAAGACTCAACTCCCTTCCAATTCTCCGAAGAAAACACCGCAACCGACTACTTCGGTGAGCAGCTCCGCAAAGCCGGTTACAACTACTACGGCAACGAGCCGATGTACAGTGGCGTCACTGGCCGTGAGTTCTCCGCCGACATTTACATGGGCCTGGTCTACTACCAGCGTCTGCGTCACATGGTGAACGATAAGTTCCAAGTGCGTACGACTGGTCCCGTCAACGCGCTCACGGGCCAGCCCGTGAAGGGTCGTGCGAAGGGTGGTGGTATCCGTGTCGGAGAGATGGAGCGTGATTCGCTCATTGCTCACGGTGCGGCCTTCTTGCTGCAGGATCGTCTCATGAACTGCTCTGACGCCCAGCACACCTGGATCTGTCGCTCCTGTGGGTCCTTCTTGTCCACACAGGTTGCTGTTTCCGGCTCGTCCCGTTCTCGCACCACTATCAACCCTGGTGCTGCGGCTGCGGCTGCCAAGGCTGCTCCTAACCAGCAGAACACCAATGCTCATGCTAGCTCTGCTATTGGTGCTGTTGGCGGTGTCAATGGTGTTGTGCGTTGCCGTCGTTGTGCCCGTGAGGCTACCTTCGATGACTCCCGTGCTGAGGTTTGGGAAGATGGTGATGGTCACCGCTACGTCGGTGGTGACAATGTTACTATCGTTGCTGTGCCTGGTGTGCTGCGCTACTTGGATGTCGAGTTGGCAGCTATGGGTATCAGAATGAAGTTCTTGGTGGATAACTGATATATCAGTTTCTGACTCGGATCTCAAAAATTTGTTTCCTTGTTTCAATGTCATAGGTGGCGTATACCTGGTTTAATGATTATACTCATCTGCTTCTCGTCTTCTTCTTTTTGATTGCAAATATTCTTTTATGTACGAACAGCATTTCCTAGCAGAATTAGAAGTTTTGAAAGAAAACGTCTTCGTAAATGGGCTTCTAGTTATAATATTCTCGACCAAGGCGTTCAAAGATCTCAGGAGTTGGTTACAACAAGATGAGATTTCATTTCACTAACGATACTACATGTCAATATGCTTCCAATACTTCTCTCAGATATTAGCCTCAAACAGAGCCTTTCGTCCCCTCGAGCTCACTCTGCACCAAACCCGTCTTCGCAGACGGGAACTCCCTTGTGCGCACCTTGTTCTCAAATAGAACATCCAACTCAGCATAAGAGCGCCCCTTGGGCTCAGGAAGTCTGAAGAACGACCAAACAAGACAGAGAATGCACAGTCCACCCCAGAAAAACCCAGACTTCCCCCTCCAATTCCACGCATCCACATTCAGCATATAGGGAATAATAATCCCGGTCACCAGATTAAGCACGTTATACGCATTCCTCGCCAGGACAACAGTCTTCGTCCGAAGTCTGGACGACGGCATCTCCGAAACCAGCGAGAAACACACCGGCCCGATAGTCGAATCATAGACGAACGTATACACAAGCAGCATAGACCCCGTCGCCCACGAGAGTGACGTAGTCGCCGGCGCAACAGACGCAAACCCAATCACAAACAGGATAACCGCCAGTATAGCCAGGCCACCCACATAGAGCGTGCGCCGACCAAAGTACGTCATAAATAGCCACGAGCTAAACGTCCCAACAACCCCAATCGCATACTGCGCCAGCGACATGGTAAATGACTGCTCGTCCGCCAGCCCAGCACGCTGGTAGAAGACAGTCGAGTATCCCATCAGACCACTGCCGCATAGACTCTGCACCGCCCACACACAGCACGCGATCTCCGTGCGTCGCAGATCGGTCCCCTTAAAGCAGTCAATATACGAGGCGCCAGTCTCAGCGTGCTGCTCCATGGCATTCGTATACACAATCATCGAGACAGTTTCCTCTGCGCTGAAATTGGGGTCTGCGCGCGTGAGCCGCTTCACGGACTTGATGGCGTCTTCGCGTCTGTCTTTCCGCACAAGCCACCATGGACTCTCGGGCGCCAGGTACACCCCGATGAAGATTGGCACCGGCCATACCCACTGGATGGCGAAGGGGATGCGGTACGCCCACTGGTCGGTGTGTGCGACAAGACCCCTTAGCACGCCTGAAGCGATCAGCTGCCCGAATACCCAGCACAGATTGACGTAGGTAGTTAGGTAGGCGCGTAGTGCGACGGGGCATACCTCTGATGCGTATGTGACTGTCAGGGTCTGGTAGACGCCGAGGGGGATTCCCATGAGCAGTTCGCCGGCGACGAGAGTCTGGACGTTTGGTGCGAAGAAGAGGATGAAGATGAAGCCGACGGTAGTGGCTAGACAGGCCATTAGGGTTTTGCGGTAGCCGTAGCGCTCGGAGACGATGCCGTTCACAAAGAGGCCTACGATCTGGCCGCAGCTCATCGCGTTGGTCAGACTGGCTTGCCAGGAGGCAGCGAGGCCGTACTTGCCGTCCGACATGAGTTCGCCGTATTTCAGGTTGAAGGCTGGGAAGGCGAAGAATGAGCCGATCAGGACCACGTCGTAGCCTTCCATGATGATGGCGCAGGAGAGGAGGAGGGACCAGGCTACAGCTTTGGAGTAGAGTCGCAGGGCTTCCATGGCGGTCATTTTGTGTTCTTTTTCGATGGCGGCGTGGGCTTCGGTGCTGGTTTGGAGGTCTGTGTAGCCCGGCTTGACATCTGTATATGTCTCGACATGATCGGTGGCTTGCTTTTCAGAAGCCATTGCTGAGATGTGCCAATAGAAGCTCTGAGTATGATTCCAGGTTTCTGTTCAAGGTGGACAGGACTGGATAGAAGAAGTATTCCATGCGGGCATCGTTGGGCATTTATATGCAAAACTGTGCTGCTAATGGTCGTCGACGGTAGTCCATAACGAGCGACGAAGGGACCGTTCCATTGGCCCATTCGTCCGTCGAGCTTAATCCTTGCTTAATCCATTTGACATGCGGTAGTTGTGGCGCGTGCAGACTTTCCCCGGTTTCTCTGCACCAGCATGGGGTACGGTTTGGCCCACTATCCCCGGATTTTCTGGGAGAGTCGTGATTGGCCTGATGTCGGGCCGTGCAGGGATGAAGAGGCATTTAGTCCTGTCAATTTACTCCGCATTGGCTCCTTTCATCCAGCCTTGTCTTGCGTGTTTCTTATGGCCCTTTCAGGGCTGTTGCTTTTCCCGATCCGGTTAGATAGGGCTGGGGGATATCACGGGATCATTGGTGAGATGTCGGCCCGACATACTTCTTTTTCCCCTCATTTTTGCAATGAACTAACGCATTGTGAGTTAGGCCCAGAAAGAAGAGACGAATCGGCATGGACAATCTCGGCATCTGATATGGTCAGGCGGTTGGAGAGCTCGGTATGCTTTCCGGATCGTGGAATTAAGTGGGAATCTCTACCATACTGAAACACCACCAACCCTCATTCAGCACAGAAAGACCCGCAGGCAGATGAGGGGCACATGATTCTGCTGAAATGATCGTCGGCCCGACATCGAGTCAATGAGAGCAATGGCCCTCCCTACGTGATATCGGAGACTCCATAGTCGAGCAGGAAGTGCAATGACAATCAAAAATCGAATGCTTTAGACACGTATATATAGCCTCTCCAGTTTTTCGTATTTTGGACCTATATTTCTTTTTCTATCACCATTCCTTGCATTTAAATCCCTGAAATTCACCATGTCTCCCTCTATAGTGGCCGAAAAGTGGTGGAAAAACTCCATCATCTACCAAATCTACCCCGCCAGCTTCAAAGATTCTAATGGCGATGGCATTGGCGACATCCCAGGGATTATCTCATCGCTCGATTATATCACAAGCCTTGGTGTGGATGTAATTTGGCTGTGTCCCATGTACGACAGCCCGCAGATTGACATGGGCTATGATGTTGCCGACTACAAAAGCGTATATGGCCCATACGGTACTGTCCAGGACATGGATACCCTCATTGACGCATGCCACAAGCGAGGACTTCGGATTATCCTGGACTTAGTCGTGAATCACACATCAGACCAGCACAAATGGTTCAAGGAGTCCCGCTCTTCAAAGACAAACCCCAAGCGCGACTGGTACATCTGGAAGCCAGCTAAATACGACGCGAACGGAAATCGTCAGCCGCCAAATAACTGGCGCAGCATTTTCGGTGGCAGTGCGTGGGAGTGGGACGAGACAACAGAAGAATACTATCTCCATCTGTTCTGTGTTGAGCAGCCCGATCTCAATTGGGAGAACCCCGAGACTCGCAAGGCAGTCTACGAGGATGCGATGGAGTTCTGGCTGCAGAAGGGCGTGGATGGCTTCCGCGTCGATACGGTCAACATGTACAGCAAGCACCCCGACTATCCCAATGCTCCAATCCTTGATCCAAAGTCCGACACACAACCGGCTTTCTCGCTGTTCTGCAACGGTCCTCGCATCCACGAGTACATGCGCGAGATGAACGACGTGCTTTCCAAATACGATGCAATGACCGTTGGTGAATTGCCAAACACGCATACCTTGGAAGGGGTTCTGAGCTATGTCTCAGCGGCAGAGAAGCAGCTGAGCATGGTCTTCCAATTCGACATCGTGGACCTCGGCCAGGGCAAGGACTATAAGTTCCAGACCAATTTTCCGGGCTGGAATCTACGAGAACTAAAAGCCGCCGTGAAAAATACACAAGATATCATCAAGGGCACTGATGCATGGACCACAGTGTTCATGGAAAATCACGACCAGGGCCGGTCTGTGAGTCGGTTCGGCTCTGACAAGACACCCGAGTTGAGGGTTCGGTCTGCAAAGATGCTTGCTATGATGCAAAGCACTCTCTCCGGCACGCAGTTTATCTACCAGGGCCAGGAGATTGGAATGGTGAACGCGCCTCGAGAGTGGACGATTGACGAATACAAAGACATAGATAGCATCAACTATTATCGGATGATAAGCGAAAAATCCGGCAAAGACCCAGCCGAGTTAAGCAAGGCGATGGATGCTCTGCAGTATTTGGCGAGAGATCATTCCAGACTCCCCATGCAGTGGAGTGCTGATGCCAATGCTGGCTTTTCACCGGCCTCATCGGCAAAGCCGTGGATGCGCCCGCATGACAATTACCCTGAGATCAATGTGAAGCTCCAGGAGAAAGACTCATCTTCTGTTCTTTCCTTCTGGAAACAGATGAATCAGCTGCGAAAAGAGTATGCCGATCTCCTGGTCTTTGGAGAGTTTGAGATCCTCGACGAGCCAAATCAGAGTGTCTTCACCTATACTAAGACAAATCACAACCAGACCATTTTGGTTGTTCTCAACTTCTCAAATACAACACAGAAGTTTGAGAAACCTGATTCCGTGAAGAGCGAAAATTGGAAATTGTTGGCTAGCAATGTAGATGGGCACAATGAGGACTTGCATGCGTTTGAGGGAAGAGTCTTTTTGGTTTAGGGCTGGGATATATTACTCTTTAGATACTCGTACTTAGATTGCTTAGAGGACATCATCATGGCAGATTGCAATCAAATATACTTCATTGATTGCTTTAAACAGATCTTTCTATCAGTTTTCTGCGTAGACACCATGATCTTACTCGTCAGTCTATCCTGTTGTAGAAAATACAAGCATTACACTGAGGATAAAACGTGCATCATAAATTGAACTTCTTAGTCAAAATACACTTAAGACCCTTTGAGGTGCATACAGCTGATCCGTCGGCCTACGTCCGCTTAGCAAAAGGCGAACATAGCCGACTATCTGCCAACAGCTGCTCAAACACAGGACCGACGATAGAGTCATCGTACCCAAGCGATAGCAGCGTGCCAATCATAGCGTTAACACGTTTCATGTGGTCTGCCACGACTTTCCACAACTTGTCTTTAATCTCGAACTCACATTGATAGTCCATAATCAGAGGCTCGAGACGGCGCATCGGATTCATCACGCTGAGCTGAGGATTAGGACCGAGTTCAATAGTGATGCAGTGACCAATTTTGGAGAATGAGCATTCAATGACGAGACCAGGGGCCTGGCAGCCCTCCTCGACGGACACTTTAACCTCTTTCGTCCGGTCGATGCCGTCACAGTAAATTTTCAAGTTGTCCGGAATGGACGTCAACGACACAAATCGGAATTTCGAGGGCCGGTCGATTGATTCGGCGGTCAGCTTTCCGTCAGCCTGGTTGAAGTGGACAGCAAATTTCCGTTGCCCCTGGCCTGCCGTCGAATTGGGTGCATCGTCTTCAAAATCTTCCAAAACAATGGCTTCAGCATCGTTGCCGATGACAACAAGAAACTCGAACGCTTCCACATTCAAGCAACCGTTTCCGGGCGCTGGGCTGGCATCCATAGGAATGATAGTTCCTTCACGGCTCAGAACAGGGTATTCTTCCAGTCTCCGGTAAAATGTGATCTCCCGGTCTGCGTCATACAATTGGCCAGTAAATATGTCAACAAACCGGGGACCGGGTGGCAGCCATGCTTTGACAGCCCCCAAGTTTGTCGTCTTGTCCCGAGGATCGACAATAGGAGCAATCAAGAGTTTCGAGCCAAAGATATACTGATTGGGAAACACGTACGCCTGATCAGAGTCCGGAAACATCCAGTACATCGGCTGCACTAAAGGCTCATTCTCGATAGAACCGACAACGTTGCATGTATACAGGAATGGTACCAGTCGATGTCGCAACCTCATAAAGCTAGACATGACCTTCTTGTACTCCGAGCGATACATCCACGGCTCTTTAGAATTCCACTTCGAATCAGAAGAATGCAGACGGAAAATGGGCGAAAAGACACCGAGCTGGACCCATCGAGTAACGAGTTCGTCGTCTCTGCCTCCAAAGATATGGCCGCCAATATCATGGCTCCACCACCCGTAACCTACATTCGACGCTGTTGCGGTGAACTCCGGTTGGAAGGCCAACGAATCCCAGGTGACCACTGTATCGCCCGAGAATCCCACTGGGTATCGCTGGCTTCCAGGCCCGGCGTACCGGGAAAAGATAAGGGGAGTGGTGTTGCCATCTCGTCCATGATCGAGATAGTGGAAATGGTTCAGAAGCCAAAGGGGATCGAGGCCAGGAACTTTGGAGTACGGGCCTTGCTGCCAGTCAATCCACCAGAAATCGCATGCGGTATTCTCCAGATTACGATGCAGGATCTCGAAGTACGCTTTCATGAACTTGGGGTTAGAGGGATCGAAAATAATTGGCCTCTTTTCCCCGGTATCGTGACCCAGAGCTTTGGCCATTTCCTTGTATGCATCTTCATGGGAATGAATTCCATTGTGAGGATGATCATTCAGGGTGATCTTGAGATGTCTCTCGTGCAGATCACGTCGGAACTGCTTGGGATTTGGGAAGAGTTTCTTATCCCAGGTATAGCCGGTCCATCCGGCATGGGGTACAGAAGGGTCTGATACGAGATGCCAGTCCATGTCGACCACAGCAACTGACATGGGAATATCGCGTGCACGGAACTCATCCATGAGTTGAACATACCCGTCTTGGTGATAGGCATAGTATCGGCTCCACCAGTTGCCTAGAGCATATCGGGGTAATATGGGCTGCTTGCCGGACACTGAGTAGAATGCTTTCATCGCCGCTTTGTAGTCATGACCGTAGCAGAAAAGGTATCCATCGATACGATCACCCGGTTTCCGACCCGCCACAAAGTCTCCATCGAAGAGCATAGATGTTGAGTCATCGAGGGCCGCATATCCTGCTTTGGAAATCACTCCTTTTCCCATATCGCAACGGCCATCGCAAAGATCAAGGGTCCGAGCTGTGCCTCCCAAATTGAGCTCCTCATCGAGTCCATACTGCCATGGAGCCCCCCAGTTGGTATATTTGAAGTTGAAATGGACGTTCAGTCCAGCAGGGGAGAATCGTTGCTTATCGTAACATAGGTGGAAATTGTCGGCGATGATCTCGAGATTACCATCGTTGTCGACGACGCGGAATTGGGGCGTCGGAAAGTGCCGGTTGATGGCGAAAGTTGACGCTCGGTCTTCGAAACATCCATCAGAAGCCCACTCGTACCGAATCAAGAAATCGGTCAGAATGGTAAAGCGATATTTCGGACCAGAAATGACGGCCCGAGGGTTGGCGACAGAATTAGTCGGAAAGGCCATGATTCAACTGTTCGGCATGGATTCGGCATGCAGTTTTTTTGGACACACTCTGGAAGGATATTTATAATTTGATATCAAATTCCTGGTCTAAATTTCCGAGAGACTTAATTCAGCGAGAGATTCAGCGAGCAATTCAGCGATTGGCTCGACGATCCGGGGTGATCTGCCAACAATTCCCCGGGATCTCTCCGAGAATTTCAGCGAAGGTTTCGCCGCAAGTAGTTAGTTATGACAACAATTTGGTTGTTACTAACTGAGAATTTTGGGATCAGACATGTTTGTACATAATCCACAATTAAGATGACCGTATTCACATTAAATACACATGACTATAAATATTTCATTCCAGGGTGTATGCATCCCGTTGGTCTTCCACATCTTCGTCTCTAATGACCAAATTATACATGGTAAAAGGGCTACCAAAGAAAATAGAATACTCAGCCAATCGTCCTCCTAGAGACAGGGCGAATTTATCGTGGGAGTTTGGACTTAGAGAGAGCTGTTTTTGAATTGAGTCTAGTCGGTCCATGTTCTGTGACATTGCCTCTGTCCAGCCTGTCAAATTTCTTGAGCAATGCATGAAGTCAGCCAGAGTGTTGCCTACGTCGTATATTTTTTCGAACTGGTACGTACGGTTAGCTCAGGCGAATGTAGAAACAGGTTGTGACACATACAATCCCTAGTCCATGTACTGCCACTGACTCTTTAGAGAGCGATGTCAATGTCTGTAGTAAGGATAACGCAATATCCTGTGGATAAGAAAACGTCCTAGACCGTGATCCCGCCTTGGTAGAAAGTAACCCCTGCCGAAGGGCCGCTCTCCATAGAACCAGGTCAAGCCAGTGCTGGGTCACAAAGATATCAGCTTTATGAGCGTCAGACATCACGACGCAGTCCGGAAGCAACTTTAAGCAAAAAAGGTTCCATGTCGAATGGGTTGTGCCGATTGTCTCCTTTTCACTCCAGAAGTCCAAAAAGTTGACATCGATCTGCGAATAAACGTGCACAAGCTGGCGGAATCCGATGTCAATTTCTGGCTGTTCTTCTAGGCCCTCTAGTTGATCGTTCGGCCCGGGAGCAGGAAAAAGCAACGGGCGAGGTAGAAGGACCGGTTTATGTCTTGCTACTGCGAAAGATCTCTCCGTGACGAACAGAATGTTGTAAATTCGACGGCAGTACAGAGCGCTTATATAATCCATGCCACGGTAGAACTCGTCCGTGTGCAAGCCAAGTGCCTGCGCCAAGGTTATAGCTTCGCGGAGGTAGAACCAACTTTGTCGAGCATTATGCAATTCAAAGTGCGTAACTCCGATAAAGAAAGATGCTAGAAGCGTCAAAACAGTGCTGTCCCCGACGAAGTTATATTCAGACCGCACCGAATTGCTCTTTTCTATCAACCGATGCGCGACTGATGCCCATTCTCCGCACCCGATAATGGATTCGCTGCGACCGCACATAAACGCGGTGACCAATGCGCATAGCGCAAATAACATAGTTTGCTCATTTGGTTCCATCGGTCGATTGAGCCATTCGATTAGAATAGATGGTCTGAAAAGAGGCATGATCGGGTACATCTGACGTAGATAGACGTCGACACAGCGTCTCATCAGCCGTGGCAAATGATCTGGAGATAGGAGATCCTCCACTGGTTGGCAGGCGCTATTATTATATTCCTTGACATGTGATTGAGCAGCCCTTAGTGCTTCTATCTTCTTTCCACTGCCATGTTTCGGACCGCGCTTTTTCCGGACGTATTCACGTCTGCAGGTAAGCTGGGTCCGCTGGCAGAAGCCGCAAGGTAAAAGTCCGTCGCAGCGTACTCGACGTTGGCGACATGAGTCGCACGGTACTTTTTTGGACGACATCGTGGTATCGTCTTCAAACTGTGCCATCGGCAGTTGAATACAGACTGAAACTCACGGGAAATTTTCTGAGTCTCCATCGACGTATGTCCAGTGGGGATTTGAGCACCGAACTCCCTCACCGCCATCACCGCCCACCAACGGGCCTGACAAAGCCATTCCCATGCTTCGCCCCCTTAAGCTTATGTGAAACTGCCCAGTTTTAAAGGAAAGACACTTCCCGTGGCGCTGACTTAGTACGTCTATAGTCTACTTCTAAACCTCTATAGTAAACCACTGAGAAACAATCCTATATCCTTGTAGCCCTCGCTGAGATTGATACTGCCCTGAAGTGCTCTATCAAAACAATCGACTATCTAAGCTATACTATATATACACATGCCACATCACTGTACCGACTCATGGGGGTCCATAATCCCGCTGCCCGTAAAGACATAGAGACAAGTAAGGCCTGCTGTGCGGATAATGGGCGCCAAGCCTATTGCCCCTTTCTCTCATTGGGACAGAGACTGAGAAGTACGGAATAGGCCGCCTGATTTGTGCTGCACCTATCCTATCCACTGTGTTACTACCGCGGTGTGGGAGGTCCCTGCGCCGGAGCTTAGGCTCCTGGTTAGGTTCCCCGGTAAAGTAGACCAGTCGACGGTAGTTGTACGCGCCACTAGCCATCACTACTGGCTCCAGCAAATGGTCCAAGTACAACCGCTCCAAGCCAGCCTCCTCAGATATGCAGTAGCCGAAGATAGTTTCGAACTTTGCCCCGTCGAGGAGAATCACGTGCTGCAGCGATAGCTCTCTTAAAGTTGGCTGTAGCCTCTGTATAAAGGCTAGTATATCTGCTGATCTCACCCGTAATCCGCGGAGAACGACGCGCTTCAAGGGAGGTAGCGGGATCATCTCGGCTATGTACGGGAAGAATCGTTCACGGTACCGGTTGAGTCCCGAGAAGATCAGATCCTCTTCCGAGAGGATCAGATCCTTAAGTTGATAATGATGGAGTTCTAGACTCTCGAGCCCCCGGCAGCGTTGTACCAGGGCGGGGAGGCCAGTAAACGTCGAATCCTGATACACCTCATTCTCTATATCTTCACGTTCCCTCAACTCATCTTCCAAATGCTCGTCCCACGTGTCCGATGGGTCGCCTGTTAGGCCGAGATCCTCTGTCCTTTCATTGATAACCCGATCCGAAAAGCTTACGGCGAGTGTTTTCAGCGACGCGAGTGACGTCGCTAGCATATTGTATTCAAAGTTCACGGCACTAGGCTCGTTACACGCTAGGCTGCACCGCTCTATACTGTTGTAGACGTCGAGCCGCTGTACCGCGATCCCACTTGCCGCGAATGCCGCCAGCGCCGTAAGGAACGTGTCGGCGGCAGCCTGCCAGATCAGGGTCCAGCCGAACCCGTCTTTGGGGAGCAGTCTCGTCTGCGCGTCCTCGCGATACACCACGACTGTCAGGGATAAGGAGCGGAGACCCCGGCGCCTACCATGGGCCATGAGGTTGCGGAATATCTGACTCAGCAGGAGAATATCACCGCGAGACGCATGTAGGGTTTCATACTCTGTTTGCCGTCGAGTCAGGATCTCGAGGTCCTGCTGCTGCTTTGCGCGATGTCCTGCGTCCCCTGTAGTATACTTGACCTCTTGCGTGAGGAATTTAGTGTTGTTCACCACGCCGACCAGTACCAAGTCGCTAATGAAGCAACCTAGTCGGCCGGGCTTTGCTGTTGCCTCGGCTACGGCCCGGAGGCTGCGCTCCGTAACGTCGACCTGTCTTTGCTCTAGGTGGGATCCGAAAGACGGGGCTCCGAAGACCCTGAGTGCCAGACCGCGGCTCGTGAGGCGGAGATTGCAAATATCGCGCAAGTTGAGAAACGAGACGATATTATCAATTGTCTCAGCAGGACACTGCTCGATGGTGCTCATTCTGTCTTGAAATATTCGCTTTGACCGACATAGGTTGTTGGTACTTTACTCGGGGCGGCAGGAAAGAGGGGTCGTTTTCACCAGATGTCGGAGAAAAACAGGCCACGTTACCACTAGGCCAAAAAGGTGCACACCTTCTCAGTAAGAATAACTGGTGTATTTCTCGCTCCGACAGCAGATTGGGCCTTGATGCCTGGATTTTGGCCTTATCTTAGACCGCTTTTAGGTAGTTATCTAAATGATGCCGGGACGGATTAACCAGGCCCTATGATGATCATGAAGCTTTTGGCACCATGCAAATTTAATCATCTCAACTTTTTCAGGTGCTTTACTAGCTCTCTCCGTCATATATGAATATAAAGCCATCACCATGGAGTATGTAATTCAAATGGTACCACCACCACCAACAATAAAGAATTTTTAATTCTATTTTACTACAATTATGATGAATTGCCGGTCGCATTTAATCAAGGGAATTGTTGCTCACCCCCACCCCCCTGCCTGAATTTTCAGTACCGCCTTCCTAATTTGGTTAAGCACTTACCTCGATACTTGCTTCTGCCTACCGCTCTCCTCACCGCCTCCTAATTTGTATACCGCTTTTGTTCTAAACGGCATATATGATAGTAGCAAGACAGCAGGTACCTATGGTTTGTATGTAAACCCCTACCAAAATTAAGTCACTTCTGTCACATCCTATATCAACTGCTCATCCAGCAAGGGGTTGAATTCTATAGAAATCAGGTTGAATATACGATTTTTTCTAATCAAAATGCATGTCTTTTTACTATATAAACCAGAAGTAGGCAGAATACATGGCAGAAAAAATAAAGTATTCTGAGTGGTACCCGATCAGGAAGGCGGTACTGAAATTTAAGGCAGGGGAGGGTGTGAGCATCCAAGGGGGGGGGGCATAAGCAACAATGCCCTTAATCAATTGGCTACTCTCTACCATATAGTATCTAAATGACTGTTTTGGAATTAAACCGTGTTTATTATTGGTGGTGGTAGAATTAATTCAAATTGCTTCATGCATCATGCATGACGGAGAGAGCCAGTAAACCACCTGAAAAAGTTGAGATAATTAAATTTGTATGGTGCCAAATGCTTCATATTCGTGGATGCCAATAATATTGGACCGCACAGAAGAAGTTGGATCCACCAGGGCAGAAAGTTACCGCTTTGGGATATTTTCTGCGGGAAAACCAACTCCATGGCACGAAAAGCTGATGGGGTAAACCACATTACATGACGACGCCGATTCTCGTACGCAATAATATTCAGTCTTATGGTACACAACCACCGGCCTTAGTCTGCCATCGGGCACCAAGCCTGCATGTAAAACTCCGTATTCCCACAAGTATACCCCGGATACCCCAGAGCATGCAGCGCATCAAGCTCGAGGCACGTCAGTACCTGAGTGCCGCAGTGCACGTCGCCCGGCGTCAGGCCTTGGGACACATACCCACAGTTCAAATCCTGCGCGGCAAACGGACCCAGATACATCGGGTATCCGTAGTCGGAGTCCTCATCCGTTTGATTTGGGATATTATCGGTGCTCGTGACAACCTCGTACGCGTTGTTGCACACGTACTCCTCGTCGTAGTACGTCGGGAGGAGGTAGCCGGACCAGGTCCAGGAGTCCAGGGAGTCGGCGGGTTTGCGCAGGAAGATCACGAACTGGAGGTCGGAAAGTGAGGTTGGGAGGTCCGGGGGGGCGCTGGTCGTCGTGGTCGCGCGACTGGTGCTGGTGGCCGTGGCCGTGGCGGCTCCATCCTCGTATCCCGTTAGGACGGTGAGGTCTCCATACAGGGCGGAGAGCCGGGAGTCGAGCGACCGAGCGATGCTGGTCACCTCTGCATCGGGCTCCTCGGTGGCTTCAGGCCATTGCTCCAGCGTGATGGCCACGGCGGGCGCGGGCGTGCCCACGGTGCTGGTGGCCGAGGCCGTGACGGAACAGCCGGTGGTCGTGGAGCAGTCGAACTCGCACCCGGACCCGGCCACACACACGGTAGAGCAAATCTCCGCCTCTCGCGTGCTGCACTCGTCCTCGTTGCTGTTGCTGTTGCTGTTGCTGTTGCTGCCATCGTCGGAGCCCCCGCCGCCGCCCCCGCTCCAGTCTGGGCGGCACAAGAGACACAGGTGGCAGAATGGCTTACACGAGACGCCGACGTCCGGGTTACCCCTATCTGCCGTGGGAGTCGCACTGCCGGACGACCAGGTGGTGGTCGCGGTATTGAGCTCGGAGTCCTTGCTGGCCTGGGACCATGGATATGGGGGCGGAAGGACCGTCCCCGTCATGCTTGTCGCGTTGGGGTCTTCATCGAACGGGGGAAGCGACCATACCATATAGGGCAGGGTGATGCTCCTCGTCATTTCCAACTCGGTTGGCTGAGCCTGGCTGGCATTGATGGTCACTCCCCATACGGGGATCTCGGTGACGACCGCTGATGATGGACTGTCAGTGAGGGTGGATTGGGGAGGAGGGCTCAACACGTACAAGGGGGAAAGGATATGGTAATGGTGGTGGTGGCAACCGCATAGCCATTGTATGTTTCGACGACTCCGTCGTCATAGGTAGTCGTTCTGGTCGTCAAGTAACTCTGCTCGACGGGGCTCTCCCAGGGAGGGATGGATATTACAGAAGGGCTGGCCAGCTGCAGCGGAGGCATGATCAGCGAGCACGGAGGCTCACATTGCACGACCGGCGAGGGCATATTCCAGATCGACGGGGCAATGTAGACCTCGCCATCGCCTGGTCCATCCCCGGACCCCGAGCCCGAGTCCGAGTCCTCGGCGACGATACAGGCGCCTTCGGGACAGTATCCGCGTTGACAAGTGTACTCGCACAGAGGACCGTAGACGGTAGCGTCTACTCCCGGTGCGGCGGTCCCAACGGTCTCGCTTGTCGGATCCATGACATTTAGCGCCCCCTGCCCCGTGCAGGTGCACGCGTTCATGGGGCAGAAGCCATGGGCACAGCCAAAGTCGCACAGCCCAGCTAGGTTGCCCTCACCCGAACCGGACACACAGGCGGGGGGCAGGAACGGCGAGACTGTCGGCGTGCTGAGCGGGACCTCCACAGTGCCGCAGGCACTCTCGGGGCAGAAGCCCAGGTTGCAGTCAAACGAGCACAGTCCGCTGTAACTCGCGCCTTCGCCCACAATCGGGTATCCGAGGACACCCGTGGAGTTGGGCGGCTCGTACCCGATGCCCATTCGCGTGCAGGTACAGGCGCCCAGAGGACAGTATCCGTATCGGCAGGCAAACCCACACAGTCCGGCAAAATTATTCGCGCCGGTACCGTTCATGCAGACCTGCTCTGACAGAAGACGGGTCGGTCGTGCCGACACGGTCTCCCCGGTAGACGTACTTCCAACCCAGGCATTCCAATTCTGAACTCCATGTTCACAGGTCGACGAGATGGCCTTGCCCTCAATCGTCGCAATAATCACATTATCACGCATCAAAGACACAGTCACCGGACCCCGATGGGCGCCAATGGCTACATCGCCGTAGTATACCCCGACATCATCATCCGGCACATCGAACCACCCAACCGTCTGGGTCCAGTCTCCAATCGACACTACGGCGCCCGAGAACGAGCCCAACACTGCGGAGAAGAAGATACGGTCCTGGGCTATCTCCGCCGGGGGGAACTCAACCTGCAGCTGGGAGGCCGTATTGCCGCTTGTGCCGCCGCTGTCACAGGCCGCGCCGGGGGTAAGCCGATACCAGGCGATAATCGTCTCCTCAGTCACCTCGGCCGTTCCATCCTTATACATATCGGCCCAGAAGGGGATCGTTGCCCGCCAGCCGTCGTGGGGCATTTCTGTCGCGTAGTTGAAGGGGGCCTCGCCGACCTCAAACGCTTCCATGGCCTGGTCGTACAGCGGGCCGATGTAGTGCGACTCACCGTAGTCGTTCCACGAGATGATCTCGACAAACTCCGGTTGAATGTATAGGACCTGCTGCCATCGATCATGCCACAGGTGGTCCCCGCGCCACATCCAGTTTTTTTTGTACCCGGGAAGGTTGGTGAAGAACCACGGCGAGACCGGCATCATGTACGGCAGCGACTCCAGATACTGGAGATACGAGGCGTCCACGTAGGTGTCCGCGTCCTGGGGGCCCCAGGGCCAGCCCGCCCAGCTGAACAGACCATCCACGACCCCCGTCGCCACGGCAGGCTTGGCTCCGAGCGAGGACCAACTGGGGATGAAGAAGCAGCCGGTGACCGCCTTGATCTCGGGCCAGTCGTCGGCGCGTCCAGGGCCTTCGAACGTCGAGACAAAGGCCTGTCCCTTATAGAAGTAGTAGGACGAGTGAGCACTGTACTGCTGAATGAGGGTGATCACGTCGGCTTTAGGCCAGTCGCCGTTACCTGCGTAGTCAAAGGAGAAAAAGAGCTTGAAGCCGAGACTATCGGCAGCCGAAAACGCGGCAGCGAGGGCACCCGTGTTGGTCGAGTCGGCATACGCCATGTTGAGGGCGAATGCGTCGATGTGCGCATCCTGCGCCAGAAGAATATCGTTCTCCCAGTCATTAGAAGTATAGTTGGCCGTGTTTGTGACCTGCACGGTCAGCGAGAACAGACGACAGAGAATACGGCGGAGTGCCAACCATAAAGTGCGCGAAGACGGCCGCTGCCTGTACTTGCAGCTGCACTCGGCAGGCGAGCAGCAGCACCGTGGCCCAAGCCAGCAAGGAGACCATGGCGGAGGGCGCTAAACAAGAATGAGAACAGGGGGAAGAAGTCAAAATTTGGCGAGCTTCTCTTCTTGTATATATGGCAGCCCATTCTGGGGCCTGATCTGGATCTTTCTGCCGGTATCCAGGTTTCGAATGAGCCCGCTATATTGAATCCCCCCTGAATCCGGGACGATTACGTCCGTGGAACAGCAATTTGACCATCGACGACGCTACTGATGGTATAGATACCGGTGTGGAGTATGTACTAGGGCTAGTCTCCGGAGTTGATACCTATCTGGAAAGACCCTGTTCATCCGGCCGACGCCGGTGCCCCTCAGTATCCACCCATGTGTCCCTGAATCACCGTTCGCCGGCATTGGGGGTTATCTATCCCCGATTTCCAAGAATGACAGGCGATTGTTCGAGCCCATATCTACGGTTTCTCAAGCAGTGTGGGTCTTCAATGGAGAGTACCTCGGTACGGATATTCAACTGATACGCTAAAGTTGCCAAGGGTTTTACTGGAACAAAAACTAGCCCCCAAATACCACCTCGCTTAACATACTTCTCCATGCAAACCACACTTTCCGTACGTCCCGCATGACATGGGCCCCACACGGTATCCGTATCTCCAATCACGCCCCTGAGCCTCTGGGCTGTCGTCCGCCTGGCTTAGTGCCAGTGATTTCGCGAATGGCGCGAGTGGCCATGGCGCCTCACCTTCGGATGAATCTAGAATCGAGAAAAAAAAACAGGAGTCAGTCAACCGTTGGGTCACAGCTGGGAAGCTAACAGAGACATACCGACTCGGGCACCCCGTGAGTCTTCTCCGGGGTAGCACCACTCGAGCTGCTGGCGAGTGAAATCGCACTAGCCTGGGTAGTGGGAGTCGAGGCTGCGCCCTCGACCATAGTCTCGGCGTATATTAGTCTTGGCAAATCCAGGACCGCGCCGGAAGGGTCACAGCCACCGAAGACGAATCCGTTGGTCTCGGGAAGAACGTTCACCGGGGCCGCGCGGTGGAGGTCGCATTGCAGCAATTGGTCGACAAACACCCATGCCTGGCAGTTGGAGACTTGCCCGCACCACGCTTGGCACTGCAACGCGGTAGCACGGTCGAGACTGAAGGCGATAGGGGCGCTGCTGAAGACCGCGAGGGTCGAGTTGTGCATGGTGTCCCAGCAGGAGGACGAAGAGGACTCGGCCAGCGCCGAGGCCAAGATGGCGGTGAGGAGGGAAAGGGGGTGCATGGAAGGCATTCTGGTCCTAGTGGCAGAGAGAAGCGGCGTTTGAGGAGTACCAATTATCACTCCATAGGAGATGGCAAATGGTCCGGTAGATATGGATCATATAGATAGGGATAGTGACCCTGGTTCGTTGCCGAGGCAGCTCTGATGTTGTGGACATAGACCCCATTTGTGGGGCCCTATTAGCTTGCAGATACCACTGCATGTGGTAGACTAGTATGTTGTATGCAATTTACTACTAATCTCGCGCAGTCTCGCCTCGGCGACTAGTGGATATGGATGCTTCCGCCGGCTTTCAGGGGCAACCAGAACAGAAAGATCACTTGGTCAGGTCAAAATCTTCTTCCTCGCTGCTGTTGCATTTTCCGGAGATAGGAAGACCAAATCCAAGATGCAGCTCAAGCCAATTGTCGTGTGCGGGCTGCTTTCCGCGGCGTCCCTTGCTGCGGGCCAGACAATCGGCTCATTGTTCAAAGTCAATCTCGATAACGATGAAGCAGGTGGCTGTAGCGAAAGATCGACATTGCTCGCGCAGTATTTGCAAGAAAGCAAAGACCTAGCTACCGCCGGATTGCAGGCCATCACGCATGCGCAGGATTCCTCTGCTGCCCAGCACGATGTCGCCAAGCGATACCTCCGGGCGTACTTTGGTGTTGGAGAGAATGATGCGACAGCGCTTGCGCTTATCAAAGGTACAAGACTCCACCAAATCTCCGGTTGAGGATGGCTATGGCTAACAGGGTCTGCTTCCAGGTTCTCTACAGAAAGTGTCCAACTTCCTCTCGGGAACGACACTTGATAACACACCACGCTTGTACTGCAACGACAACTGGCTCAAGAAGCGTGCACGGACAGACATTGCCCGGGACATAGAAGGCAACGACATCTGGACAATGGACGACAATGGGCAACAGCATCTCCTCGCGATCGAAAACTGCGATCAGTACAGGCACCTTTTCTGGGACTATGACGAGGACCAGATGATTTGGATCAAGAACGAGCGAATCCCTTACTGGTCCGCCGACCTGGGCCAGTACCTCGTAGACGATGACTATGATGGGCAAACCTTCTGCACCGTGGCGCGCGGTGCCAACATGGGCACCACGCAGCATATGACCACGCCGCCCACGATCACCTTGTGTCAAGGGTCCTTTAGCGAGCCGGGATATAGCGTGAAGCTTGGGTCCAAGAGTCCTCTTGTCGGGCAGAGGGGAGGGAGGAAACTGACGGACGTCCTTCCGCGCAGCGCAACGCTCTACCATGAATTGTTTCACCTGGTTCTGGGCAATGATCCCACCCCTGACGTTACGTGTAAGTGCAACCTTCACGGGATTGAATCACCTTGATGCTATATGGCTCGCTAGCTAATGCTTTCTCGCATCAAGACCTTTGGGTCCGTCAGCAACTACTGCTTGAGAACCCCGACGAAATCATAACTGAAGCCTACAAGGATAAGTACGATGAAATCGAAATTTTGCCAACCAGTATATATGGGATGACCAGGGCGGATGCCATTCGGCACAACCCCGAGTCATACGTGTTCTTCAGTGTGGGATATTGGTATTTCATGCAGACCACGTGGTCGAATGGAGACAATTCACAACGGTGGAGCTTTCACTCTGGGGTGTCGCAGATGGTGCAGATCCCCTGAGGTGGATCTTTCGATCTATCAATCGAGTTGTATGTATATTGGCATAGCCGCAGAATAGTAGAAATAATTGATGACGCCAAGGTAAAGGTCCGTCGCAGCGTACTCGACGTTGGCGACATCAGTCGCACGGTACTTTTGGACGACATCGTGGTATCGTTTTCAAACTGTGCTATTGGCAGTTGAATACAGACTGAGAGTCACGTGAAATTTCTGAGTCTCCATCGACGTATGTACAGTGGGTGCTCTTAAGTGGCCCCCTCCTACTATTATACCAGCTGTCAAAAAGGAAGAATCGTCTTGAGTACTTTACTGGTTATATGCCGTGACGTGTGCAAGTAGTTATTGAGGCAGAAGGATGGTATACTAAATGTCGAACGAGGTATATGGCCTCGCTAGGCTTAAAGGACATACTTGTCATAGCTACCGACCAAAGGGGTACATTCTTGTTACAACTTCTCAAACATGGGATTCTATGGAGCTCGATTCTCACCCTGTCGATTGTGCACCCACCTCTTCTAGTTGATTATAAACTAACTATCCTATAGTTGGTTAATCCTTTCTGATACGTAAACTGGTACATACGACCATAGGGTGTGGAAAACAGGGCTTCCCGTCCGCTCAGCCGTACTCAAGCCACACGCCGGTGTGTTAGTAGTTGGGTGGGTGACCACCAGCGAATCCTCACTGTTGTATGTTTTTGTTTTTTTGGTATTTTCCTTTTCCCCTGCTATACATATATACACAGCATGTGGGAGGGTGACCCGTGAGGTTAAATGGTCGGTAGCTTGCTTTGCGATATCGATGAAGCGCAGATGTACTCACAAATAGATACTCATTGGAATTATCCGGTACATATATGCGGAGAATAACCCCGTGACGCTACGCTGAAAGAGTCTTAAGTGCCAAGCCACCAACATCGAACGCGGGGAGAAGAAGTACATGTTCCGACTAGACATCTACCTCCGACACTTGCTCTTGAGAGCCAAAGAAAAAAATGGCTAGTCCAACTTCTCAGCCACGAGTGCCAAAAGCATGTGACCCGTGTAATCGCCGCAAAGTTCGTTGTAATGGCCAGCAAAGATGCCAGCAGTGCGAGCACCTGGATCTCCAGTGCACCTACACAGAAAACCGTTTATTGCGATCAAGAAAACATTCACTACGTCGAGGAGCTGTCATCTCGAAATATAAAAACACCAACACCAAACCCACCACTTTGACACCACATCTCTCTCCACCAGCACCTACAGCCTCAATCCAACTACCAAGCTCATACTTCGAAAGCCTACTCCCAGCATACATGTCCTATGTATACCCATTCAGCCCAATAATCACCGAGACAGAAGTGCGCACATCAATCACAAAAATGGACACGGAAAGAGAGCACGCAGCCTTCATCTACGCCTTCACCGCAGTAACCCTGGATGTCACGCGGTCCTTTCAATGCACCACCAAATCCAGCCCCCAACCAACCTCAACACAAATAACAGACCTAATGCGCCAGTCCGTGGAAACCCAAGAACCACTAGTAATAGGCTTCCGGCCGTCAATCCTACGCGCCACCACATGCATCTTCATCCAGATGTGCGCCATGAGCCTAGGCCACTACGATCTAGGCTTCTTCCACCTACGCGAAGCAATCAGCATGATCCAGATGCTCCGCATCAGCGACAAAACCGTCAATGCCAGCCTCAGCACGGCTGAGCGAGCCCGCCGCCAACGACTGTACTGGCAATGCTTCATCCACGAGCGATTCCTATCCATCGTGAATTTCTCCCCGGTGACACTGCCCCCGCACACCCAGTACCCGGAAGAAGACGCGTTCGTGGGCGCGGATATCCAGCTCGGCTGGACGCAGGTGATCAAGACGTTCTGCATGCTGGATGCGTCGTTTATGAGTCTGTGGATTGGGGACCGCACGCAGGTCACTGCGTCGTGGGTGGAGCGGAAACACCGCGAGTTGGATGATGCGGTGTGGGAGGTGGAGGTTTCGGCGCTGTCGGAGCTGCAGCAGGCGGATTTGGTGGTTACGCGGCAGTGGATGCGGACGCTGTTGTGGCAGTTGGCCATGTCGAATTGTTTGCTTAGTTCGCATGCGTCGTGTCCGTCGTTAGAGCTGGAGATGCCGTTGAGGTTGTCGAGTCAGCTCAGGCAGTTTTTGACGAAGATCTCGCAGAATACGATTCGGGTGCATGGCTCGTCGATGATTAGCAAGTTGTTGGAGATTGTTAATACTATTGCGGATGTGGTGATTCATGTGCCGCAGGCGACTGAAGAGGAGACGACGAGTCGCATTGATGATATTGTTTTTATGCAGGGGGTTGTGCTTTCTTTTCATAATTTGCAGGTTATGCCGAAGGATATTCTGTTGGATAAGTTTAGATTGATTAGAGGGAGGTTTCCACATATTGAGGTGGCTATGCAACTAGCTGTTTAGTTGGGAACCGATATTCTGTGAAGCAGGCCAGGAGAACCTTGTAAAGACAGGTGACTACTATAGGGAGATGGAGCTATTGCCTTCCATCTGATTGAACCTAGCACACAAGTTGGTTGAAACCTAAGCATAATTCAATGGCATATCGATATCAATATTAAACAGAAACATTCATTCCTCTAGACCCATTTACAACGTAGATGTCACGTTGGAGAACTCGCCCTTCTGGAGCTTTGTCTCCCAGAAGATAGGGTTCATGTCGTCGAATCCATGGTGCACCCATCCCTCTTCCTTGACGTGGTACAGGTTAATGAAACCACCGGAGTAGGCATCACGGTGCATGGCAGCCAGAATGGCCCGGCGGCCGAGGTTCAATGCGTCCTCCACAGTCAGCTCGTACTTGTACTCGGCGTCCAGCACACCATAAGCGAAAGTCTGACCAGATCCAACACAGAAAAGGTTACCGGCGAGGCGGGTGCCGTCAGAGTCGATGTAGTAAAGGGCGGGCCCTTCTTGGGGTGTCATCTAGAGATCATTGTCAGTTCCGAATCTCATGGCTATGAATGGTGTATAGGACATACTCCTGCTAACATAGTTCCCATGCTAAGTCCGTATCCCTTGTAGGCGTAAGTGAGGTTGGCAAGGATCTTGGATGCGGCCGCAACAGTGATACGGCGCTTGTGTCGGATTTCTAGATAGAAATTCATCAGCCATGTCCTTCCATGCCTGAAAATATCAAGAATCGAGCTGACTTACCATGCAGAGTGCACTGCTGACTCAAATAACGCAACCAATATTGGCAATCCTAGCAATTTGCGACAACCATCAGCAACCAACATCCATCACGCCATCACCCATTAGCTTGCGGCCAACTTACGGCTGCACCACCGGCCATCGTTCCCAGAAGACCTGGCGTCGGCTCGTTCGTCTTCTTGTCCTCACCCCGACTCAACCGCGATACAGGAATGACCTTTTTGACTGTCTGACTGGCAATCCAGTTGCCGGCTGTCGCTCGTGAATCGGTACAGACGATCTAACCCAATATTTCAATCAGCAAAATGCTCCAAAATTAAGAAACCCATGGTGTAACCGAAATATAGGAAAACGTACGATACCGCCCTGGAACCGGAAGGCCAAGGTTGTTGTGCCGTGGGCGAGCTTGATAGGACAGCTGGGATTGGAGTGGTCATCGGTCATCGCACGCAGGAAAGCAGAGTGCTAGATATAAGAAATGAACGTCAGTCCATTATTTCGCTTTTTTCAATCATGTATAGTTTCTGGCTAGCGATTCTCTTAGACATAGCTGTGATGACGGCGCAGCTTAGGTTGACGTCAGGATAGATGTACATCCCCGACCAAACCGCCATCATCCAGTCGCAAGAGAATCTCCCATAGTATTCATCAGGAACTCACGTTGTCGACAGGAGGGAGGCTGAACTTCAGCGAGAGTGGAGGGACGCTCGCAGTGAGGTCCTGCTGCTCTTGCTCTGAGTACAACTCATTCTGATGGGGAGGGCGCGAGTATTGGGCAACAAGCTTATCCATTGTGTTCTGAAGGAAGAGGAAATAAGGAGAAAATTAGAAAAAAAGATGCTAGAAGGACGTGAAAGGGATTCTGGTGAGATAGTCGGTGATGGTTGAAGCTCCGCTGGAGCTCGGGGTTTCCGCGTCACTCTGGCGCCTGTGGTCACGTGCATGCTCTACTACAAATCGCCATGTTCATTTCATATCATCTTTGAAAGATATTGGGAGAAAGAGAATAAAGAACAAAACAAACGAAGTAATGAATTAGAGAATTAGAGAATTAAACTTTACAATACACAATTTGCATATTTCCTGAGTATAGACCCCCATGTGCAGTGCCAGCCAACGCCTTTCCCAAAAACACCAGCAAGTCTTGGTGCCCAATCTGAGGCGAAGAACCGAATTTACACATAACAGCTGAAGTATGTCCGCATTGAACTAAAAAGGAGACCACTGAATCTCTGAGAAGAATTGAAACGATCACGCAGGCGAAGGCTCAATCACCACCATCCTCGCGGGCAGCGCACCGCTTCCCACTGGCTCGGTGAAACCCTCAGCCACAGAGACATGATCGAGAACATCCGACTGGCCATCCGACACATCATCGCGTTCATTGACACTGGTACCGTTGGCATCATTTCCGTTGGCATGAACCGGAGTTTCCCGGCCCGTGACGGTGATGAGAGGCTCAACGCTGGATTCCCATCCACGGAGATCATTCTCGGCATCCTCGAGGATCTGGCGTGCCAAAGGCTCGTGGTCATACGCCTGGCGGGCATCGCCGGGAACAACCGGAGTGTCATCAATGTAGTTCAGCAGACGACGAGCATGGCGAGCTAGAATAGTCTGCTTCTCGGCGCGCTCAATCACAGCCGTCAGATGGATATCATAAGCCTCCTTCAGCTTTTGGCGAGTCTGCAGGAGATGAATGTTAGCAAGTTCAAAACTATCTTCACCACAAGAACAGAACGAAGTCAGAATCAAAACATACGATGTTAGACAGCTGCGCCTCAGCAACCAAGTTCTGAGCCTCAGCCCGGACAAGCTCATGCTCCAACGTGACCAGACGCGGGCTCGAAGGATCCTTGTACTTAAGCTTGGCAATCTCGTCAGTGACCTTCTGGCGCTGCTCGCGCGATGGCTGCACCGAGGCCTCCATGTTGCGAATCTGCTTCAGGATACTACGGTAGTCCTCGAGATTCTGCGCAAAGCTGTCTTCCTGCTCGCCGATCTCAGCGAGCATGACGCCGAGCTTGTCGGATATGTCGGAGACATTGTCGTCTTCAGTCGCCTCTCCCCATTCAGAGAGCTGGGCGGCAATCGAGGTGCGCTCGCGGCCGGCAGATTCGTGGGCACCAATGGCAGTGTTCTCGCTCTTGATCAGCTTGGTCATCTTGCGGCTCAATTCCGGCGCTTGCATTCCACGGAAGGTGGAAATTCCGAACCGCTGTCGAGGGGGCTCCCTGCGTGATCGGAATGAAAGGTTGCGGTTCCTAGGCTTCCTTTTAGTCACAGTGAGGATTGAGAATGTAGAATACATACATCTTGTTTCTTGTATGTAGATATAGTCAATCAATACAAGTTAGGGTTATGGGGGGAGATATGTTAAGATGAGAAACCGAGAAAACTGAACATGGGAGAGGTTAATGTTAAGTCGGTAGCACCTTCCTATAGATGACGATGGTGACGAACCCTATTCGCTTCCAAGGCTTCTCTTTTCTTTCTCAGAGGAAGTGCAGTCCCGGTGACTGACGTCATGAACGGGCAAGGGCGGAAGTCGATGGAGCAGTTCATACATGCCATCACCTTTCCGATTGCGGATATTTCAAGGTTGACGTTGTATTATGCGTGAGTGGTGATGGTCTTTCAATTTTGAAGCCTGTCTCGTGAAAGGTTCAGGGCCATTTTCCACTCTCGGCTTCCCGATATCAGAGTACACACTAGCAGCTAGCTGTACCAGTCCTAGACTATTAGCTAATTATGATACTATATCCAAGGTTTCATGCACTTCATAGGTACATAAGTATATAATCATAGAGAAGGTAGGCGTCCCTTAGTTCCAGATTCTGAATATTCGTGGACACCCGTGGACAACTGTTACCTTCCTAGTTGGGAAATATCTCATTCGATGAAACCTACATTGGAAGATAGATGAAAAATAGGGATTAAATTCATAGGAGATCCCACTCTCTATCCTCTCAATTCGAGGCAACAAAAAAAAAGAAGCCAGAGGAAGCAGAGAATTCCCTCGGCCAATCCTATGGTACACAACCAGCTAAAGCATCCTGCATAAATCCAGACTCCCGAACAGCAAGCCGCAACACCTGAAACAGACTAGAATGACTGATCCGCAGAATTATTCGTTAAAGAAACACACTTTCATATGAAAAATTTCGGAGCAGACTAGGAAATGTCGTCCGCATCGGGGTTGTGCGAATGTTCATTGTCAGATGCATGGAACGCGTCGCCGAACGCCGAATTCTCCAGGTCTGGCAAGTCAAGCCCATCGTTCTGCTCGCTGTAAGCTGCCAACGCATCTCCGGCACTGTCGATGTTGGTAAAGTCGAAGTCTCCACCGACTGGGCCATGGTCTTTGCTGTCATTGCTCACCATTACCCAGTCGTTAGCCTGGCCATTAGTACCAGCGTGGAGCTGGTCGCCCAAATCCATGTCAACATCACCGGACATATCAGCGCCGTGGATTGGTTGTCCATTGACAGAAACGCCTGAGACTGCGCCTACACCAACGCCCGGGCTGCCAAATTGGTTGAGTAGGTGGGAAGAATCATCGTCCATGACCATATCATTTGTAAATGAGTCAGGCTCGTCTTTGTGTTCGGGTTCAATCTTCTCCAATAAACCACCCTTCTCGACACAGGATACCTTGGGCTCCGCGACGATTTGCTTATTCCAGGAAGTCTCAACTTCCCGGATTACCTCATCAACCCTGTACTTGGCTTTATCTTCAATGTAATCCAATTGAGGGGTTTCGTCCTCTGTTGGAATGACCACTCGGCCCTCCAGTCTCCAAATCTCTGGGCCCGTTTCAGTTGGGTCAGCAGCAGACTCTCGGAGGCGCAACTCGGCATCCTTGAGCAATGAGGTTCGGTTGAAACGTTGCATCCGGCGAGCATGCTGTTTCTTCAAGTTTTCGATCTCGGCGGTCATGTTCGCTACCTTTTTAGAAACCCGCTCGGCGAACTCCTCTGCCTTAGCCGGCTCCATCTTGTTAGCCTGCGGGGCGTCGCCCGCCTCCTGGCCGTCTCCGCCAGAGGTTCCGACCGGAGCATCGAAGAAGCCCGCAGTCAGAGACTCGAGCTCTCCCTTTCGGCCTAGACCCAAAGAAACCGGTGTGATTTGTGAGATACTGTATGGTGACGCGAAGATTTCCTCCATCCACTCGTGATGCTGCTGGTATCGCATCTTGCTGACATCGCGGGGCGTCAAAAGATCCATAGCGTCACCACTGGAGACGTCCTCATCTTCAACAGCAAAATCGGCTGTTGTAGAAGCGAGGGCAGCCGACGGCGCACGGTGCCCGCGCGGTCCTTTGGCTACGGGCACATTCGGCGGAACTGCACCTGGATGACCCTGGGGGGCATAGAAACCAGGTCCACGAGGCACAGCGGCTGGGTAAGCACCGGGTTGCCCAAAGTTCTGGGGAGCCATCTGCGGGAAGTTGATAACCGGCCAACTGTTGCGATCATGAAGCAAAAAGTCCTTGCGGGCCAATTGTCCTTGGCTCTGGAGGAAACGGCGCTGGCCCATCATGCCCTGGACCTGGGGTGTAACTTGAATGCGATTTGCGGGGGCATGGTCCTGAGGCGCCGCACGGGTGTAGTGCACAATCCACAGGGATGGGTCGGGCTGGGGAGCGTTTGGTACTTTGGACGAGGTGATACGGTAGCGCTTGCGGCAATGTGTTGCCACGGGCTCATTGGGAGGGTGGAAACCACTTCGGTGAAGGTACATCTCGACGGTCTGTGTCCTTAAGCATTAGAATGGAATCCACATGGAGCAGGGGAAGCCTCGCATACATAGCCGCGAGATTCAAAGGTAAAGGCCTGTTCCTGGTCGGCCCAGACATAGCCATCACTAGCAAAATTATTGCCTAGATGGTTTTGTGGCTGCCATGTAAGCATAACAGTCCCATCCGGGGGACCATCGAGGAATGTCCAATGCATTGGCTGGGATTGGCAGATCCGGGGTGCACTCGTCAAATACTCGACGGCGGTCTCGGATGGCATCATGTGCATGCTAGGGTATCGGTTGCGCGAAACCAGGTGCATGTGGGGGAGCTATCATAATTGCGACAATGTTAGTGGGGGGGTTACAGAGCATAGGGCAATTGACACGGGAGCTGTTGGGGTCTTACCAGCTGCCCCGGGATGCGTGTGGCCGGGTCATCCATATTGCGCGCTTGATTGCCAATTTGCAATCCGCTTTGGGAAGACACGTGTAAATTAGATTTGAATCAAGTGCGGAATTGTAATGCGATGAAGGTAGATAAGGCAAGAGCAATGAAGGATGGAGTTGTTTCATGAACGCGACAGTACGCGGGAGATTTTTGATACGGTCCCCGGTACTGACCTGATATGCAGAACACCTGGATTTACAGGCATCAGTTTTTATAGTTAACTAGTTACGTTTTTCCAATTTGAAAGACTCACTATTCATTATTCATGTAGTTTATAAATAGACAAACATGATGAATAAATGGTTATATAAGAGATTTCAAGGGATGTTGGCAAGTATGGTGTAGATCTATACTCCGCACACTTGGACAAACTAGCATTTTTTTCTACCTACAGCATGAGAATTCTGTTCTATTAAATAGCCACATAGATAACCTCAGTCAATATCAAGGTACTTTCATCTTGAAAGAGATAACTAGCACAACATATAGACTGTCGGAGTACACCGACTGCTCCCCGACCTCGGCCTATCAGACCAAAGCGGCTCTCCTAAGCTTTGCCAATTCCTCCGCATTTTCTCCAGTTTCCAATTCTCCACCTCGAAATCTCATTCGCCTGTCCAAATGACCAATAGATGCATAAATTGTTTCTGCAGTTCCCACCAATCACCAGTCTAGAAGCTGGCCATTAGTCGCTGTATTATGTAGTACGCCAGTATGCCTCTGCGGATCCAGGCTTTTTTCCCTCTCACCGTGCGAATAAGTATGACTCCGAACCCCAACTCCGGAAAAGTGTCCGACCTTTTTCTCTTTTCTCTTCCTTTTTCACCTTGTTAATATCCCGTTGTCTGTTGGGACGTCTCCAATTCACCATGGGCTTCTTGGAAAGGCAGGAGCAGTTGGAGAATGTAATCCAAACTGCCCCGGATGAAGATATTGAGAAATCTGCCGTGCCCACTCACCAGGAGAAACCCACTACACTCTTGCCGGCTATTGACCCTGAGTTAGAGCGGAGAGTGGTAAGGAAATTGGACTGGCATGTTGTGACGTTATTGGGATTTTTCTGTATGCTGCAAACTCCAGACATTAAACGAATTTGTACTCTAACCCGTTTCTGTGGTATCCAGATCTCCTCGCTTTCCTCGACCGAAGCAACATCGGGTTCGTTCGCGATATCATCCTTGGACCTGCATGCAAAATAGCACGACCGCTGACGATGGAAACCATAGCAATGCCAAAATCGCCGGCATGAAAGAGGACCTCGACCTCGATGGAAAAAGCTACGCCTGGCTCTTGACAATCTTCTATATCTCATATACAGTGTTTGAATTCCAAGCAATGATGTGGAAGATTGTCAAGCCGCACCAGTGGGCTGCCTTTGTGTTGTTCTCCTGGTATGAAACCCACGTGCAATGCTGTCATTCAACCGGGGTTGCGAATGTATAGGAACATGGACTGACGGACAACGGAAAAGGGGTTTGATGGCAACATGCCAAGCAGCGGTCAGTAATTGGAAAGGCATGATGGCACTCCGGTTCCTAATGGGCGTCTTCGAGGCTGGCTTCGGTCCCGGTGTGCCCTATCTGCTATCATTCTTCTACCGCCGCCACGAGCTGGGTCTCCGATGCGGTATGTTTCTGTCTGCCGCACCACTGGCAAATACATTCGCCGGTGCCTTGGCATATGGTATTACTTCGGGACATTCCGCGTTGGCGAATTGGCGATTGCTGTTCCTGGTTGAGGGTGTTCCGGTCTGCGCAGCTGCCCTGCTGGCTTGGTTCTACGTGCCAGATAGCCCGCAGGACGCCAAGTTCCTGAATAAGGAAGAGAAGGAGGTTGCGCGTGCCCGGGCAATGCAACAATCTGGTGAGCCGGACCGTGCAGTCAAGATCCAATGGAAGGAATTAGCCATGACGCTTCTCGACGTCAAAGCGTGGCTTACAGCAGTAAGTACTCATTGTGTATATTGTGCGCACAACTTGCTGATATTAAACGTGTACCTAGTTGATGTACTTCAGCTGTAACGTCAGTTTCTCTTCTCTCCCCGTGTTCCTACCCACCATTCTCAAGGAGATGGGCTTCACGGCCATCAACGCCCAGGGCCTCACTGCACCTCCATTCTTTGCCTCATTCCTGGCGACGATCGCGACCACTTGGGTGGCGGATCGCATTCAGCAGCGTGGATTGACGATCGCAGCTTTATCAGTGGTTGGTGGCGTGGGGTATATCCTGTGCGCTACCTGCACCTCAGTGGGTGTTCGATACTTCGGTGTGTTCTTGGCGGCCTGTGGAGTCTTCCCCTCGATCGCCAATATTCTGCCGTGGGTTCTGAGTGAGTCATTCCCTTTTCTGATCCTTAGAGTTTTCTGTGCAAAGCTTTTTTACTGACTGGACGTGTTACGTTGTGCAGACAATCAGGGCTCCGATACTCGCCGTGGTGGAAGTATTATCCTGTTGAACGTGATCGGCCAGTGTGGGCCTTTCCTGGGCACCAACATCTTCCCAGATGCACAAGCCCCGAGGTATGTAAAGGGTATGGGGATCTGTGCTGGTTTCATGTTCTTCACTTCACTCCTTGCTTTGTCTCTGCGTGTGCTTCTGGTATGGGAGAACCGGCGCCTTGACAAGAAGTATGGGCCTCAAATTGAAGAAGACCCAACAAAACCTGCGGATGGCCCGGTAGCGGAGGACAATTACGGTGCCAATTACCGTTTTGTGCTGTGATTTTGCATTCTCTTACGGATAACATGTATTCTCTTGCATCTTGCATATGTACCGGATAATGCCTGGCACTCGAAACCTTTCCCTTTCCATTTTAGTGCTCACCTCTTGCCGCTTTTTGATCACTGGGTAAAACGGAGCACGTCCCTGAGTATTCTGCATCACCTGATCATCATCTAGCACTCTGATTTCCAGAGTACAGGTCGGCTCATCGATTAAACCAGAGCTCGGCTCAACATACTAGTGATCTCGACGGCCTAAGACCTCCAGATAGTCGTTGCAGAGCGAAGCGACTGATTCCAACTTTTAATGCTACGCAAAGCGCCCCTCTGACTGGGTTATTCCCCCCCTGCCTGTAATTTCAGTACCGCGTGCACAATTAGGCATATTTCCTGCCATATGTAGTAGTATGGCAGTAGGTACCTACAATTTGTATGTAAACCACTAATAAAATTAAGTCCCTTTTGTCATATCATTATTAACTGCTTAATTAACTACTTTATCGTCAATTACTTTATCAACTACTTAAGCAACCGCTTAAGCAACCACTTGAGAAGCTGCTTGAGAAACTGCTTGAGAAACTGATAAAGTACAAGAGATACAGTATGGCAAACAAATAGTATGGCAAATATATAACATGTACTAAATAAACCTTCATGACCTTCATTCTTCTTCTTTCTACAGCCATCTTTCTCTGTCGCGTCCCCTGTCTTCAAGAATCTACACAGCGCTTTGACAATCACTCCACGATTATTGTAGCAAAGATTGTGTCATTGAAGACGCTAGCTACGAGAACTAACAGAGGTATAGAGGTAATAATAAGCTAGAATCCTTGCTCCCCCCACACGTGTGTTGAGATCCCTCCCAACCGATCAGGTGATAGTTCAATGTCGTGTTCAGGCGGGACTGGTTGACGACAAAGCAATTCTTCAAACCCGATGATCAAAGGTACTGCTGGCCTGATGGTAATCTGTGAGTAGGGTTTGTTTGCGTCGCGGGATGCCGTAATGGTCCGCCGTATCTTGGGCCACTGCAGTCGCAAGGAGTTGACAGTCGGGTCCAAAGTAACAGCCTCAAACTTGATGTTGGGGGTCTTTCGACTAATGGACACGATAATTACAAGCTTCACATCGCCCCTCGAGTTTATGAGCCACCATTCTGCATCTGCTCGCAGCTTTCGATATGACTCCGATACTCCCACTTCGACCATAACGGTCGGCCTCCTTTCTGCAAAACATACCTTGGATGGTTTTGGACCCTAACGGGCGAATCGACTTGCCCAGCCCCATATTGTATATCTCATATTGCACTGCACCACCCAGGCCGCATGAAGCTGTTTCATGGGCCCCAATAAAGAGCTTGATGATCATATATCGAGTGCGGCGATTAAACATCTGCCGAGTACTGCGCAAAGAAAAATTGTCCGCAATAGTTGGTAGGACGTTTGTGAAACATATATATTTCACCACGTCGGTTGTTTCTTGGTTTTCTCTAATAATCTTCCGGATGGCACTCTCCGTCGACCCGGTGGCTTCGACTGTGTCGTCGGGCAGCGCCTCGAAGCACTCGACGTCTGAGTGCTCGACTTCTGGGGAGTCCGAGTCATCAGACATTTTTAAGGCCAACGTAGGGTTTTCCGAAGGGGAATTCACGAGGATAGAAGGTGCAGACATTCCGGTGTCCGAAATTATATGGATAAGGTTTGGAGTAATAAAGACATCATACTCAACCCAAGAGACTCACTAGCAACCCATACCAGGTACCAAATACGCGTAGCCCCGCCATCAATCCAGCTGTAGTCGAAGTTTGGCTACATAAAAGCGGCGGCAGCTCAAATAAATCCGGTAAGTATAGACACATATATATGACCCAGCTAAACGCTGTGATGACTTATGATGTCAGAAAACCCACATAGGGTCTTCGAAGAAAAAATGAAATATATTCCTATTGAATTCGCATATTTATACCAAGCAAGTTCGTGTAGATTCATTCCGATAATAATTGATCTATTCTGCGACCTTGGTGCTTTTCAAGGTTGGTCCGATTGTAGTCACCGTCAGTAAAACGTACATCGATGTCCTACGCCCTCCATACAAGCTTGACAGCTACAATCTTACAGTGTAAGAGTTGTTGATTAACGTATTATATTCCCACATTCTATTTCAAGAATCTACCGTGCAGTTCTACATACCATATGTACTCACAGGAAACCTATGTTGTACCGGTACTCTCGTGGAGCAAAACAAGGAAGTCCGGGACAGAACGCTCCGGCCATTCGTAGCCAAGAGCTAGAAAAGCTAGAAACGTCACTCGAGAGCATCTTATTCGTGCAACGTAGCTCACCGGGAAGCTCGTCGGACAACCGGAGGGAGTCGGAGCAATATGACATCTCGATAGGTGGGATGGCGATGGGGATGGTGGGGTATGACTCTTCCAAGGTGGCATATAAGGTTGACCTGCCCGCAGTTGTTTTTTTTTTCCCTTCTTCTTCTTCTCTTCATCAATCAAGTGACGAATTTATATTCCAACAGTAACTATCTACTGCCATGTCATGCTTGCATACCCTCAAGGCTGACTCTTGTTTAGATCCCAAACGAACAAGTACATACTGCCCTTCCTTCGGGAGCCATGGATTTTCTTTGGCTGGGCACATTATCCCTCAGGGATCAAGGTATCTCAGGTAACCTCTGGGTATGAGCCGGTGTCCGTTCTTGCGTCGGTGGTGAATCCGATGTCTCTTATTAGACATCAGGTTCACCGTCGGCGTGGGTTCGTTCTGAGATTATACGGCCTTTAACTTGATCTGGATAATACCAGCGAAAGGATCATGCCCTCCCCCCCCCTCCCCTCCCCCAATATAGAGTAGTCAAACTAACCAAGGTCCAAAGTCAAATCCCCGACTTGATCTCTGAACCATTATGTCTCCTCCCGCTGCCATGTTTGAGCCTGCTACTGTTGCCCCTACCGGCATCAAGGGCAAGGTCATCGTCCCCGAATCGGTGACACTGACCGGCCATGGCCAGTCAAACCTCCTTGAGCAGTTCGGCAACAAATGGGATGAGTTCAAGTTCGCCCCTATCCGCGAGAGCCAAGTCTCTCGCGCCATGACCCGACGCTACTTCCAGGATCTGGACAACTACGCCGAGAGCGATGTTGTCATCGTCGGCGCTGGTTCCTGTGGTCTGAGTACTGCCTATGTACTCGCCAAGGCCCGTCCAGACCTGAAGATCGCCATCATTGAGGCCTCTGTTTCGCCCGGTTAGTCTCGGCTCCACACGAGCAGACTCTCTCGTAGACCTACCACAGCACCACTAACACACATATCATATAGGTGGCGGTGCCTGGCTAGGTGGTCAGCTATTCAGCGCCATGATCCTCCGTCGCCCCGCAGATGCCTTCCTGACCGAGCTCGGCGTGCCCTTCGAGGAAGAGCCCTCGAACCCGAACTTCGTCGTCGTCAAGCACGCCTCGCTGTTCACGTCGACGCTCCTGTCAAAGGTCCTCGCCTTCCCGAACGTCAAGCTCTTCAACGCGACCTGCGTTGAGGACCTGATCACCCGTCCCGACGGCAACGACATCCGCCTCGCCGGTGTCGTCGTCAACTGGACTCTCGTCACCCTCCACCACGACGACCACTCCTGCATGGACCCCAACACCATCAATGCCCCGGTTATCGTCAGCACCACTGGCCACGACGGCCCATTCGGCGCTTTCTGCGCTAAGCGTCTTGTCTCCATGAACGCTATTGAGAAGCTCGGCGGCATGCGTGGCCTTGACATGAATGCGGCCGAGGACGCTATTGTTAAGAACACCCGTGAGGTCGCTAAGGGCCTTATCATTGGTGGTATGGAGCTGTCGGAGATCGACGGCTTCAACCGTATGGGCCCTACTTTCGGCGCTATGGTTATGAGTGGTGTTAAGGCTGCTGAGGAGACTCTGCGTGTCTTTGACACCCGCAAGCGCGAGTGTGCTGAGTAAATTCGCACTCTCTCGTGCTGGCTCTCTTTGTCGTTTCTGCTTGCTCCTTGCTTGATGCTGGTGGACTCGGTCGCTTTGATGATGACGAATTTTTAACAAATGCACACGCTCATTTCATGCCGAATTCTCTTATGCTTAATCTGTAGACAAGTAGTCTATCTTGAAGTTGATCTTGGGAATTATGAATTAGTTTTGCCAGTCGAGGATAAGACTAGCTGGGCATATACTATACTACACTTAAGTAAATATAAACAGACAGTTAAGCCGCGCAATCAAGCCACACCTTCCACGTATAATTCCCCTTTCCACAAACCAGCTTGCGGTGAAAATTTTTAATCCTTCTGATCTCCGTCCCTTTCTTCAGAAGTAGCACCTACCCTATTCTCGGCGGCAACGACCAGGTTTCTAGCATTTCTTACCTCCCACTCAAACTCTTTCAAGGCCCGTAATTCACCCGACATAAACAGCCCACCAATCAAACCATCCAAAACCCCAGCGGCGAAGTTGAGCGTGCTGACTAGGATGAGGATGAATCCGATGTACGTGCGGTTGCCAATCCACCACACGCCGACCATGCAACCAATGGAAATCACAATAGATACCAAGAAATGCGCCAGACGCCAACGGCGCTGAGAGCGTTCACGGGCCACGTATGTGTGGGTCATGTCAATGATGTGGTCATATGTGTCTGGAGAAAGGGCGGCGTTGGGGGAGACGGGCTTTGAAGTTGTTTCATGCAGGGAAGGAGAAGTGGGAGAGCTTGGGGCAGAGTCTGAAGAGTGGGAAGGAGGGTATGTCCGTACAGAAGAACGGGTGATGACAGCCTCAACGGCGAAGTGGTCACTCAGCGAGCAGAGGAGAGTGGGATGGCGCTGTGTCATGGAGATCTGAACTGACTGGACTGACCAGCTAGATGGCGGGAATGCAGGCGGGTAGCCACCGTCGCCGATGAAGATATAATCCAGACGTTTGGCGCGCGGGTCTGGGGTCTCATTGTCAATCTCAATATCCTCACCCTTGACTAGGCGCTTGCGCATGGCCTCAGTCCAACGCCAAGTATTGAAGGCCCCGTCACATGTAGCTCCATTCTCGGTAAGATTGAACTCGGCAGTGGGAATAGGCCGATTCCGTGCTTGTTCGGCAGGATCAATTGCTGCCGCGAGGGATGAGTCCGGGTGCAGCTCACGCCAGGCGTCGCGGACAGGGCTCTGCGTGGTGATAAGGCGGTGCGCGAAAGAGGAAGGCACCATGTTGAAGTCACCCAGGCCGATGACAAGGTGACCGCGTTCCGCAGCGCCACGCATTAGCTTAGAGATCTCCCATGCCTGCGCAGTCCGGTGGCAGAGATAGGAGTCGTTTGGTTCGCGCTCATACGGCGCGTGCAGATGAGTGCAGAACACCTCGGCGACGTCAGCAGTACCGGGACCGAACCGAACGCGTGCGCTGGCGACTCCTTTCCCCACGAACCAATCTCCTCGGAAGAATGCCGTTGGTCGGCCATTCAACGGGTAGCCGAACATGCTGCTTTCCTCGATTGGCCATTTTGATAGAATCGCCAATCCCGCACCAAATATGCCCCCGTAATAGAACTTCCCATACGGTAGGATGTGTCGAGTCTGATCGCGAATGCTTTCATAATCCTTCTGGGTCCAACATTCTTGCAGTCCAACTATCTCGGGCGGCGGGCTGGCTATTGCCAATTGCCGCCCAATCTCCGACATGCGTTCATGGCGGTACTTGGCGATGTATTTGAGACCCCAGCAGTTGAATGTGAGGACACGAATGTCGGTTGGAGCTTTGGAGGGAATAGAGTAGGCCATTGGGCCAGATATTGACCAGAATGAGCTTTGAAAGCTATATTTAGGCGTATTAGTCGACCAGGAAGTGGTCAATAAAGTGCTAAACAAGTGTTAATCCATGTGAACGGCCACGGGTCCACGTGGTTTAATATGACGCAGTCACCAAAAGCTGCCTCACTCTCACCGCCCGCAAAAATATACACCGCCTTGATAAATGTTTCGCGACGCGTCCGATTGATTTTATTTTCGGGGTTGCTATCTTTAAACCCATATCGGCGCATTTGCATCGTTTGTTTAGATGCTTTTGCATATCCCTATTGTACAATGGATCATCCAAACCCCCAGCCTCGGCGCCGAGACCCTCGCGCCCAATCTCCCGCTGAGTCCTCCTCCGATGAACTCGCCGCCGGCTCGGAGCATGACGAAGCTGAACGCCGACGAGCCAGCTGGACCCTGCAAAAGGCGTTCACCCCACAGCGCCCGAAGAAAACTAGCCGCCTCTACAGCGAGTCTGAGAGCCCTGACGAGTTAGCTGTGGACGCAGACGAATACTGGCGTTCCTCGCGCATGCGCAACCACCACCGGAGCCCCTCTCCCATCCGTGACGACAATTCACAGGGCGGTTCGGATGATCTCGCGGAAGATGATGTGGCTGGTTCAGACGAGAATCAGGCTGGTGATGCCGATGACTGGTCCGATCGTTCTGCGACGCCTGTTGCTCCGGTGCCTCCCAAGCCTGAGCATCTGAACTACAAGGAGAAGTTTGTGATGCGCGGTCACCTACGTGGAGTTTCGGCTGTGCAATTCTCACCTGATTGCTCTATGATTGCTAGTGCGGGTATATATTATGTCCATGGTCTAGCTACTACATAACTTGATAACTGACTTTGCACAATAGGTGCCGATGCAGCTGTTAGGGTCTGGGATACTGCGAGTGGCAGACTCATTCATGTCTTTGAGGGACATCTAGCTGGTATCTCCACCCTTGCCTGGGCCCCTGACGGCGTCTGGATCGCAACTGGTTCCGATGACAAAACAATTCGTTTCTGGAACGTGAACACTGTAAGAAACTCATTTGTCATTTTCTGTCCTAGGGCCTTTTACTGATACTTTGATACAGCTCAAAGCCCATACCAAGGTCTTTGATGGCCATCAAAACTACGTCTATCAAATGGCATTCGCACCGAAGGGTAACATCCTCGTCAGCGGTTCCTATGACGAGGCCGTGTTTATGTGGGACGTTCGCCGAGCACAAGTCATGCGCTCTCTTCCAGCCCACTCTGACCCTGTTTCCGGTATTGATGTTGTGCATGATGGAAGCCTAATCGCCTCATGCGCTCTGGATGGACTTATTCGTATCTGGGACACCCACAGCGGTCAGTGTCTCCGCACCCTAGTCATGGAAGACAACCCGCCTGCGACATGCGTCAAGTTCTCCCCTAACGGCAAATATGTCTTGGCCTGGACCCTGGACGGCTGCATTCGGATGTGGAATTATGTCCAGAGCCGCGTCCTCAAGACTTTCCAAGGCCATGTCAACAACAAATACAGCTTGTCGGGATGCTTCGGTACTTATGGGGCTGAAAACGTGCTCTACAACCAGCCCCTGTGCTTCGCCGTCAGCGGTAGCGAGGATGGCTCTATCCTCTTCTGGGATATTGTGAGCAAGGAAATTCTGCAGCGCCTCGATGGTCACTCGGGCTCTGTGCTTTGTGTTCACACGGGTACACTGAAGGGCAAGCGTATGGTTGTGAGCTGCGGAATAGACAAGACTGTTCGTCTGTGGGAAGAGGTAGATGAAAATGACCCTGGATCTGACGATGATGCGTTCAGCGATTCTGCCACTCCTACCCCTGAGTCACACTCGAAAAAGAGCTCCCCTGCGCATGATGCAGATGGAGATGATGCCATGACTGATGCATCCGCTGTGCCTTCCACTGCCGCCACCCCGGCCGAAGATGTGACGATGACATGAGCTTATCTTTGTCATTTATTTAGCGATTTTTCTTTGTTTCTGCATAGGCGGCTGCTTTTCGGGAAAAAGGAAAATACCCCGGCGTCCGGTGTTGTTCTCATGATGATATTCTCATATGGACAATTTGTGTTTCCCTGCTGCTTTGTTCAGCCTGGGCTCTTTCTATTATTATTATTTTCAATGACGCGACTTGATCTGGTTGATATTTGCGTTGCATTCCAACATGTGACATATGAGCGAATGTAATTATCCAGAGTCTAGTAATTGAATCTTTTACTTCTAACATTAACAGCAGAGCTTGGTAACTAAATCACATCTTCTAGGTCAGCCTACTCTTCCGCCAAAGTTCAAATTTCCCCTTTGTTTATAGAACGGCTGTATACTTTAGGATATTTTGGAACGTAGGCTCTATAAACAAGAAATGCCGCAAGGGAATCAAACCTACAAGACATGGACACAGTGTTTGAGAATGTACCGACTAGATTGAAAAAGCTCAAAACCAAATGCTGTATGAAAGCCAAATGTATATTGATCACTTGTCCTGTGAGTTCTATTAGATGCCTATTTATGGAATAGTGAGCCCCTGCTTTCTTTCTCTCCGCCTGGCATATCTAAGAGCGAATATAGTGAAGTACCAAACGTGACTGGGGTATGAAATTCCATCTTTCAACGTGACTGCATGAAGTAAAATAACTAGTTATTCAGGTCATATTTCATTATTGAGTCCACAGGAGCTGCAAAAATAACTCCATCTAAGTAGAGCATTTACCCCAAATGGCTATGATTTACCCATTTTCCGTCTAGGATTAGAAATGGGTCTATTCTGTTAGCATGTTGCCTGCAATTTCCACACTTTATCTGAGACCATTAGCATGATACAAGCAAGCTGCCCGGAAACAATGGCCAGACAAAGGATGCCGGAATCAAGCATTTCTATAGGTTATGGGATTGATGATACAGTAATTGATCACACTATATTATGGATGTTTCATCGGAACCAATTGTTCGCCGTGTATTAATCCTGCAATGAAGGTTTCATTCCAATGCTCTATGTTGTATAATTATCATGTATAACTTATGCTTGTCATGACATGCAGAATAAATCTGGTTGAATAATTGAGCAGACAACCTCCAAAGTAACGCGCAACGCCGAAAATCCCGGGGTATCTCTTTCAACAAGTCTAATTGCTGACGACTTGACTCGCTGTAGCAGATGCAGGATCTGAATCGCTGGGTACTAGACCAGATGCAAGATCACCAGCCCAGTCAGCAGAAGGTGTGTCATATGACTGAACCGATTGAGCCCCATCAACTTTTTTGGTAGCTCCTTTCCCAGCCAAAGAAGACCGAGCAGGGGTCTGTGTCTTCCTCAGCCCATCATCATTCAGAAACCGACGAAGCGACTCCTTGCCAACTTTATAATCCACTACCACAAGCAGTTCATCGTATGTGATTTGAGGGTTCGCATGAAAAGCCTCGCGGATTCGGGCTCGATCTTCGTCCTTCAGCTTTGACGGTCGGCCAGAGCGGGCTTGTGAGTGGTTATTGACACGATTGCTCTCTCGGAGAATGGTCGATTTGATGGTCGAGAGTGGGATGTGTGGGTATTCATTCTGGATCTGTTTGTAGGTCCATTTGGCTGTGGTTCTGAGCACACAGAGCCGGGTGCGAAGGAATGGATCGAGTTCGGCCCCACGTCGACGAGATCTTTTCTCAGGTTTATCTGGGATCTCGGGCTTATCGAGCCCCTCGGGCCCCATGGTAGCGAGCTTGTGCCTAGAGAAGGACGTGATGAGGGGGGCGGTGAAATGGAAGTCTTTGCTTGTCGGTCACAATGTGGTAGGCGGTGGGAATACCACATTTTCTGCCGGATACTCGGCTCTAATAGGAAGGTACGGAGTATATCTCCATCGTTGAAGAAGTCATGTTTTCGTTGTACAAATCACAGGCTATACATGGGATATCCTAGTAGAAATTATGCTTAACATTACGAATAGTCTGTGGTTCAATTTGCAACTATTATGTACTATTTCGGCGATAACATTATGTAGGAAACAAGACATTGAAAAAAGATCTATTGTAGTATCCGTACTATCTTGAACATAATGATTATCTCGAGCTTGCACGCTTGAATCATAAAGTCTTATGCCGTGCCGTAAAGGATAGGGACTTATAGACTACATTTATGTATTCTTACAATATTGAATTACCGACGGGATTAAGAGAAGCGTCTATGATTTATCTCGGGTTTTTTCTAACTATACTTACTACTCCGCACTTGGTATTTAACTCTCGAGTAGGAGGTTCTTTATGTTGCTTTCATTAATGGATTCTTTAGGTTGTAGTGGGTCTTCTTGGAGACGGGATCAGGCCCCTATTTTGTACAACATAGTTGCTCCATTTCATATCATCCCAGGGTTTGTTTACTGGTAACAATCAATCTGAAACCGTGAAATAATACTGAATCATTTACGGGGTAGATATAAATATCTGCTAAGCTTTTACGGATTACTCCACTGCTTTCTAGCAACAGGATGGGTACGGAGTACGGAATTATATACGGACAACGAATAAATACCGTGGAAGGAGGTCCGAGGCTGCTGTACTCCGTAGTGATAGTCGCAATAATTGGGGTGCCATACGCTGTGCTGTCAAAAGCGACAAGAATAGATCTCTGTGATTGAGAGTGGAACCCCAGCGCTTAGCCTTGTCTCACATTGATGATCGGGCCATAGGGTGAACCCACATAAGTCTCAAATTCTATGTTATACGTTCATACGGAGATGTGTAGGATTTCTAGTGCTCGGACTCGATTGGTGGCATGCAGTATGGCAAGATTTTCTCCAAGAACAGTGTGTATGTGTCCATCCAGAACCCTGTAAGGGTCCACTGTCTAGGACTGGGATTGTGCAAGGATCTTCGATCGGCGGTCCAGTTTTAAGCCCTACAGCTTTCTTCCATCAGGCTGCAAACCTGCCCCTCGCGGGGCACATCTCATACACAAGATGCACTAATAGGGATGTCCGATTCTTGAAGAAGCGGACCATAGATACGGAGTCTATACTCGGTCGTTATGTTTCGGTTCTGCAGGTACATACCGCTATCTCCGCCTTGCACCAGCATACTCCATACTCCGTAATAAAACATTGTTAATTTGAATGGTCGAATCATAATTCATCATAATTCGCACGCGCTAGGGGCAACTTGGCATCCCGTGTGGCTGGTGTGGCGTTGTTGTGCCTCGATTGGTGTGGAGGAATGCGTTCCATGGGTGTGGGCGACCGGGAGAACTTTAGCGCCACTCCTTCGGGTTACCTCCTAGGCTGGAACCATGGTTACATGAGTGGCAAACCTTGGGTCGGACGGTCTGGACGAAAGCTTTAAATATGAGCTTCCACTGTGTTGGTGTACTTCAACGCCTTTCCAGATCAGATTTGTGCAGGATTAAGATGATCGTTGGGAATAATAGAGACGGGATAATAACATGGGTAATGGCATTAAGATATAAATACCAAGCCGAATGGAAAATAGTAATATGCCGAGTGTTAGGTCTAGACTGAAACGGGAGGCCAATCAGTCTCAAAATTCAGGGGCCAAGTTGAGACTAATCGCAAAGTCGTAATCTACGAGACTTCCCTCTCTTTTCTTCTTTCACAGATCATCGCATTGAGAGAGGGGGAATTCCATTCACTAATCTCCAGTCGCTTCCCCTACCACCCTCCTTCACCGTCTCTCGTTCACTTGTTTGCAGCTCCTGGTTGCTCGAAAACCAGTGTCTCACAGCCGCCTCGTCCTTGCGACCCTCTCGACTCATTTATTATTATTATTATCTTTGTATTTCTTTCGCGGGTTGATCCTGCCTTTCCTTTGGAATTTTCCCCCCTGTGACTTACCTACAGTCGCTCCACATATCCTTACAACCCGTCCGATCATCGCGCCAGTCGATCCCCTCCATCCTTGATGACTACGCGCCTCCTTGGCTCAAACCGTTAGATTTAGATTGGTATCACCTATCAAACATCAATTGTGCTTGGCCAACATGCAGAACTTCATCTGGGCTCTGCTAGGCCTGGCCATGGTGCCTCAAGCCCTGGCAAGCGACGTCCTATCTACGGACGGATTCGACCTATGCATGACCGATTCGGCAATCAACGTCCAAAAGATGGATGTTACCTACACTCGTTCTACTGGAGTAGTTGTCTTCGACTTGGCTGGTACCAACGCGATGGAACAGAATGTGTCGGCGACTATCACCGTCACTGCCTATGGCAGCCAACTCTACAGTAAAGAATTTGATCCCTGCGGCGATGACATTCATGTCGCGGAACTCTGCCCCGTCCCCAAGGGTTCTTTCAAGGCCACTGGGTCCATGGACGTCCCGTCCGCATATGCCAGTCAAATCCCTGGTATCGCATTCACCATGCCCGACTTGGATGGTCAGGCCAAGCTTGTCCTGAAATCCAAGCAAAGCCAGAGCAACCTGGCGTGCATTCAGTCGGAACTGACTAACGGCCACACCACCAACGTCGCTGCGGTCAAATACGTCTCGGCAGGCATTGCGGCAGGCGCTCTGGCACTGAGCGGTGTCTCTGCCATCGGCTCGGCGGGAACTGTTGGATCACCGTCCTCCAGCCCTGGATTTGGCGATGTAATGGGCTGGTTCCATTCCATGGCCACCAACGGCATGCTTAGTGTCGCCTACCCCTCCGTCTATCGCAGCTTCTCCTCCAACTTCATGTGGAGTACTGGTATGATCCCTTGGCCTGGTCTGATGAAGTCCATCGACCAATTTCGGGCGGCCACAGGTGGTAACTTGACCGATGAAAGCTATGAGTTCTTGTTGAATTCCTCCACGACGCAAAGTAGCTCATCCTCCACCAACACAACGAAACGGAGCTGGGAGTACACCATCCAATTCGGCGAGATGGTTGCTCGCTCGGTTGACACTTCTACTGATGCTAGTGTTTCGAACAGCTCAAGCACTGAAAGTACATCTACCAGCAAAATCACCGACCTGAAGCAAGTCGCTGAAGAACTGATGGTCCCTTCTGCCGATGTTTTCATGACTATCCTCGTGATCTTCGCCATCGTTATCGCGGTGGTTGTCGTCGGTATTCTTTTAATGAAGGTCATCCTGGAACTGTGGGCGCTGTATGGAAACTTCCCTAACAAGCTGTCTGACTTCCGGAAGGATTATTGGGGCATGATGGCACGGACAATCACCAACATGATCCTCGTGCTATACAGTATCTGGGTGCTATACTGTGTCTACCAACTTCGAAAGGGTGACTCGTGGGCAGCAAAGCTGCTAGCAGCTATAACCCTCTCTCTATTCACGGCGCTTCTTCTCTTCTTTGCTATTCGCATTGTTTACATGGCTCGCAAGTACAAGAAGGCCGAGGGAGATACCTCCCGCCTGTACGAAGATAAAGAAACCTGGAAAAAATACAGTCTGTTCTACGATAACTACAAGAAGGACTTCTGGTGGATCTTCATCCCCGTCATTATGTACGCATTGGTCAAGGGCTGCATCATCGCAGGTGGCGAGGGCCACGGTCTGTTCCAAAGCGCCGGCCAGCTTGCCTGCGAAGTCCTTCTGTTGGGACTCTTGGTGTGGAGCCGCCCATATGCCACCAAGGCATCACTGGGCATCAACATCGCCGTTCAGGTCATCCGTGTTCTGTCCATTGCTTGCGTTCTGGTCTTCGTTGAAGAGCTCGGCATGTCTCAAACAACAAAGACCGTCACCGGCATTGTCCTCATTGTCGTACAGTCTACTCTCACTGCTGTCCTCGCTATCCTCATTGCAGTCAACGCCTTCATCAGCTGCTACCGTGAGAACCCACATGCTAAGCGGAGAAGAGAAGCTGGTAAGTCAAAGCGACGTCCCATCCCATCATGTCCATTTACTAACCGTCCCTTTCTTATAGAAAAAGCAAACCGCGACATTGACGACCTCACTCCCCTAGACGCCCGGGACTCGCTCCTCATGGAACACCCACAGCGCAAGCAATACGCCGAGATGAGCAACTTCAACTTCACCGGCCCCTACCAGACCTACAGAGACGAGCCCAAGCGGGCCGGATCACCTGGTAACACCGAACGCGACCGCCTAGTCAATAACGACTACGGCGTGGCGCACGCGCGCAGCTCAAGCCCCGACAGCCGCCACTCGCGAAGCTCTCTCGAAGGCCGTCGTCCTGCAGCCCCGGGCTACGGGATGGCATATTAAAAAAATGAAATAAAAACCAATAAAAAACAACCAACGAAGGGCGTCACAGGCTTGATATGACGTTACAATTCTTTTCTCTCTCTCTCTCTCTCTCTCTCTCTCCCTCTCTCTCTCCCATGTTTCTCACCTTTCTTCTCGATATTCTTGGATCGGGCACGCGCGCTGTGGCTTGGGAGTTACTTTTTTTTGACGGATTTTAGCGTGCTTGAAAATGGCGGCTGGGAATTTACTGGTCTTCCCGCCTTTAGATGCATCTTCTTGTGTGATATCACTTTCATTCTTTCTTTTATCTTGTCTTCATACATACCTCATTCATTACCATGTTTACCATCTATCATTTTATATTACCGCTTGCAATTGATGAGCATTTCTCCATGTTGGATTTCCGAAGAATCATTTTGTGGTCATAGTCTTGTAATCCTGATGAGACGAGTACATTGCGGCCAATGGATCTCTTATGATTGACTACTATATATATTGTTGGAAAACAGTCCCAACCACAGTCCGAGGTTGAGTTCGAGTATGCTATCCTTCTCGGTATAAAGTATTCAAACATAATCTCATGTACTTAAGCACTATATATAACTTGGATTCCTTAGATGACACAAAGATATAGACAGAAACATGGGAATGCATGGTGGAAGCGATAAGAGTGAGGGGAGTCATATATCTGAACAGGCTCGTGAAGAAGTCCCTTTGTACTCCCTGATAGTACATTTCCCTTCAGATGTTGGAAATTCGGTGTTCAGGTATATGACAATGCCTAGCAAACCTCCTAAGAGATCCGTGAACTGGTTGAACGATGCCAACTGGCAATCATCTGAGTCACGTGGATTGCGTGGCCCTATCTGAAAGACAACCCATGAAATCAATGTGATCACCACGCTATAAAAAGGAGTATTCTGTGCTCAAAAGCATATGGAAATTCATCCCCGAGTACCGATTGGTTCGAGACAGTAGCTTGAATATTCAAAATAGCTCTGGTTTGGTTGGCGACTGTCGCGCTGGCCACGCATAAATAAGTCACCTATCATGCATGGCTGGGGAGTCTTATCGACCATTTTTATTTAATCCATCAATCGCTCTTCGCCTCCGCCCTTTGACCTCCACCTACGGGACCATTTACAACGGAACTTGAATGAACACTTTCGGCTTTTGATTGTGAGGCTAACTCCACAAGACAAAGTAGTGTATCACCGAGCCCGAACAAGAGTTGAAGACTCGCTTTCACCGATCACCGAACAATTCCCTTCCCGCTTATCACGGATAACCTCGACCCAGGTTGATTCTCAAACGTCAGCGCCCCCGAACAAAAGCACGAAAGCACCGGACCAGATAACCTTAGAGTGAAGTCAAAGGGTATGGAAATTGTCAATACAACCAGCTCGCAGGGTTTCCACGTCACCTTGGCGGCTGGCGGCCACGCAATTAACAATCCATGAGGCCCAAAATCGCTGGCCTCAGGTAAAAAAAGACTTAGAAAACACATAAAAGAAACGAAATCGTATCTGAAACGAGAAGCGACTAGATGCATCATTTGAAGGAGCAACAACGACACTTTAGCGCTGGTAAGGGTGGAAGGTACGGTGTCCACCTCGGCCGCCGCCACGGTAGTTCGCACCAGGCTTGCCGGCGTTGCGGGGTCCAGTGGGAGCATTGGCGGGAGCAGTGCTCTGGGGCTGAGGAGTGGTTCCTGTTTGAGAGACGGGTTAGTTGATGTGCGCAAATAAAGTAGGAATGGAAAGGAATTGAGATGAAAGGGACACAATATGCAAAGACTCGTAAGAATCACATACCACTACCCGAACTTCCCATGCGTCTCATACCTGCTGGTCCAGTCGGAACGTGAGGTTGAGGAACTTCATCGTACATACCCTCCCACGAGGTTGGGCCACCCTGCTGCTGGTAAGGCGAGAAGCCGCGAGGATCCATCGAGCGGCTGATCTGCTGCTGTTCATACTTCTGCTGCTCGAAGGCGATCTGCTCGGTCGCGTTGTATCCAGGTCCAGTCTGTCCTCTGGCTGAGTTTGGAGTTCCGTTGTTGTAGTTAGCGGCCATGGCAACGGCATTGGGGACAGGGCTAGCGGAATCGCTGGCAGGACCGCCGGCAGCAACGGCTTGGTTGGGCTGCATCATGGCCGGGTTCATCATGTTGGGCATAGCCTGCTGGGAGCCAGGACTCTGAGGGCCGGGGCTCATAGCACCTTGCTGGGCACCCATTTGCTGTTGCTGCTGCTGACGCATCTGCATCTGCTGCACTTGTTGCATCTGGGCCATCATAGCGGGGTTCATGTTCATAGCGCCCATGTTCATACCAGGCATTCCTCCCTGACCGGCCATCTGATGCTGCATCATGGTAAAGTACTGCTGCATGCGTTGCCAGTATTGGGCCATCATTTGAGGAGTCATCGAACTACCCTGTCCCTGCTGAGGGGCTTGCTGCTGACCTCCATCGTTCTGGTTTTGGTCGCGGTATCCTCCGTTGCGGTGGCCTCCGCGTTGATCATTGTTGTCACGCAGGTTGCCACGGGGCTGGGCCTTCTTGACCTCAATTGGCTTGCCCAGAATCTCAAGAGGACGGGAGAGAGCCTTCTCAACGGCAGCATCGCCGTCGAAGGTGACGAAACCGAATCCACGGGGCCGTCCGGTGTCCTTGTCCATCATAAGAGTGGCATCCACAACACGGCCAAACTGCATGAAGAATTGCTTAAAGTCCTGCTCGGTAGCCTCCTGGCTAACACCACCAACGAAAATCTTGGAAGTCTTCTCCTGTTCGTCACGAGGAATAGCACGCTTAGGATCGATCTTTGATGTGGTCAGTAACAGTTCACTTTGTTTGTCCCAATTGCGAGGTGATGCTTACAATCTTTCCATCCAGATAATGCTCCTTCACCATCACGGTATTGACAGTCTTAGCGTCGCGGAAAGTCAAAAATCCAAAGCCACGAGAGCGTCCAGTGGCGCTATCTCGCATGACAGTGCACTCTTGCACCTCACCGAACTGAGAGAAGTAGTCACGGAGGGATTCTAAATGAAGTTCAAGATATGTCAGCTATATGATACATTTACCGTGTAAGAAAGATAGATTTACCGTCTGTAGTTTCCCAGTTCAGACCACCGATGAACATCTTTCTAACCACGTGTTGTCCTCGGTTAGCGACTGTTCATGAAAATGAAAGAGCAAATGTCCGGACCAATTATGATCGGCGAACGACAGGATGTAATGTGGTAGGGTAAAGGAAGTAAATGAACGTGAAAAGGTAAGGGGAGGTAGTGCTATTCATGGGCTATTCGAGTGCACGAAAAGCCTCGCTATTCTGGGCACAACGGCCCTGGAACAAGCAGCGCACGTGCTTGGCCGGTACGTGATCTTTGTGCCTCGTAGTCACTGTCAATGTATACTTGTATGGTCTTGAGCAATTTTGATGTTCATGACAGGGATTTAACGTCAAGCCCACTGGTTTACATGGGCCTGGATGCAGAATTCATGTCCTTCTCTTTCTGGATTTCTCAAGCCGGAGACAGGCGAGATGAGAAGCGAGGAGGTGCAAGTATTTCAGTCGTAAAAAGTGAATTGTCACTGTCTGTCTGTCTGACTCGTGAAAACCTTTGCCTTGTCTAACACAGAGTCTCAAGCTAGATAGCTACTTCTTGCTCTGCCCTATCAAGGTATATCGACAGGAAACTATATAGTATCGGCTGTACTATATATGAATCGTTTGTGACAAAGGTCCATGGTTGGGGTGTGGTTGATTCACGCAAGAAATTGTCTTGATCAAGGGTCCCAGGCGATATTTCTTTCGAGCCTCTGCTTGATTCCGTGTAGCAAATGCTGGAGCACTCCCAATATGATCTGTAGATCACCCTTGGTAGACGTTGGTGGTTGTGCGAATGGGTCCCTCGAACAGACGTCTTGATGGTCGCCGAGCCCGCAGTTTGTTCTCCCTCATTTCCAAGGTTGAAAACGCGTGCGCCGTCAACCAACCGGTGGACTTTTCCTCAAACAGCCAACAGCCCACATCCCAGAGAGATTTTAACCCGCAGATAGGAGACTCCTTCCGGCACCCAGACTTAACCCATGAATAGCAATTGCGCGACCCAGGCCTGTACTGACGAGGTAAAGCCCAAAACCAGACGGATACATGCAGTTGGGGTAGAGTTCGAACATGAAAATGCAAAAGAAACGCAATTAGTGGACTTACCCGTCTTCTTTAATTCCTGTTCCGTGAGACTCGGTCTCGGCAGGAGGGGGTGCCTGGCTAGTGGCAGGGGCACCATAAGCATTTCCAGAACCATTGTGGTAACCCGGGTCAAATTCCGAAGGCTGACTAGGGTGCGATTCGTATGTGCCAACAGGGTCAGGTCTGAAATCCTGAGCAGAGTCTCCAGTGGTAGCCAAGTTGGTCGCGCCTAGATCAGTAGGCTTGGGCGCCTCGACTGCAGTGGTACGATTGGTGGAATCATCAGCGTCGTAGCTATGAAAGAAGCCTGATTAGAATTTCATTATTCAAGGTAAAGTGAAGTAGAAAACATACAGATCAGCGAAGAGATCATCTCCATCCTCAGGGTCAGCCATGATTAAATAGTGAGCGTTGAATAAAGCAAAAGCAGAGATAGTCGCGGAAACGCGTGTAGCCTTAGTAAATCAGAGAGCAAAATTCAAAGTAACTGGACAGCGAAAAGCTGAGAGCAGGCGGAAGAAGAAGTTAGGAAGTCCAGCACCGCGGGAGTTCAAGCGCATTGCTTACATAATGCGTTCTTCACGCCGGAGTCGGGGCGAAAGCTAGGCACTTGGTATCTAGATGTGGTTAGAACCTACAATATTAGTTTGATTTGCTTTTCAACTCGAGTTTGCCTAGGTATTACTCCCAAATATGGTCTATTGATCTCCTATTCCGTTCCTACATGGCCTGGTTGCATGATATACGGCATTCATCCTATCACAGTGCCACCCCGCACGTGTATTAGACTCCCGCATGAGCACACCTCTGAATCCTCATACGATGGCGAGTAAAAAAGGGCAACAGGTATGAATTTTGTCGCAATTCGAAGGCTTTCTTCGATCCTTGTGTCGCAGGATATTGAACTGACTGTATCCCTAGGAAATGGTCCAGGTTGGTTCGTGTCTTTTGCCTCCCCTTGCATTTCAATCGCAGCTATAGCTTACGTCGCCTTTCTCCCCTTTTTGCAGACAACTCGGAGTAAGTGAAAGCTCTATACACCCTCTCCTACAGCTATGGAACAGCTGTGGTGTATGTTGGATGCTAACGTTGTTTGAAGACGCGCCGCATCGCCATTCTGGGCTGGCCGAAGTACGCCCCTAAATCAGGGATCGTCGAAGCTCTATGGCTCGAATACTGTTGTGGGCGCATCCTACTCACATGCCAATATTGTACAGTATGCTAGAAATACATTCTACATATCCAGACAATTTATCAGAAACGATGACTGACAAGTGTCTTCTTGGCAGACCTACCTCCTCCCACTCAGCGCCGAGAACACCTCCGAAGACATCGGCTACAAATGCTGCATCAAACTCGGCTCGCAAGTCAGGGAACATGGTGACCTCACCTCCCCGACAACTCTACCCTGGCATTATGGCCGACGGGGTCGACGAGTGGAGTCGCGACCCCACGGAAGAAGACGAAGAAGAAGATGAGGAGGACGAGATTGTGTACGATGATGATGAGGATGAATTCGGGCTCCCTAGTCTTGCTAGTATGAGGAGAAAAAGATCCGCGCCTTTGAAGGCCCAGAATATTGATTTCAGTGGTGGCAACCCCTCGACACTTGGGTATGGATTAGCAGCCGCCAACAGACATCGCGCGGATAGTTCAGATATTGCGGAAGAGCGTGGTGCCCCGATGTATCCAACTGCTCGCAAGGGGGAGGGAAAGATCCTTCGGCCTCAATACAAGGACATCCTACATGGTATGTATGAGGCGACTGGAAAATTAGGACCATGCTGACAGTTATAGATCCTGCTAATGCTTTGAACCTCATCAACCACTCCCCACCTCCGATAGATGCTTCACCCAAAGAGAGGGACATTCATTCGAGTCGCATTACGCGCATCAACAAGTTCAAGCGCATCTTGCAAGCGAGCACGGTATCGCCTACTGAGCTGCGGGATCTCGCTTGGTCAGGCGTCCCAGAAGAAGTGCGGCCAATGACTTGGCAGCTTCTCCTTGGCTATCTTCCTACAAATAGTGAGCGACGCATCTCCACTCTGGAACGAAAGCGCAAGGAATACCTTGATGGAATCCGGCAAGCCTTTGACCGAGGTAGTGGGGCAAGCTCGGCAAACCCCTCTTCAAGCAAGGGCCGCGGCAGAGGACTTGATGAGGCAGTATGGCACCAGATTAGCATTGATGTTCCACGCACCAGTCCCCACATTCCGCTGTATGGCTATGAAGCCACCCAGCGGTCGTTGGAACGCATCCTTTATCTCTGGGCCATCCGACACCCAGCAAGTGGTTATGTTCAAGGTATCAATGATCTAGTCACACCATTCTGGCAGGTCTTCCTGGGCGTTTACATAACCGATTTGAACGTTGAAGAAGGCATGGACCCTGGCCAATTGCCTCGGAGTGTGTTAGATGCGGTGGAAGCGGACACCTTCTGGTGTTTGACGAAGCTTCTTGACGGTATCCAGGACAACTACATATACGCCCAGCCTGGCATTCACCGACAGGTCAGGGCATTACGAGACTTGACAGTGCGCATCGATGCAGCACTCGCAAAGCACCTGGAACAAGAAGGTGTGGAATTTATGCAATTTAGTTTCCGATGGATGAACTGCTTGCTCATGCGGGAAATGAGCATCAAAAATACGATACGCATGTGGGACACATACATGGTACGTTTTCTCCCAGGGACTGTCTGGCATGATACTGATCGTTATTCTAGGCTGAGGAGCAGGGCTTCTCTCGATTTCACCTCTATGTCTGCGCTGCATTCTTGGTCAAGTGGACAGATCAATTGGTCAAGATGGATTTCCAGGTACGATGTTGTAATCGAATATCGTCACCAGTAAACAGGAACTAACGTCTTCTAGGAGGTGATGATGTTCCTCCAAGCATTGCCAACGAAGGGTTGGACCGAGAAAGACATTGAGCTCTTACTCAGCGAAGCATTCATCTGGCAAAGCCTGTTTCAAGACTCGCGTGCTCACCTCCGGCCTGCTGGTGATGAACCTCCTGACAATGGTATCTCTTATTGATAGTAATCATAATTCATGATCCGAATTCCCAACTTCTATTTTCGGATGCTTTTTTTCCCCGGGACAGACTTGGTCTGTATTCGCTCAGTTGAAATGAATGCCCTTTTGGTTGAATGCCCAGAGCAGCTTCAAGAAATCATTCTCGTCACACATTCTCGCGCGCCTTTCTCCGAGGCCAGTGTCATCCTCCAGGACCTGGCGCACCTTCTCACGGACTAGCTCTGCAACCTTGCCACGCTTCTTGCGCGAAGCTCCATTCTTGAGTGCTGCTTCGAGGCGGGCATTTGTGCTCTCCTTGAAGAAATCAGGAACATCGTCGTCGTCCATATCCATGACCTCGTCGGCCGGTTCTTCGACAGCCTGTTCCTCCTGCTCCTCCATGTCCATTGCCATGGGATCGTCATTGGCGACTTCAACCGGGCCATCCTCCACTGGGATGTCGTTCTGCGCGCACCATGTCCGATAGTTTGCCTCTAGCAATTCCATGATGCTTGTCGTACTAATGAAACTGGACCGGAGAGTCTTGTTCTTTCGAACGAAAACAATCCGCAACAGACCATCCCACTCTTCGTAGTTGATCTGCGGCCGTGGGTTCTTGGGGACCATTCGAATGACACTTGACTCGACCTGGGGCGGTGGCTTGAAGTTGTTCTTACCAACCTTCATGATATGATCAATCTTGGCCCACATTTGCGCATTGACTGAAAGTCGACTGTAAAGTTTGTCGCCGGGCTTGGCGAATAAACGGAGTGCGAATTCACGTTGGAACCTGTGTGGAAGGTTTCGAGTAAGCTCTCAATTTCACAAAACATCTCTGGTAGCTTCTAGCCTTGCTAGCGGAGACTTACATGAGAATGCATGAACGTGGCGCCGGAGATGTAGCCAGGAGCTTGAATGTGAGAGGAGAAGAGATCTTGACTCTGTTAGACCCGGGAAGAACCCTTGGAAAAAATCTGGGGCTGTACATACCTGGTAGGGGGTGTTGCTGATGCAGACATCGAAGTATGGGAGCTCCGTCTTCATCACATCTCCAAGAATGACCTCTAGGCGCTTTTGGTATGGAGTAGACTGGAAGCGCTTGGTGACTTCTGCAGCCATACGAGGATCCAATTCCACAGCAATGCATTTCTTCGCCTTTTCCAAAATCTTGGCTGTCAGGTTACCAGTACCGGGACCAATTTCGAGGACGATCTGTTGATTCACACTCTTAGTGTTTGTTAAGCCAATGAATGTCTTTTGTAACCCACATCGCTTTGCTTGAGCTCAGCCTTTTCCACAATTGCAGCTAGTTAGATACCTGTTAGCTAGAGTAGGGTATAGTGCAGTGAAAATCCGTCCCTACCAGCAATACCAGGGTTCTTCAGAACGTGCTGGCCAATATCAGTGTTCATCTTGAAGATGCTGTGCGCAGCTTTTGTCTTGGCGGCAGCATCTGACAGGCCCTGCGAAGCCGCGTTATTGCGCTTCTGTTTATTAACCTTTGGCATCTTGGAATCCTCTGTAATTTCACAATTATCAAGAAGAGAGAAAACCTGCGGCAACAAACCACCATGGACTTCAATGTGGGCGGGAACTTTTTTTGCGATAAGATTGCCGGCGCCGGGAATACCATTTCCCCGAGCCCGCCTTCGCCTTCTGCGCCGTCGGCGTCGAGCTCTTTGAGTTGTGTTGTGCTCGATATGGCTTCTGGACGAAAGGATTTCCTAAGCCAGGCAGCGCCTGAAAACTATGTCGCTGGTCTAGGTCGTGGTGCGACAGGATTCACCACTCGCTCTGATCTTGGCCCGGCGCGTGAGGGACCTACGCCCGAACAGATCCAAGCTGCTCTCACCAAGAGAGCTCAGCTTCTAGGGGCTGCTGCACCCACTGCCTACGGCGCCACTTCACGCGAGAAAGGTGGAAAAGACGAGGATAAGGAGGAGGAAGATGAGCGGTTCCAGGATCCCGACAACGAGGTCGGGCTGTTCGCGTACGGGCAGTTCGACCAAGAAGACGACGAAGCAGACCGTATTTACCAGGAGGTAGACGAGAAAATGGACAAGCGCCGAAGAGCTCGCAGGTTAGTCATATCCCTCCCATTTCCCCCTCCCATTTTCACCTCCGAAACCATTTGTTTATCGGATTAGCTCTGGTCGTTTGGACAAAATACCGACTTAAATCGCTCTCTACCTACAGGGAAGCTCGAGAGAAAGCCGAACAGCTAGAATACGAACGCAATAACCCGAAAATTCAACACCAATTTGCCGATCTGAAACGCACCCTCGCCTCGGTATCCGAAGAAGAATGGGCCAACCTCCCGGAGGTTGGTGATTTGACGGGCAAGAATCGACGAGACAAACAGAACGCCCGACAGCGGCACTACGCCGTTCCGGATAGTGTCATTGCTGGCGCGAGAGACTCAGCTCAGTATGGCACGACAATTGCCGAAGATGGCACGGAAACGACTGTCGACGAAGGAGAAAACGCCGACAGTAACATGATGAACTTCGCAGATATCGGTGCGGCGCGCGATAAAGTGCTGAAGGTCCGACTTGACCAGGCTGCATCCGGAACCTCTACGAATATCGACCCGAAGGGTTATCTCACCAGCTTGACACAATCAGAAGCCAAAGCTGGTGAAGTTGAGGTGGGCGATATCAAGCGAGTTCGTACCTTGTTAGAGTCAGTTACCAAGACCAATCCTAAACATGCTCCCGGTTGGATTGCGCTAGCTCGTCTAGAGGAGCTTGCTGGCCGGACTGTGGCAGCTAGGAACCTAATCGCGAAAGGGTGCGAGCTCTGCCCCAAAAGTGAAGACGCATGGCTGGAAAACATTCGACTCAATGAAGGCCATAACGCAAAGATCATTGCAGCGAATGCAATTAAAAACAATGACCGTTCCACAAGACTTTGGACCGAGGCCATGAGATTAGAAACGGACACCCGTGCCAAAAAGAATGTTCTGCGACAAGCTATTCTACACATTCCCCAATCGGTGCAGATTTGGAAAGAAGCTGTCAACCTAGAAGACGATCCTGCCGATGCGCGCTTGCTGCTGGCAAAGGCCGTTGAAATCATTCCTCTCTCAGTCGAGTTGTGGCTTGCCCTTGCTCGTCTTGAAACCCCAGAAAATGCCCAAAAAGTCTTGAACGCTGCTCGCAAGGCCGTTCCTACCAGCTACGAAATCTGGATTGCTGCAGCTCGACTCCAGGAACAGATGGGTACATTCGCTAGGGTCAATGTCATGAAGCGTGCTATTCAGTCCCTGGTCCGAGAGAACGCTATGCTAAAGAGAGAGGAATGGATCACAGAAGCCGAGAAATGCGAAAGCGAAGGCGCCGTTCTTACATGTGGTAGTATCATCCAAGAGACTCTCGGATGGGGCCTGGATGAGGATGATGACCGAAAAGATATCTGGATGGACGACGCGAAGGCCAGTATTGCCCGTGGTAACTACGAAACTGCCCGGGCAATTTACGCTTACGCCCTGCGAGTCTTTGTGAATCGTCGATCAATCTGGCTCGCAGCAGCGGACCTCGAGCGCAACCACGGCACCAAAGAAGCTCTCTGGCAGGTCCTCGAGAAGGCAGTCGAAGCATGCCCTCAAAGCGAGGAGCTCTGGCTCCTCCTTGCCAAGGAGAAATGGCAATCTGGAGATATTGACGATGCTCGACGAGTCTTGGGCCGTGCCTTCAACCAAAACCCTAACAATGAAGATATCTGGCTTGCTGCTGTTAAGCTAGAAGCGGACGCCAAAAAGCCAGACCAAGCCCGAGAGCTCCTGGCCACCGCCCGCCGTGAAGCTGGCACAGATCGCGTGTGGACCAAGAGCGTTGCTTTCGAGCGGCAGCTCGGCAACATCGACGACGCTCTTGATCTAGTCAACCAAGGTCTGCAACTCTTCCCGAAGGCCGACAAGCTCTGGATGATCAAGGGCCAAATCTATGAAGCGCAAAACAAGCTCCCGCAGGCGCGCGAGGCATACGGAACAGGCACCCGCGCCTGCCCCAAGTCCGTTGCGCTGTGGCTACTTGCCTCGCGACTGGAAGAGAAAGCGGGCGCCGTGGTCCGAGCCCGATCCGTCCTCGACCGGGCCCGCTTGGCCGTTCCCAAGAACGCAGAGCTTTGGACCGAAAGTGTGCGCGTTGAACGTCGCGCCAACAACATCTCCCAGGCCAGAGTCCTCATGGCGCGCGCGATCCAGGACGTCCCAACATCGGGGCTTCTGTGGAGCGAAAGCATCTGGTATCTCGAGCCCCGCGCTCAGCGCAAGGCACGCAGTCTGGAGGCTATCAAGAAGGTCGAGAGCGACCCGATTCTGTTCATCACTGTTGCGCGTATCTTCTGGGGCGAGCGTCGGCTGGAGAAGGCCATGACCTGGTTTGAGAAGGCGATCGTCTTGGATAGTGATTACGGTGATGGCTGGGCTTGGTATTACAAGTTCCTTATGCAGCATGGTACCGAGGTTAGTTTCTCTCTCCCCTTTTCATTCATTCACTCTTTGGGCTCTGTGTTATCGTTATCAGTGGAATATCCAGCTGACATCTAGTTACAGGAAAAACGAGCAGACGTCGTGTCGAAGTGCATGTCAATGGAACCCAAGCACGGTGAGATCTGGCAGTCCATCGCGAAGGACCCGGCCAATGCCTACAAGACTACCGAGGAGCTTCTGAAGCTTGTCGCGAATATCATCAACTAGCTAGCACAGTCTTCTGGTGTACTATCTACAGGCGTCTCGGGGGCAAAAAGCCCATGGAATTCATCTTTGACAGGGGTCTGTCTTTGCTAAGACTCACGTCAAGAAGTTCAGGGTCCTAATGTAAAAATATGTAATAACTTCTCAAGATAACCAAGTTGTAAAGTAGAATTCATGGGTATCGAACAAGACCTCCTCTTCCCAACAGAGGTCATGGCCATTCAGCTTTTTTTTACGTCTCTTTGTTTTCGAGGTTTCCTTCAATCCTCCAGATATCGACCGCTTGACCTTGTCCTTGAGAAGTGATACTGTACATGACCAAAATAGGAAGGTGAATATAGAGGACAAGGCAGGGGCGGTCGAGAACGGATAAGACAATATATCTTCAAACTCCAAATCCATATGCAAATAATGTGGCGCCACAAACAGTGACAGCCTCCCTTGGTAGTACCCAGACGCCGTGAGCCACCATCCAAATCGTGAGTGAAGCCAAAAAAAAAAAAAAAGAAGAACAGAAAAAGCATGTAATGTAGCATGTATGAAACGGGGAAAAAAAGACATTGGGGGTATAAAATTCTCATGCAGCCATGGACAGACACTCGTCGAGCAAAGAGCTCAACTGAGCTCGATCACCAAGCGTGCCGCCTTCCCAGTCTAGCAGAGAACCGTCTTCAGCTTCGTCTTCGTCCAGGTCCATCTCGTCTTCGGGTTTGATTTCTTGATGCGGTTCACCAGCGCCATTCTCCATTCGATCGTGTCTTTCGGTCTCGAGTTCGTCTTCGAAGTAACTGTTCATGATCTGGTCTACAATCAGCGGCATGTGGCCGAGGACACCGCCGCCCAGCTCCAGAGTTAACCGCAGGTCTCTAACGCCTAAGGGTTTTCGGAGGTTGGCCTCTCTCGCTTCAACGGGGAGTAGGCCTGTGGCGGAATCCTTCGAAATCTCCCCACGTGTGTATGCAAGCTCTTCAACTTCTAGTTGGTGTCGGTATTGACGCATCATCATGTTATTGATTGTACCGGATGGGCCATTTGAACGGGTGCGCGAGAATACTGCGGACAAGACTTCCTTTACGAAAGTTTCCGTCGCAATTGCCATGAACTCAGCACATGGGAGCGCAGCACCGCTGGGGAGAGATTCTTCGTAACATATCGGGACCATGCGGGCATGGATGGATTCGGCATCGGGGAATTCGCCTGTTTCTGCGGCTAGCGGCTGGGCATATCGTTTTCGGATTTCCAGCTCCCAGTCTGTAATGGAGAAAGATGGTTAGGGATTATTTCCTGAATTGACCATAGGAACGGAGAGAGTGTTGCCGTACTAGTTTTGTTCAAGCCGCCTGCACTTGCGGGAACCTGGCTGGGTAATTTGAATTGCTTAGCTAAATAGCTTTCTTCAAGCTCTGTAAGCACCTTCTCATTGGGATCTCGCTGGTGATCGTTAGCTGTCGGGTTCTTGGGTGAAGGTGTTAGTCATCGTTTGCGACTACGCACCTCTGGGATTCCCTTTATGCGCCGACGGTCCCTCGGAGGTAGTTTCATAACCTCCGTCTTCAATCTTTGTTCCGCAGCATCTCCGGAGACGGGTTTCGACACCGTGGATGGTTTGTCGTTGGCCGATACCCAGTTTGCGACGCCGTGATCGGGGAGGTCTCGCGTGAGGTTTCCGATGAGCGCGCATACGAAATTGTTATGTAGATGCTCGTTTTTAGGATCGGCGCACAAGAAGTAATCGACGCGTGAGGAGTATTCGCGCTGGTTGTAGTGTCCTATCATCAGGCAAGAAGTTAGGAGGTGATCGAACAGAGGCCAATACATAGGAGGGAAGGGAGAAACACTCTCCGCGGAGCGCAAGCAATCGCCATTTAACTAGAAACCCCATGCGCATCACGACATACCTAGTAAGAACAGAGCTGTAGACTCCTTATATTCGGCCCACTTGTCTCCGATGGCGGCCTTCAGGTCCGTGTAGGCATGCTCGAGCTCTAGTCGCGGCACCGATATCAGAGCTCTGGAGGTCTTCGCAGATACTGAGCCATTGGGCACGGTGCCCTTTGGATTTGAGACAGAGTCACTCCGACTCAGAGCCGCCGGATCAATCTGCATGGTTGCTGAACTCGCGAGGGCGCGACGGGCGACGCCGAAGGGCAGGGAATATTGGCACCTACGCCTTCATTAAGGAGGATTCTAGGGTTCAAACTAGAAATAGGGGAAGAGAGTATGTTTTCATGAGACAACCTGATGAATTGAAGATGAAAATTGATGGAATGAAAGAGATGGCGATGGGTTTGAGTGGAAGGGGAGGTTCCGACTTGCGGTTCCCCGCCAGACGCCAAAAACGGATACATCGATGTGCGCCAAACTTAGCAGTGTTGCCTTGTATGTTTACATATATTTCTCTACATTGTTATTTTGAGGGCTTTTCAAATTGATCAGCTAGATTTTCAAGATAGCTGCACTACATCTTCACTTAATACCCCAAACAGTTGTCCGATCTCTGCAATGATCTCCGTGATTTCATTCGATAATTGGCCTGTCACCAAAACTAGAAGGACAAGGGTCAGTGTATTGAACTGGTGGAAGGGACGAGAAACCAAAGAGATACTCACTGTATGCATAAAGCAAAGCACAGTCCTCATCGGTAGTCTGTTGAGATGCTTCATGATCCAGGCGATAGCGATAGATGCGAGCAAGCAATCGGTCTCTAGCATGCTCAATGCTAGGAAGGACATCACTCATAGGGTACTCGAGTTTCATCGAAGAAGCAATCACTGGAAGATAATCAGCGCCGCATCAAGTGCACAAGGAAGTTACAAGAGGACTGACCTGATAATAGATGGCTCACCCGAGCAGATAGCTGCAGCCGTTCTGATTTTGTGTATTGAAGAAGGCTGATTTCACCTTCAGTGGCCACATTATTCTTCATCAGCTCGATGTTCATGGTAAGGAAAGAATTCACCATGCTGCGTGTACGGCGAACAATGTTGGCATATGAGGCTTCAGGGAATGCACTCTTCAGTTCAAACTCGGAGCCTGCCGCAGCCTGGAGAGATTCCAACCGAGACAAAAATCGTTCAATCTCAAGCTTCTCTCGGGGCGTCATGTATAAAACAGACTTTTTGCCTTTGGCCATGATGGATAGGGGATCGCGTTTCCAGACCAGGCTCAGGTGCAGCCAGAGAAGACTTAGGCTCTCCTTGAGCCTACTTCTTGCGCTGATGGGCCAAATCATTCGAGTGATGATGATTCCCCAAATGCACCCAGACAACACAGCAACAACTCGATGGAGTGCAATCTCGGCCATGATTGGATGAGAACCGCCTTCATCTTCGTCCAGATTTGCTTGTTTCCGAGAAAGGGAATAGCCGTAGAGCACAGAGAGGTTGTAAGTGAGCATGATAAACCGGCCCATGGGTCCATTCCCACGAACAATAGTGATGTATCCAGTCCAGACAGCCATTATCCATCCCAAGAATGCAAGAGCAAATACATTTCCAGCGGTGATATTCCATGCTAGGATAGCGGCGACTGCCCCTAAACAAGTACCGAGAAACCGGGCATACCCCGTCGTATTCGAGGCCCCGATAGTCATCGAGCAAACCAGCATATAGGACAGCAGACCCCATTCTCCCCGCCAACGCCCATAGAACGGGCGAGTTGAAGGAAGAAAAGCAGGTAGGGCATAGAGTGCAGCTCCTGCCCCAACCTTGATCGCGTATTTCGTATCATCTCGTCGGAAGAATCCAAGACATTTCCATAAACGGTAACCGAGCCTTTGCTTTGTTGTTTCATTCGCCGAAGGGCCTTTTCGTGTTTGGACATTGACAGAGAGTGTATCATGTGCAATCAAGCCGTCTGACGCATGCCTAGCATGTTTATGGGAGTCCTGCCCAGTACCGGTTGGATTGGAAGCTGTCTCTGCAGAGAATTAATATATAATCCATGTCTCAACGATTTGTATGCATACGTACCATCGTCAAATGAGGCTATTTTAGCGGCCTCCGCGTTTCTCGACCACCGCCAAACTTTAAGCCACGACCAGGTTCGCCCATTGGGCCGCTCTTCGACTTCCAACTGCAACTCATCCAAGATAGAAAGCATCTCTCGGAGCTGCTCCCCAAATTCGAGGAGCGAAAAGCTGAAATGGCCACAGCTAGCTGACACTTCCTCAAGATCGGCTTCAGCTTCACGGGACTTCAATTTCATGGTTTCCTTTTGTTGATACAAGGTTGCGAGTGTCTTCTCGCGAGATTCTTTGTAAAGATCAAGCGCTCGGTCAAGACTAATTCGCAGTCGACCATTCACTGAGACCTTATAGTCCGGTGCAGGCCCAAATGGAATCTCCTTAAAGATTTCTTTCAATGTGAAAGCCAACGATCGCTGCTTCTAGTTAGTCTTGAATTATATCAAATACTTCTTGAGTCCCAACTTACCATTGCAGGGCCAAGATGAGAGATGAATACAGTGAAGACATCTGCTGGAAGAAGCGTGGGTCTGGGTGTTGATTCAGTACTTCCAAGTTGATGGGAGCTGACTGGAGATAGTTCCTCCTCTGGTCGCTCAACAATAGGCTCCAGAAAGGACCCTTCGGGAAATGACCAGGACCGCTCCAGGGTCATGAAATAGTCCACATGAGTCGAGCTACCTTGCTGATCTTCCGGAGACACAGAGTCATGGGCAATAGTCTCACGAATCAAACTGAATTGGAGAGAAGCTGCATTACGCAAACCTCCCATGTTATGGGTAATATCTTGCACCCAACGGACGAGATTCTTTTCGAGCCTGTACTCCTTTTCAGTGCCTGCCACAAAGTGCTCAAGTTTAGCCTCTCGGACGAGCCTGTCGAGCTGGCTGTAGGCCTTGCGGTGCTTCGCCTCTGCGTCAACGAATTCAGCCGAGAGAAGCACTTCCTCAGATCCGCTCAAGAAGCTTTCTGTGATAAGTGCCATCATGATAGCCAATGTATCGGTGACGGTGACGAGGTTTGAGCGCAGCTTTTTACGCGCTGATATGGGGAAGACCAAAAAGGATACAAGCATGACAGCCACCACGCCCATCACGACCATCTTTAGGACTTGGAAGATCTTGGAAAGAGACAAATCACCGCTTTGTACAGAACCCTCCTTGGTTAAAAGGGTGATTGTTGACAGAGCCGTGAGTGAACAGGCAACATTCACCAGAGGATCTCCCAGTCGTTGCTTGGTCCAACCGACAAAGCCAAGCCCACCGCCACAGAATACTATCAGGACCACAGCATGACCAAGGGCAGGCAATTCCAATGTGTCCTGGAAAAACATCTCCACGAACATGCTGGTAATAGTCAAGAAGGTAGAATAGCAGAACGCCAGGAAAGCGCAGATCGAGGCCTTGAACATCGCACCCTGGGATCTGGCAGGGTGAAAGTAGACCGTCACCGTAGCCACCATGTGTTTTCCATCCTGATGGCCCAGCATGGCCGAGACCGCGGGGATAAAAGTTGCCAGAGATCCGACCAGATACGCAAGACTGTACTTCAAGACTCCAATACCCGGTTCCGACCTAACAAACTGATTTGTCTGCGTCCATTTATCACGTATACGCCGCGTGAGGGAGTCGAGGTAGCCCTCATAATGTTGGATCTCGTTTGTGAGGAGCCCGCGCCTTTCCTCATTGTTGTCAGGCGTGGAGTTTCGGAGGTTGATGAGGCCTTTCAGGCGCTGGCCTGTTTTTGGGAGGACAAATGTAGCCTGACGGAGCTTCACCGACGATTAGTATCTTCCAAGTCAAAAACTGCGAGCACATACCGTTGGGCGCGAACGTCGGGAGCTGCTGGGAGTTCCAGATGGCATCTTTCGGGTTTCACGTACTTCGCGGGGACTTAGGGCGTTGTACAAGCCCCATGGCACATCTTCGACAAGTCGCCCTTCTATCCAGGCTTTATGAAGACGTCAGACGGTTGTGGGGAGGTGCCAGGAGCTATGCAGGTCAATTTGTTGGCTGGCTGGGACAGTTACAGTCACTCCCCACTTCCCATTGCCACGCACCTCTTTGTTTTGCTTTTTGCTTTGTGTACAATTCGGGGGACTTGAGTTACTTGAGTTACGAGAATGCATTTCTGATATTAATAGACTCGATGCTAATTTCGAATGTGTTTGTCAACAAAGAGAAGCTCTCGACGTTTATAATTTCGTAGGAAAATACTGTGACAGCTACGGAGTACTTCATAATTATTGCAACCCATCTACTTTCCACACCTTCACCGCTGCATCAGCACCAGCTGAGATGATCTTGGAGCCTCCTGAAATCCAGCCTACACCGTGGACACCCTCTTTGTGAGCATTCTGCAGCTCAAGCCAGTCGCCTGGCTTAGCCAAGCTCCAAACAAAGATGTTTGTGTCCAGTGATCCACTCACAACGTGTGAACCAGCCTCATTCCAAGCAAGTGAGGTGATCCGTGCAGTATGCGCCGTCCAACGGTCTGTAACTAGACTGCCATCTGCAACCTTGAAAACTAGAACACGTCCCCGCAAGTCGCCCACAGCTAAGTGGGAGGCGTCTGGGGAGAAGGCAAGAGCAGAGATTGGATTGCGAGAGGCATTAATGTCTGCCCGGGGAGAAAGCCGAGAGCTCGAAATAGCACAGATCTGAACAGATCCATTCTCGCCTCCAACAGCTGCCTGAGAACCATGCGCGGCCACGGTTGTAGCGGTAAAGTCTGTTTTGTATTCTCCGGTCTTCTTGCCATCTTGGAAAATCTCGACGGTTTCGGCTTCGCCAACAAGCACGGTCGTGTCACCAGCCGCAACACCCTTTGGCTGTCCATTGAGCTTTGAAGCGCTGCCCGTATATGTTTTAGCAGCAGCGTCAACAGAACGGAGGGTGTCGTCCCAGCCGACACTGTAAATTCTACCGCTTCCCTCTGATGTGGTTGCAAGCCCGGCGACGTAACCGGGGTGGGCATCTCCTTCAATCTCCTCGGCCTTACCTGAAGCCACATCCCAGTTGCAGACTCTTCCGTCAAAGCTGCCTGTCCACAGAGTTTCCTTGTTATCCACAGTGGTCTGTGCCAGGGAGGTGATGCTCTTCTGGTGGCCCGAGATAACCTGTCGGGGCTCAGGAGTTCCCTCGACCAGGTAGTTCAAGTCTCCGCTGAGGGACAAACTTATGAGCAGGTTATCAGTTCTTCCTGGGGGCCAGACCACGCCAACTTGGTGGTCACGAACAGCCATAGCACCCTCCTCTCCCAAGGTCCAGGTCTGGGTTGATTTGCCAGCTTCCACATCCCAGATCCTGACGGTCCGGTCTGCGCTGGCAGTAACGAACTTTCGAGAATCCTTGGCCCAGCACACACTAAAGATACTGCCAGTGTGTTCTCCTTCACCGATCTGACCCTTGGTCTCGCCCGTCTTGCCGTCGTAGAGCCAGATCTTCCGGTCTGCGCCAACACTGACTAAGTGCGAACCATCCGGGCTAAAGGCAACTCCGTATATGTAGTTTGAGTGCTTATCAGCAATTCCGTTGTTGAATTTGAACGGCGGTCCATGGTAGAATACCGTCTTCTTATCGTCACCAGCAGTGGCGGCACGCAGAGGCCGCTGCTGCCTAATTGACACGGTGTTGAGCTGTTGCGTATGGCCGTGGATCTCCCCAACGGTATTTCCACTATCCCAAGTGATACAGTGTCCATATCGCTGCTTACCATCGCCGACAGCAATAATGCGTTGGGAGTCACCGTCCCAGGCCAAATCGTTGATTCGACCATTAACAATGCTATATTCACCCTTGGTGATTCCTTCACCGACACAATCCCATACTCTCACTATTCCAGCTGCGTCACCACTTGCAACGTAGAAGCCGGAGGGGGAGAAGCGTGCGACAGTTGTCTGCGCCTTGTGTTCGGTGTACTGCCTAGCGACTGCGGGGTCATCGATCGAACGTAGGAAGATGGATTTGTTGGACTATAATCGCTGATGTCAGGACGAGGCAGTGTACTATTGTAGATATTGTTAGAATAACATACTGCATATGCCAATCGCTCGCCTTTAGCATCAGAAGAAAGCTGAGTGGGCTGGCCGCGGGTGGTGGAGGGGCTAGCGGCCCAAATGGACTCTTGGAATATGTCAGGACAATAATATATAATATGAGGGTGACAGGTTCTCACCATTTGTAAGTGACATTGCTAAGATGTACACACTCAAGCAGAGGAGTTGGGGGAAAGCAGAGGAGAGTCCACAGTCCACTGTTTATCGACTGACGTACGGGCCACAATAGCGGGGAACACCGCCACGCCTTGTCTACTTAAAACAAGCATTGGGAGTATGCAGAAAAGAGAAATATCACTGTCAACACATCTGCAATGTATCTGATAGCTTCAAATATTCTAGCACAAAAGAACTTGAAAGTAGTAGCTCTCAATAAAATCAATGCATAGCGCTAAGAGTAATAATACACCAAGTCGTGCCCTTTCTACCAGCCACCGGCCTGTACTTGTACAAGGAAATCTCCCAATATTTGTTTCAGATCCCAAAAAATGACTCCAAAGTAGTATGTTCGGCTTAGAAACCTCCAGGGCCCTCCATGCGTGCTCGCATCTCGGCTGCGAGAATTTCGGGGTGTCGGTGAACACTAGGCATAAGGCCCATGCCGATGGCTCTCCGGAGTGCCTTGGCAATTTTGCGCTGGTTGACAGGTCGAAGACCGGTAATGGCTCGGGGCTTGATACGGCCCATGCTGGTCATATATTCGGACATGACGGAGAAGTTCTGTAATGGCAAAAGAGCGAACAGTTAGTGGCTGTTCATGATGGTATATCCTCCATATAGCTCCATTGGCTCGAGGAATGCATACCTTGTACAAATCTATAGGATTCACGTTCAATGCATCGAAAGCATCTGTCTGAGGGGACTGGCGCTTTCCCCATTTCTTCATCTCGGCCGGGCTGAGATCGTGCGGGGCGTAGATATCTCCAGCCTTGAAGTCACGGGTTTGATATCTCTCAAGGGCTCGGCTCTCGCCTTGCGCCTTCTGGTCCTCGAGGAACTTCAGACGACTAGGTAAACGGCGTCGTTGGACGATTTGGGAGGCTATCGCAATACATTAGTCGCTAGGCAAACCCAAAAATAAATGTGTTCCCAAATTATAGAATGGACAAAAATGAATAAGCTCGGTGTATCGGGTTGATCACATACTCTGTGAGCTTGTGGCGCGCTGAGAAGTGAAAGCGCTCATAGCAGCGGTCGAGCTCCAGCGACAGAGCGACAGGCCAACATTGGCTGTGGCCGCGACATTGCGCAGCAATGACGGTGAAGAAAAGAGGTTCAAAGACATCTTGACCTTTCAATCCCTGATTAGTTGTCGATGTTGAAGACGGTGTTAGGGAGACCGGGCAACGCGGAGATGAGATCTTTTTCGCCAAGACTTCTTCCGCCTCCAAATCTCTCCGCGTCGCGAACCCCCATTTTTCACGATTCCATGCAGATTGCGAGTCAACTTCGGACTACACGTTTTTATCCAATTCATCTTGTTCTATCTGGGCTATAAGCTCAGCTCACATAATCCATAATGCAATCCCATCTCACAAGACGGGTCTTCCGGGCAATCATTAACAATGAACCACTTCGGTTCTCCCAATGCCATCGAAATCGCTTATTGCACACAATCACTCCTGCCCGAGTACGACCTGCCATGTCCAGCCTTCCTTATACCTCGCGACGCAACATCTTTGTCTTCAGCTCGGACCCTGAGCGGTCGCAATCTATTTTGCCCTCCGAAAAGGGCCTGAAACCAATGGCTGACTTGATGAGGGCACTCAAAGATCGAAGCAGAACTCCTCCGAGTGATATTCTTGCGAAGGCATTCCAAACGTTTTTTACCATGCGGCTTGAAACGCCAATGCTCATCAGCCATTTCCAAGCCCGCGCGCTGATCGTCACCTTCAAACATTTAAGGGCCCTGCAGGGCGAGATGGAAGAAGAAGACTGGCAGAATGTTTTCTCGATTGAGAATTTGGAAAAGTTGTTGGATGTACTCTCCGAGTCAGAGTGTGTCCCACAGGCTCGTGATGTTGTCATGAACCTTGCCCGATATGCATATCAAGAACTAAACCTCGATCATGGATTTGGTCCGGGGAAGATCAGCCGGCCGGCCCTTGGTCTCTATATCAATATATTGGCTATGAATGGTAATCCCGAGGATGCTAGACATACCCTATTGAAGTTCTGGGGTCAAATGAGCAAGGCTGTCCCGTCGCCATGGCTCACAATTATGAAAGGGTTTGCCATGAAGGACGATCTGCGACAGGTGCGGAAGATTGTTGATGAGTGGGGAAACCATGGCAATAAATTTGATCAAGCCTCGCATGGAGAGCTAGTTACATTTCTCGTCGACCACGGTCAATGGAAAGCGGCCCAAACTGTCTACGACTCTCCGATTGCTGATGGCTCGGAACCCTCCATGGCTGCGAGAGAGGCTCTCATCAAATATTATCTCTTGAATTCGCGGGCAGATTCAGCAGAGGAGATCTTCAAGTCCCTCCCTAATGAGCCCAGCGAAGACACCGTTGGCATAATCTTGCTCTGGGAAGCAGCAAAGGGGAACAATGCTTCTGCTCTTGCGCAAAGAGTCCATTCATGGACTACGAAGAATCCGCAGCTTGAGGGCTCCATCAACATTCACATTGTTAATAACCTTATTCAGTACGCGAACGCAACGCAGAACCCGCAGTTGGCTTCTGATTTCATGGGACTCGCAGGTCAATGGGGTCTTGTCCCAGATAGTCAAACTCATATCTTAGAATTGGAGTCCTGTATACAGGCCGGCGATGTCGATGAGACATTGAAGATTCTCGAAGAGAAGGTTGACACGACTTCCCTCACGAGTCACAACCTGCCAATCGCAAACAAGCTCATCGCGATGCTCTGCCGATCCGAAGAAAAGGATGCCTTGTTCGACCAGATATCCTCCCTCCTAGACCCGCTTTTCCAAGAGAACGTGCGCCTAGAGTCTGCGACCATTGCCGCATTGACTCACATGCTCCTTTATCGCCACGACCTCGACGCCGTTTCAGAGTTGCTACGTCCACGACTAGGCAGCTACAGCGATGAACAAAAGATGCCGGTACGGGACGCCCTCACAGAGTACATTACGGATAAAAGCCAGTCCGACACCGACGTGTGGAATGCATACGAGCTTCTGAAGATCGCATTCCCGGAAACGTGGGTCTCAGCTCGCACCAAAATCATGACCTCCTTCTTCAACCGGAAGCGCAGTGATCTTGCCGTCTTGGTATTTGGACATATGCGTCAGGCCGATGAACCTGGTCGACGCCCTAGGCCAGACACTTATGCCCGCTGTTTCCAGGGCCTGGCTCGCACGGCAGATGCAACCAATCTAAAGCTTGTACACAACATGCTAAAGCTTGATCTTGAGGTGGATCTCAACACGAGAATCCTAAATGGTTTGATGATGGCGTATGCTGCATGCGAGATGCCAGAAAAGAGCATGGAAATCTTCCGACAGATTCTTCAGTCGGAGGAAGGCCCTTGTCACAAGACTATCACGATTTTCTTCAAGGTCTGTGAGAATCATCACAATGGTACCCAGGAGGCTATAAAGATGATGAGCAAGGTCAAGAAACTGGAGATCACTGCGAATCGCCCGCTCTATTCGGCGTATATGGAGGCCTTGGCAGCTCAATGCGAATTTGACCTGGCTGTTGAAGCTATCGACAACATGGAAGCTGAGATCGGGATCCCTCCTACCAGCAATACGTGAGTAAATTCCTTTGCTATCTGTGTTATCATCGCTAATATCTGTCCTAGTATCGGGTTATTCTACAACGCCATCCCGTACCAATACTGGAAAGATGAAGTGGAGAAATGGGCGAGTCAGAAGTATCCCGAGCATTGGGAGCATCTGATGACGATAGAACGTACTGATCAAGAGGACGGGCTGGAGTTTGACGGCATCTCAAATGAGGTATCAGTGTAATAATTTTTGTATCTAAGTAGCAAGCCAATTCATCATAGTTCCCATGAAGGGGGCACCGAGAAATCTTTTTTTTTTGGAAGTCCTTTCCCATATTGGTAGGGGATGCTCGCCGCGGATATATAGTGGACCTTTTACAAATGGATTGACGTTGCTGAAAGCCTAGAAACACTGTGTTGATGATGTGAGAATCTAGGCCTGAAAGTTATAGACCTAGTATAGTAGAGAGCACCTGAAAACAAAAATGATCAGAAAACGAGAAAAAAGAACGTCAACTCATTCTCGTCGCTCATCACAGCTCCAAAAATAATTTGAATGCGGCCATCCCGCCTCTCAATTTTCAACTATCCCTCAGTAAACCGAGAAAACACATCCACAGTCGCAATCCCAAATTCTCTTTCAATCGTAGCCCGAATGACCTCGTTGCGTACTACAGGTCGACAAGGATAGTCTTTGGCACAGTAAAGGAAGCCATTATGGTATCCATTAACCGGATCACTATCCATCGGGCCCTCTCCCGGCTGGAAGTCAAACGCCCATAGCAGTTTAGCAATGGCCAGGAACATGTTGCGCTCAGCGAGGTGAATGCCAGGACAGATCCGGCGTCCAACCCCGTAGCCATAGTGGTCGCGACGCTCCCATGTCCCCGGCACATAGTCGGGAGCCAATTGAGGATGTTTGGCAAAGCGTTCGGGGATGAAAGCAGCTGGGTCATCAGGTTGAAATGGATCCATGTGGATACCCCAGGTGTTGATAACGACTATTGTGCCTTTAGGGAGGAATTTGCCATCGACCCAGTCATCTATAAGGATACCCATAGTTAGTATAGAAGTTAGAAAGGACAGAAAAGGACAGAAAGTAAGAGAAAAGAGGCCTACCCTCTCCCAGTGCATGCGGGAAACAAAGTGGAAGTATTGGCCTCCACCGGTGACCTTCTTTGACGATCATGTTGATATAAGGAAGTTGTTCAAAATCTTCCCAAACAGGTGACCGGTTGTGGCCGACCACCGCATCAATCTCAGCATGTGCCTTTCGCTGCACATCGGGGTTTTGGACCAATGCTTGCACGATAGCCAGTGTGAGACTGGAGCTTGTGTCCGAGCCTCCTTCCATCAAGACACCGCCGATAAAGGCCAGCTGATGCCAGGGAAGATTATGTTTCTCTTGGCTATCCAGAACCTTGTCCATGAAAGTGCCCTTATTGTCGCCATCTTCCCGCCGTTTTATCACTTTGTTCAGGATGTCGACATAGAGGGTTTCCATCTGCACGCCGATGGCCTTGGCCCGGGTAATATAGTTGTTAAAAAACCACTGTGGTAGTAGTTTCAACCAGGGGAATAGGTCTACTGGTGGTGTTGCGCCCGTTTCCATCATTTCCGACCATTCCTCCATGAGTTTGTAAAGCCTCCCCATGTTGGATCCTTCCCGGTTGGCCGTGCGGATTCCGAATACTGTGACAGGGACTTAGGAGCTTCCAGCAATAAATAGTAGATGGGAGACTTACCGATCGAGTTGGTGATACTGTTACTGTATCGCTTGGGATGGGCCATATGGTGCTCCGGGTCGATCATATAGTCTCGTACCAGTTGTATGGCTTCGGCGTTGACAATCTGGGTGTGGTTGCTTTCCACCATGGACTCCATCAGGTGTTGGTGAACCAGTCGCCGGAAGGTGCGCCACTGGTCGCCATAGTGCATGACCAATAGGTGGTTGCCTTTGGTGATGAGATCGTGCGCGACAAAGGAATGAGGCCGATGGCTGTAGATACCGCTCTTGCGATCGACGACTTCTTTGACCAGTCGGCGATTTGTGATAACGGCCATATTGCCATTCCCGATCTTGAGCATATATAACCCTCCATACTGAGCGGCCCATTCGGTGAACCTGAATTCCGCAAGACATCGGCGGTGAGAATCTCCTCTGTGTGCTCCAAAGGGAAAATGGAGGTTATCAAACATACTTGATATGAGTGTACTTCTTAGTGATCTGGTGGATGTTTCCAATGAAGGGTAGGGTGGGTGGACCTATGCCAGATGAGCAAAATCCGCACTGAGTCAACATTGAAGACGACAACTCACCGATGGGCATAGTGCTGGTACGATGACCATAGGTGAAGGCATATCGTACGACTACGATGGCTGGTAATAAGACCAGGAGTAGCAGCAATAGTGGTTCCATAGTTGATAGTTGATGAGATCTATCCGGGCTGAATCCTTCAGGTTGAATTTCTTCGTCGAGATGAGGGGTAACTATATGTACGCTTACTTATAGATCGACAAGGAGAGGGGTTGATGCATAGGCAGATTTCTTGCAATCCTCAAGAAACCCAGTTACCCAGTTACCCAAAGGAGTGTGTCATCCGGCTAAGATTCCCCTTGGGGAAACACTTCCCTCTTCCTGTAGAGTCGACAGTGAGTTCAGTCTGCTCACCATAAAACGAAAATATATGATATCCTACAGAGGGCTCTTCCAGACCCATCTGATGGGGAGCATCTATGCTTGATATAGAACCCCAAAAGAACGACCGCTTCATCGAGGAGGGAAAATGGCCGAGTTGGATAATCTGGATGATAGGTAGAACATTACCAAGTTTTTCGGAGAGAGAAGCTATGCTTGCTCTGAGTAACGCCAACAAAGTCCCAGTTTATTATTTAGAGACAAACAGACCGGAAACTGATAGGTCCATCGATTGCAATTTGTATAATGTATTGCCAATACTTCTACTACTAAAGTCATATCGCGATATGTAAATAATCATTAGGTCATCGGCAACATTGTCTCATCAGCCTTGACTCCAACCCCCTACCAATAGCTTCTTATGTACAGCTACCATATTGATCCTACCCCATTTCAGAGTCTCGCTTTATCCGGGATCCTCTTCAATCGTGGAAATAACTCTAATGCCGCCCCGCTATTTACCTGTTGCTTGGTCTCCTCCGGCAGCTCATACGCCTCGAGAAAATCCGTAAAGCGTTGGATCGCATCATGCGGGGCATTAGGGAAGTCACTGCCGAAGAGGACATGGCCGGGTGCGGCAAACTCGAACAGCGCCTTCAACGTGACCGGGTTTGATGAGATGGCTGTGTCGAAGTAGAAGGTCCGAGCAGCTGCCACCAGCTCTTCAGTTGAAAGACCAAGAGTGCGTGGCATCAACGGCAGCATGGTAGCCGCCCGGTAGATCAAATACGGCAAGGTTCCGCCCGCGTGGGAGAGTATGATTTTGCAACCCGGATAGTCTTGCAAAATGCCACTAGTCAGCAGATCCATAGCGGCCCGGCCCGTTTCGTGTGGATAGTCAAACATGGGCTGCGGTAGCCATTGACTGACGAGCTGCGTATCGACCGGATGGGTTGGGTGGATGAAGACCACGGCATCGCGACGGCTAAGATCAGCCCAGATGGGCCGAAAGGCTACATGACCCAGGTAATTGGGACCATCGCCGTAGCGGGTGAACAGAGTGACTCCGTCGGTACGGAGAGTGGTGTAGGCGTAGTCGATTTCCTTCAAGACCGCCGCCATATCGAACAGAGAGGGGACCGAGGCAAAGAAGCCATACTTGTGCGGCTGAGAGTCCCTAATGGCGGCCGCAGATTCATTGCAGCTGCGCGCTAGGGCGGCTCCTTTAACAAAATCAGGCTCGATGCATGGCCCCGGTGCAGTGACGGAGAGAATGGTGGTGGTAACCTTCATTCGTCGCGCCATGTCTTGGTCTAGCTCCAGCGTCCAGGGGGGAGTGTACCAGCCCGAGGGATCACCTCCTGCGCGATCCAGGGCTATATGAGGTTAGCCAATAGGCTTCTCACTCTAACTCTAACATGCGTGGGACTGACCTTGGCGCATTGCCAGAGGATAGAAATGATGGTGCACATCAATTTTCGCCATGATGGATGGTATTGGAGTAGCACTTAGAGACCAGAGTATCCGTTTGGCAAACCAACGCTTATTGATGGGCTTTTCCCCCTCAAATACAGATCTCTAGCAATCATTCTATATTCGACTGACTAGCTGGCTGTTTATTCCTCCCTTGCATACAGTGACCACACTACTCTGATTAGATACCAGTGCAGGACCTCCGAACGCGGTACTACGTAAGGCCTGCAGGGATTGCGGAAGACTCCGGGAGAGACCGAGAGCGAGGAGTATAACGGATATACAATTAACAGGATGTCTGCACAGTATACTTATAGAATATGCACGTGCATGTGCGTCTTGCCAAAGGGTGAAATTGATTCATCGGCGCGTATTCTCCTATCTGGGTCCTTCCGAAAAAGGAAATATCCCGAAACTCCAAACTCCTTGGGGATGATGATCGTCCACCGACACTGTGTCCTTCATAGTGCTGGATCTCAACTAGGCATTGGCGATACCGCCCTGCGGATTGGAATAAAACACTTTGGTGCTACTACGGATAAGCAAATTCTGGATCATGTCCGGAGGAGCTTGGACACCATCTTCCACGCCTCCTGTACATGCGCTATGGGTTTGGCAAATGATACTCAGGCAGTGGTAGACTCCAAAGCTCGAGTCATTGGCGTTGACGCCCTGCGAGTAGTGGATGCCTCGGCCTTGCCGTTCCTACCACCAGATCCCCAATCCACAATTTGTAAGCCTCTGTCCTATAATATATAGTATATAGTCTTCAAACAAAATCTCTAACCCTAAGTAGATGCACTGGCAGAGAAGATCGCGTGCGACATTTTAGGCAACTGTTAAGGGGCGACTACGAGGGAAGATGAAGAATATTACGTGGAACATAGCGCGAAGGAGAAGTAAATACTCAAACACTCAATTTATCGCAACTTTCATACTCTGCCTTTCGTAAATACTATCTGGCAAGTATAATGGAAATCATCCCTAATATCCTGTTGGAAATTGAGCCTTTAGGCCGCAACTTGGGTACCACACCCCCAGTGCAGACTGAGCCGGGCCCTGCCCTGGATAGGAATTTAAACTCTCTCTCCCTCTTCTCGCTGCTTGGTGCACTTGGTAGCCCCTCAATATGTCCTCAGACTCATTACTCCATGGTGAGAACGGCGCGGAACCGCACCTTTCCCTCCATCATAGCCTCTGTAGGAAGGACAACAGGTCAGAGAAAATGAACCCAAGAAGTGAAGGAGATATCATACCAAATGCCTCGTTGCACCGTTCTAAGGGGAACTCTTCTACCATACAGTGGATGTCATGTACCTCCGCAAATGCGATGGCGTCCTCACAGTCGATGGCATGGCCGCTAGGCCAACTCCAGATGGATTTACCCTTTCCGACCTAAACTGGGGTTAATATCTTGATCGCATCTCTTCTGTTTTCTCTTTCTGTCTGGTTTTCAGAGAAGCAGAGGAAAATCTCACTCACCAACATGCCAGTGCTGACCTCAATACCAGGAACAACTATATTTATCAGCATCCAACCAAACGCCTTGAAACGGCCTTAAAGAAGCTTACTGGACATAATCAACAACCTCCCCATCACACCAAGCCCTTCGATCAGCGGGTTAATTATCTCCGGCACAGGCGCCGTAGACAAAATCAGGGAAGCGCCGCCCATTCTCTGCAATGCGGCGACAGCATCCTCCCGACTCGTGTCAATATACTCATGCGCGCCCAACTTCCGCACGAGTTCCTCTTTCTTGGAATCCCGCGAGAGTGCCACAACGCGATAGCTAAGTTTGTTCGCAAACTGGATCGCTAGATGGCCGAGCCCGCCCAGACCCTGGATTGCGACCAGCCCACCCGGTGGGATGCTCATGTGGCGCATCGAATTGAAGACACTTACGCCAGCACAGAGCAGGAGCGCGTATTGGGCAGCGTTGACCTCGTCGGAAATTCGGACGGCAGCTTCGCGACGGATGATGCAATATTCGCCATCTACCGGAGTGTGAGCTTAATATTATTCCGTTGGAATGACGAAAGAGTGATGATGAAAAGAGAAAGGGGATATACAGCCGCCATTTCGTGAAATCCCGTTGATTTCCTGATGATCGCACATCTGAAAGTAACCTCTTTTGCATGCCGCACAGGTACCTATTCAGTGCATTAGTATAGTCTTATTAGGGGAACCAGGCTTTTTGGGGAGATAATAGAGATACATACCATCGTGCCCGCCATGCCATGTGCCCCCAATCCGATCCCCTACCTTCCAGATGGTCTCGTCCGCTCCAATTGCAGCTACGCGCCCAATGATCTCATGGCCGGGAACGATAGGACTATAAAAGAACCGGAAATTAGTCGGAATTCCATGGATTCCATAGTGGGATAGCTCACAATCCTCCTCCCATGAGATTCGTCTCGGCAAAGTGGTCCGAATGACACACGCCACAGGCTTGCACTTTGATCAGAATCTCGTTACGTTTGGGCAGAGTCAATGGGACTTGTTCTAGAGTCAGTCTGGCATCTTTTTCCTTGAAGCTTGCTTGCTTGTAGGTGCTGGGAAGAGTGGTGGCCATGGCGTGTACTTTGACTGAATAATAGATAGCTGTGTGAAATAAGACTTTATTTTCTACAACATCAGAGAAGATGGCATGGGAAGAGAAAGACTAGATATATATAGGCCCCGGCTAAAGGGGGGTAAGGTCACCACGCCGTAATGCTTGGTGGGTAATTGTACCTTTTCTTAGGGATTTACATATAAAAGGTACATACGGCCAATCATCGGCTTCTTGACTCTCGAAGCAGATAGGGTAATTTCATGCTCACCACCAGTACTTTACGTACTAAAATAGATATATCTTCTACAATGAATACAGAAGGATTTTCGTATAGCTACAGTGCGGACAATTTTTAGAGGGCTGTTCGAAAACCTTCATGCTATACTACTATATCAACGCCAATTCTAGAAGATGAGATAGATGATATAATTACCACTGCGCAAGTTCAATTACAGGGTCACCACAGCTGAAGGAGGCAAGTTACTTGGCCAAGGCCGGATATGTCTTTTATCTCTCTACTAGTACTAGGTGGGATGCGGAGTCGGAGTTCCGGAGACTACTATATTGGTAAATTGCTATGTCCCAATGACAAATGGAGATGACTTGCAACACTTATCGACTAGAAGAAGGCTTTGTCTGCTGTATCCGAGTCGCGGAAGCTTCTTATCTGCTATATTCTAGTCTATTTCCAGGAGAGATTTTCAACCCACAAGCTCTATATTATGATGATCTAGAAACTAGAAGAGCGGAGGACACTCCTAGAGGCTTACCTCGCGCTCGAGGAAATGAATGAGAAAATAAAACTCCATTATCTAAGACACCCCAATCACAGATACAAAGCCAGTATCCCGTCAACACTCGCTGCTCTCCCTCCTTGCGAAAGATTCTAGAACCGACGGCGAGGCAACAGACATGATGCAACCACGTAGAGAGCCCCCGCCGAAATCGCCATCACGTAGACATCACTAATCGAATTCACAATCACTTCCAGAGCTTCTGTCTTCAAGGCCTGGGGCAGCCGCTCCATCAGGGTACTCTGAGCGCCAGCAACCGCACCCTGGATGTCCGCATGTGAATATCCTTTGTTTCCCAAGAGGGTAGTAAGCCCGGTGAGGGTCTTACTCTGGAAAATGGCACTTGCAATAGCCAATCCCAACAGTTGACTCTGGCCCTGGCCGATGTTCATGAACTGGAGGCACTCGGCCACCCGATCGGGGCTCACAATGGTCGGTCCAACCGCATAGGCGGCCTGCGTGGTGGTCATGCCCAACCCCATCAGGATAGAGTACCCGTAGATGCTGGAGGGACTGGTACCCAATTTCACAGTGTACATCAACACGGCTCCAATGAGAATAAAGATGCCGCTGACCAGGTACCAGAGGATGAAGAAGCCAGTCTTGGGCATGACCCAACCACAAAGCAGAATTGTAGCCACGTAGAAGCAGACGAACGGCAACAGCCGCACCGCGGACATGATGCCGGAGTCACCCTGGATGAACTGGAAGTAAAGTGGGATATAGTAAACCGCCACGAAGAGCGAGGCACCGCCACAGGCCATTATGACGTAAAGGAGGAGCATTGTAGGGTTCCGCAAGAACTCGCAGGGGAACAGTCGGTTTTGTTTGTCGGTCCCCACACAATAGTACTGGCTGAGCACGAAGGCAATAGTGCAGACAGCGGAGACCACGTACAGCGCGATATTCCGCCCATCCGTCCAGGACCATTCGACACCACCAAATACGATGAACAAGATAATGGAGATGTGCATGCCCGCGGACAGGAGAGTTCCCACCCAGTCCAGCTCCACAAGCTTCTTGATGAAGCTGCGGCCTTCGCCCGCTGGACGTGGCAAGGAAGGCAAGAGGAAAACATAGATGGGCGACATGACTCCGAAAATGACCAGATTGAGATAAAATGACTATTCATTACGGTTAGCACACTCGCTGAGGAAACTAGAAAGAGACCACACGTACCCATCGCCAAGTAGCTGAACTATCGGAAAAAGCACCGCCAATGATGGGACCCAGAATACAGCCGGTGCCGTAGATCAATCCAACCAGACCCACATACACAGGCTGCTCCGTAGGGGTGGTCAGGATAGTAATCAGATTCAGATTCCTAGGTTGTCATGGTTAGTCTTCTCTCTCTGCACTCTGCCCGTCGTGGTACAACTTACCCCAGATACATGCCCGCTCCTCCGGCTCCCGCCCACACACGCCCGACAATGATGGCATTCATACTGGGGGCAGCACCGCAGAGGGCACTACCGGCCGCAAACATAGTCAAACAACCGAGAAAGAGCCATTTCGTGTCGAAGATGGCGTAAGCTTTTCCCAGTGGGAGAATGAAAACCACCGATCCCAAAGTGAAGCCCACCCCGAGCCAGCCCAGCCGCGTGTATTCATCAAAGTCACCCGCAATGGGACCCTGGATGTCTGCCACGATGGTATTGTCCAAACCATAGAGCAGATTGGCTGAGAAAACAGCAATGCAGACGAGCAGCCAGCGGAGGCCTACAATTTCTCGGCGTGGGGCTGCGTCCTTCTCGGCATCCGCAGCTTTGATGATTGATTCGTCCACACGATCTGGGGTTTGACTTTCGAGCACGCTATCACTCGGCGTCGGATTGTCTACACTCATGGTGAAAAGCGAGTGCCACTTAGTCAGCCGTTTGAAAGTCGAGCTAGTTATCCAGGTACCACTACCCAATGGAGTCGTACTAAGCTGAAAATGGAAGGTAGGAATATAGATATCCAGTGGAGGAGGTTGACGTACGTATCAATATCCATATTGCCTGACCCTAGCTAGTTATTTAAATGCGAGCAGTGCTGGAAGAGGACATTTTGGTGACAATAGATTACTCCTTTGGGACATTCATCTTTGTCAGTTTGGTATCTGACCAATCACAGGTTACCATTTGACTGACAAACTCCGAATCTCCTTTTGGAATCCGAGTGGGACTTCGGGAATTCCCGAGCTCACCTAATCATTTGACGGAGATGGCGTGCCTAAAAAGGGTAATAAGTGGGTCCATCTGGGCCGGCATCCATGGATCCACTCTGGAATTTCTAATCAGAATATTTCCAAGCTCCCAGCCCTAGAAGGTCCTTGGAATGGTTGTATAGTACTTTTGTTGTATAATTTTCCATGGTTAATCTGTCACTACGACTGTGATAGAACTTACGGCGTGGATGTCAACATCCAAGCACCCAAGGAGACGAGAAATCCCTTGAAGAAGGTCAGGAGTATGTACGCCCACTCGACCAAGAAATTCGACCCTCATGAGGCAAAAATCTTCCAAAAGCTTGGAGAATTCACCATGTGAACACGGTATACAATGAGGTGGTCCCTAGATGGTCAAAGCGTCATATAGATACGTAAATACATCAAGTGCTCATTTATAGGTAGTCTCGTTAAGCTTAATTTCTAAAAAGGCTATTATAGAGTTCCACGACGGGGCCCAAGACAAATACATCTACGAGGTGATTCGAGATAATCGTTGCAGAGCGAAGTGACTGATTCTAGCTTCTAGTGCTGCACAAAGCCCCCCTGTTACTGGCTAATTGGTTTCATGATTTATTGCTTCGCTCCGCAATGATACGAATGCATCTTGATTGGTCCATAAATAATGAGCTTTTGATTGGTCACACTCAGTTAACTCTCATTAATCACATGGAGTTAGGGTTGTTTCAACGATAGCCCTGATTGCTTCTTCCGTATAGCAGAATCTCCGGCATGCAAATAGTTTGATTTGGCTTACGCAGTTGAGTTATATCCTGATAATGTATTCCACAACGAGGTAGCTTCTATTGAATCTCATAATCACTTTCGTAAAGAGGAATCAATACCGACACCCCTAAAGTTCACTCATTTCCCGTACACTCAGCAGGCCTTCTAGATCATCTGACCACTTCGCCTTAATAATTTAACACCTAGCTTTTTCTCTGTCTCCGCAATCGCATATACAAGGGGCTCGTATCCCCCAAGGGAAAAGAGAATAGCAGTGCGTCTTGACACATCAGATGGCCGACCGTGTACCAGGCAAACAAGCCCGAGACAAATCTGAATGAACCCGCAGTCTTCTTCAGAGTGACTCCAGTAGATGCATGATCGTCGGCCAACGAGGAGTACGATGCAGCCAACAGGGTGTATGAGGTTTGGGATGTTCAGAGCATGCCCGTGTATACCAGGTTCCTATCTCTGGTTAGCTGCGACTACCTTTTAGACTGGGTATCTGTATATATATGTGCATCGACTGACATAGGCATTGCAGCAACAGTAAAGAATAGAACGAATATCCCCCACACTATATCTTCATATTAGCCTAAACCCCAGCTAAAAAAAAAAGAAAAGGAAAAGAAAGGGCCGCCCACAGGAAGGTGACTGACCTAGCATGAAATATCAAATTGCATTATTCAACGCGGCGGGAACGTCTTCAAAGGCATCCGCCACCCTAAAAGCCGGTGCATTGATTGCCCCCAAAGCCAAGTTGAACAAGCCTGGAAAAGGGAGCGACGTTAATCAGATATCGGTCGTGATACACGAAAGACGGCAGAATGATGGAACGATATGCTCACCAAACCCTCCAAAGACCGTATGGCCAAAGGAATTCCCGCGCACGAACTCCCACTGGGCCACTAGCACCAAGCCCAAGCCCGCTGTGAAAAAGCAGTTACCAATATAGGCATTGGTAATAGCTCTACTTCGCCACTCCATTAGACTCATCGATAGAGTTGTGAAGGCAATTGCGAATGCGCCCATACACAGCGCAGTCTAGTAGCAAGCCATGGAGAGTTAGAGGATGTTTTAATCCCGAGTGTGAAGATAGGGCACCTTACTGGACTGCCAATCTGCCGGATAGGCTGTAAATCTTGCTCTTTGATGTTTCTGGGATGAGAGGATGAGGCTTCGTAGCTCAACTGAGCTCCCTCTTCTCTAGATATAACCGTTGCCTCGGCTGACAGCTTCATCTTGTGCTGGATTGGATTGTCAAATAAAGGCAATGATACAAAGTGAGGAAAAATTGGGTTTCCGATCAGTTAGAATAAGATTCTCACAACCTTAACTTGCCTGAAGAAATAGTTGTCTAAATACACATAAGCCAGTCCCCGCCATCTGCCGATCCACAATGGTTAGGGTCTGGGTAGCCAAGGCTCCTTGATATGAGATGCCGTTGTGACTTACTCCATGGGGAAGTCGGGGTTGAACTTCCAAAACTAGATTGGCCAAGGAAGCTAGCTCGTCGCGGTAGTAATGCCGCGCCTCCTCGTGCAGGTATAATTTAGTTTCCCAATTCAGTTGTGCACGGAGAAAGGACTATATCAAGAAAGATCATCGAGAAGTCGGAGCTGTGGTGGACGTCAATCATATACGTTAGCAGGAAGGTGGAGTTTAATACAATTAAGAACATGACACTCCGAGCAGTGGGCTACGCAAAGGATTCGAAGAGAAACAGCTCATCCAAATTAGATTTCTCTTTTCTATTCTACTTTTCTACTGCCAAACAAGAAAACCTGCCCCAACTCAAATGCCCCTCCTCGAGACTGTGGCCATAGCAGACCAAAATCTATCCTCCATCACTGGCGGCGTGTTTTGGTAAGATAGGTCATCACCAGAACCATCGTGAAATTGAACGCGATAAACCCGATGAAAACGCCAATGTTCCGATGCCGATGAGCAAACTCATAGCCGTATTGTTGGTACTACTGATGATTAGTTTCAAGACCGGATCCATTTCCTTGCTCTCTCCTGACTAGGACTTACGTATGATTGTCCGTCGCGATACCGGCAATATTGACACTCCGCCGTGCTGGTGGGATTAACCAAATATCCCGTAGCAATTTCCAGGAAATCCTTGGCATACTGACCACAGGTCGTGCCATTCGCCGCGTAGAAGATTGAAACCTCCGACTGCTCGCATCGGATGGGTAAATCTTGTAGCACGTCCACGGTGACACCCTCGCCCAAATAGAAGAGGGGAGAGATATTGTAAAACCAGCGCCAACCCGAGGGTGTCACTGGCTTTGGAGAAAGCGTCCCCGCAAAGGTGTTACAAAACATGAAGAAGAATCCGTTGGCGGCAAAGGCTGCCTCGATGTTGGGCATCAGCGATGCGCACAGCTGGGCTAGGCTAGTAGCAAAGACTCCAAAGAGTTCATACATGAGAAAACTGTACCCTGCGCGCGAGGGGGCGTAGAAATAGCCAACGGGGAAGTACCACAACAACCAATAGACTAGCGAGCTGAGAAATGTGAAGGGTAGTTCCACGATGAATGCAGATAAGACAAATGCTAGCCAGTGATAGGTCAAGCTCTCTCGCTCTCGGTGGACGAAAATATCCCGCAGGGTCACGAAGCGTGGTTGCACCTGAAGCCCTAGAGGGGGGCCCACGATGAGAGACATGAAAGCAGAGAAGACCCGATTATATGCCCCTCGCTCTGTGTTGGGAGACTGTAAGTAGGTGAGGGAGTTGAGGAGGGAGTTTCCGACGCTCATCCAGAGCTTCGATGTGACATAATCTGGTTCTCTCCAATAATAAAGCCATGTTCGCTGAACCACCACCCACAGCTGGACATGGAACGGCACCGAATACAGGGACTGTTGCTCCAGCGGTGGGGAGTGTTCTGCGGCAGGGACCAGACTTTGTTCTGCCTTCTCTCGCTCCTTGCCCTGCTGGCTGTCATGCCAGAGACTAGCCCAATCCATATGGGCGTCGTTTCGAGACCCAGCCCCAATAACCTCCAGGAAATATTCTGCCGGGTTCTCTTCTGAGCCGTAGGGGCGACTCCGAGACTGGAAATACTCGATTGCCTCGTGGCAGCGAGTTCCAAGAGGACCATCATAGACCAAGTTCCCTCCGCGGCTCAGCAGATACAACTTGTCAAACTGGTCGATGAGCTCTGCTGCCGGTTGATGGATCGTGCACAGGATGGCCTGTCCCGAGTCTGCCAGACGACGAAGCAAGCGAGCGATCAGCATCGCGGATTGGCCATCGAGACCCGAGGTCGGTTCATCCAGGAATAGGATTTCTGGTTTGGATGCCATCTCCACGCCAATACTGACTTTCTTCCGTTGTTCGAGATTGAGGCCGGCCCCGGGGACACCAACTAGGGCATCCGCAATGTGCTCCATATTCAACCACTCAATCACCTTTTCAACGTAGGCATTTTTTTCCACCAGAGGGATGGACTCTGGGCGTCGAAGTCGCGCCGTCATTTGCAATGCTTCGCGCACTGTCTGAGTAGGAAGATGAATGTCCTGCTGTTGCACGTAGCCCATTCGACTTCGGAAGAACGTGGGAAGCAATTGACTATTGAGCGCCAGAGTTCCTGTGAGAGTCCCAATGGTGGAACGACCAGCCAGTGCGTTCAGCAGGGTTGTCTTCCCGGCACCCGAGACCCCCATTAGAGCCTTGAGTTGTCCACTCTTGATCGAGCCACTCAGATTGTTAAGCAGACGCTGATCGCCATCTCTGGTTTTGATGTCAAGACAGAGACTGGTCCATGAAAGGGCGTTACTCTGACTTGCTTGTGACCGATTTGCGTCGTTGCCTTGGCCAGCCGATGCGTCCAAAATGTCGTTTCCGTGGACTGATCCTGTTTCATTATCGATTTTATCGCGGCGGTGAATTCCTCGTGAGCTGCTCTTGTAGAAAACTGTGGCTAGTTGACCTGCGGGTGTTCTGAGCATCTCCATCCCGATCCTGTTAAATCCCAGTGTCAGTCGTAGATTTTTCTCATGAACTAGGCTTGAGCGTCTGATAACTTACCCTGAACAAAGGGCAAAGAAAACGAATAGGGCCGCGTTAATCCCTACATTCCGCCAGAGGTGGGAGGTTTTGAATCCATACTGGGCGTGGATGTACGAATCCCCGGACAGAAGACGATCCCCGGGTTGAGATCCCACCACGGTACAGACCTGGTGGGCTATATCGGTATATCCTGGCCCTGATGGGACCAGATCCGAGATACTGCACTGATAGCTCAGATCTCCGAATTCATTCACCATAACGGACTCGAATGCATAATACAAGGGCTGTCACATGTTAGCATTTGTCCAAACCCCATAATATGATACCCACTGACATTTAGATATCGCAGCCACCCAAGCCATACCTGCATCTGTGGTGCAGGAACGTAAAGCCCCGTATAGAGGACATACATATTAAAGAAAATCCCCACCGGCAGCACAGCCCGATGCATGTTGGGAGAAAATATGGCCACCGAGCGAAAGAACATAGACAGGGCGAGATGCTCAAGGTAGATAATCAGAAACCAGGTGAAGAAATTTCCGGGCGTCCGCTGAAATCCGGTCAGGAAGTACAGGGGGATATTGTAACAGATCGCTGCCACCTTCCACACAACATCCGTGGTGACCAAGCCGAGAGCGTATGCAATCGGGCGAGAGATCTGGTATCGCTTCTGCTTCAGGATGAGCGGTCGCTGAGCGAATCCATTGCCAAATTCAGCCATGGACTGCAGTGCCGGGACTAAGACAGAGTAGAATAAAGAAGACGCGAAAATGAACAATGAATTGGTCGTTCGCTGCTGATTTCGGAACAGCGTGCCCAACACCAGACTTTGAACGACGATTGTGGCGAGCTCCACCGCCCACAAGCTATAATCACTGGTGACGATGCGAAATTGGCGACTGGCACAGTACCAAATCTGATGCCAGATGGGGAGAGCAAAGGCCGATGTTTTGACAAGGGGACTGGGATGGGCTTGGGAACGCTCCTTGGCCACTTGTACCGACACTTGCATTTCCTGGTAGATAGGACTCGCACTGAAAGCACGCTCAAACTCCTCCGCCGTTCGTGGGACCTGGTTCTCCCTGCCTTCTTGGGCTCGTCGCACGTCTGGATCAGCGGACATCACATTAAGGAAGTCAGCGACGGTGGTGGTCGATAAACACTCAAACCCGAGATCTTCAAAATATGCCTTCGCTTCCTGTACACGGCCATAGAAGATCTGACGGCCAGAGTTGATCACCAGGACTTTGTCAAAATAGGAGACAATTGCATCACTGGCTTGGTAGACGCTCATCGCGGCCACACATCGACTTTGTGTCGTCCACTCACGCATCATTTCCATGAATTCGACCGCAGTGGATGAGTCCAGTCCTTGTGTTGGATTATCCAGGCAAATCAGACTGTAAGGATGTGTGAGTCGAGGAATCGCTAGTTTGGTACTTGAATGAGCAGAAGATATCACTTACTGGGCACAAGTGGCCAGGGCCTCCGCCAAAGACACTCGCCGTCGCTCTCCGCCGCTGACTCCTCGTATCTTCGCATCTCCCACTTTCGTATTCAAGACGGTTTCAAGACCAACTAGCTTGGCTAGCTGAGCAACCATCGTGTCAATTTTAGTGGCCGAGACTTCGGGGCCGCATCGTGCTCTGGTCGCAAAGCGTAGGGTCTCCGCCACAGTCAACGTGGGAAAATGGTCATCAGACTCGGCTAAGGAAGACATGTCGGTCAGTGTGTGTTCAAAACGACAAACATCAAACGATGACTAACCGCAGAAGAGAATATCCTGTGGTCGCTGTGCCATCACATCTAGCAGTGGGTGACCATCCACAGTGAGTTCACCCTGGATTTCCTTATATTCATCCCACAGGCCCGACAGGGTCTTCAGGAAAGTTGTACACCCGCTCCCGGGTTTACCTAGTACCAACAACATTTCTCCGGGGTCGATCGTGCCTGAGAATCCGCTGAGAATGGGTCGAGAATACTGTTTCCTTTGTCGATTTTGTAGAGGACTCAACAGCCCAAAAGCCGACTCGGCTGCCGATGAGACGGTGGGTGCATCTTGTGACTATCAAGCGTCAATCCTGATTCTTTCGGTTGGATTAGATGTACTCACTCCGGTTCCGCTTCCAATGGCTGAGATCTTGTGAAAGACCACTCCAGTGTCACCGGGAATGCCACCTTGGCGTATTTCAAGGAAGTTGCGAACGCTGTCTGCAATCGATTCCCCTGCTGCAATCCGTGAAGATTTCGACGATGGTCCATCAATTTCAGCCAACTCGGATTTCTGCACATCACCATCGGACTGGACGGGTGTATTTGCCTCCTCTAAAGACGAATGATGATTTTCTACCATGATGAAGATGGAAAGCGCTGTAAGACTATCAAAACTCCTTCAACAGAGAATCATATTGCCGACTAGAAAAGGCGGAGACTGATGGGCTCAAAAGGGATTGGAAACAATAGCCCATCTCATGTTCCTCCTTTCGCTGTCTAGTCCAAATATATGTTGACTTCCCAAAGGAGTCTCGGAGTTGGGGACTGTCCAAATCGGGTAATTTTGGCCAACTTGTTACTTGAGGAGGCTAACGTATAGTCTGAGAGCCAATGATTATTTCCAACCTATTTCGCCGTTTTCAGGTCTCTTTGTTTTATCTTCCTACACGTTCCTATTCACATTCCAATCAAATATTTCGAAAGTTATTGTCATTATGGTGCTCATTACTGGTCTCAAAGGTGCCCATGTGCTTATCACAGGTAAGTAAGAGAGAAATCTATCAACTTAGCTCTGACTAACGTGGACTAGGAGGCACGCGGGGTATGGGAGAGGCAATGGTGCATAAATTCCTGGAGGAGGAGGCCAATGTATCCTACTGCGCCCGGACCGTCACCAATACTGAGTATGATGACTTCTATCCTACGCTCCCCGAGGGAAATAGCGCCCGCGCCGTGGGAACGGCATTCGATGTTGCTAGCAAAAATGCCCTCGTCCAGTGGGTCGAGAGCTCCGCCCAGCGACTTGGTCGAATTGACGTGATTATCGCCAATGGTGATTGATTTCCCGGCACTCCCTAGTTAGAATGCAAACTGACTGGCTGTAGCATCGCCGATGCATATGGAAGGTGAGACAGAGCACTGGGAGAGCAGTTTTGCGATCGATGTCATGGGTTTCGTCGAGCTGGTCAAGGTGGCCACTCCCTACTTGGAAAAGTCTCCCCAGGCATCCATCATCGTGCAGAGCTCCTTCATGGGGCGTGAATTCTACCGGTCACCCCCTGCAGCCTATGGGCCCTGCAAGGCAGCGCAGCTGCAGCATGTCCAGGAATTGTCCCACTTTTTAGGACCGAAGAGCATTCGGGTGAATGCCATCTCGCCGGGACCGATTCTGTGCAAGGGTGGTCCCTGGGAGTTGTATTCAAAGATCAACCCGGAATGGGTGGAGGAACAGCGGCTGAAAATTCCTCTGAAGCGGTTGGGTGGGCCGAAAGAGGTGGCGGCCGTGGCAGTGTTCCTGGCGAGTCCGCTGGCCAGCTTCGTATCTGGCACGAATATGTTGGTCGACGGCGGAATTCATGTTGGCACCCAGTTTTAGATTCGAGAACCTAGAGCGAGATCAATGGTATATGTTCTTAAACCCAAGAATTGTTTTTCCCTAGCGGGCATATCGAAATTGGATTTACTTAACAGCTCGCTTCACAATGCGTCTTCACAGCTGCCAATACCTTGTCCTATTTTGTATCATATCAATCCTACAACCTTCGACTGGATTGTCTTCGAATTGCCGATGCATGCCCGGTGATACATGTTGGCCGTCCTCAGACGACTGGTCGCGGTTCAACACATTCATTGGCGGATGGTTAGTGAACACGCAACCACTAGGACAGCCTTGTCATGACCCCCTCTATATCGCCAATGAGTGTCGCTCTCTGAGACAGCAGTGGACCAAGCCAGAGCTCCAGTAAGTAATCCAATGCATCCGACGAGCCCCATCGCCGGCCTGTTGAATCAACCGCATCAAATAGCGATTTATCCTCCTCTTCCATCATGGCAGCCACCGTGGCCAATGAAACCTGCGATGCCTTTACCCCCCGATCGAAGCCGTGCACGCTAGGTGCGATGGTCTTGTATGCTGTCAATGCTAGCTCCCCAGACGACTTCATTCAGACCATTCGATTTTCCCAGGAAAGAAACATTCGTCTCGTCATTCGCAACACAGGCCATGAGTATGCATCATCCAGTAACAATGCCATGCTCTCGCTAATCATGCATCCTAGTTATTTAGGGAAGTCGACTGGTGCAGGCGCACTATCCATCTGGACCCATTATCTCAAGGACATTGATTTCCTGAACTATACCAACGCACACTATACCGGGCCAGCGATGCGGATGGCTGCGGGCGTTCAAGGCACGGACATCAACAAGGCTGCCTATCTAAAAGGGCTGGTGATAGTGGCCGGGGAATGTTCCACTGTAGGCCCAGCCGGGGGGTTCACGCAAGGAGGGGGCCACTCGGCCCTGAGCTCTCAGTACGGTCTTAGTGCCGACCAAGTCTTGGAATGGGAGGTTGTCGATGGAATGGGCCGATTTCTGACCGCATCGCCTACCCAGAACCCAGATCTGTACTGGGCACTTAGCGGAGGTGGCGGAGGGACATATGGGGTCGTGTACTCCATGACCGTCAAGGCGTTTCCCGACTTCCCCGTCACAGGCGTCGTTATCCAATTTGAGAACAAGAACCCCTCGTCGCACAGTTTCTTTGAAGCTGTAGGACACTACCATCGCCACCTACCCACATACACCGCATCTGGTGGGATGGCGATTGCACAAATCACACACTCAACGTTTCTGCTCACCCCGCTGACACTCCCTGTGTATACCGCAGTAGAGGCCAAGAGACTGTTGGCGCCCTTTCTGCAAGAACTGCACAAACTGGACATTTCCTATACCATGAACATCACCGAGTCACCATCGTATTTCCAGCATTATACAAAACTGATCGAGCCCGACCTGATGCAACTAGTGCAAAACGCGCAATATGGCGGCCGTCTTCTTCCGCTCGACCTCATTCAGCACAATAACTCGCAACTCACGAATGCCATACAGAGAATCACCGTGGATGGTGTCACGTTCGTGGGTATTGGTCTGAATGTCTCGTCATCTGTGACTGGCAATGTCTGGAATTCAGTTCTGCCTGCGTGGCGCACAGCAGCAATTACCGTCATCTTATCTACGTACGTTCTCTTTATCTGACATGCCGTGGAACTTTTTTGTTTCGATATGCTTCCTGACACACACATCATCCAGAGACTGGCCCACCGGTGCGAATCTCACCAAGATGAAAACCCTGGCAGACCGGATGACAACCAAATGGGTGCCGATCCTCACGGCCTTGAGTCCAGATTCGGGATGCTATATGAGCGAGGCAAGACGACAGACATTCACGATTTGAGACCACTGGCTTACCATGCGGACAGGCGGATCCCCAGCAGCCGGATTGGAAGCAGACCTTTTACGGTCACAACTATAATTCGCTGTACGCGATCAAGAAAAAAATATGATTCGTTCCAAACTTTCTATGTGCCGACGGCTATTGGCAGTGAGAACTGGCAAGTCGAGGCTGGTGGTCGTCTGTGCCAGGTCACCAGGCTAGATTGACACGACAAGATATCACCTGATCTGTCATTTTGGCTCTTGAGAAATCAGATATATCGTAGGTTTATACTGTACCTAGTTCTACACTGTTGATATATCTTCGTCACCCTGATTTCTTCGTATAATTGATAAAAAAGACGTCTAGGAATAGTAACGAGACTGTGATGGATCATGTGATCTCTAGCGTTACCCGATTAGGAAGGTGTACCTCCGGCCGGGGGTTCTATACCAATCCCCTTAATATACGAATTGTCCTCCCCTATGTCTCTGTTAAGAAAAGAAAGACAAGGATAAGGAAGTGTGAATATTCCTAATCTTGTGTCTAAAACTTGCTACTGGTATCTAGAAGAGTCTACGAAAATTTTCCTATAATTTTCACAACGTAAGATGATAATATGATTAGTTATATCCTAATCCTTGCTCCAACACATAATTCAGTACATATGTACTATAAATAAGTTATTTATCCAGTTTGTTTGTATCTTTTCTACTTCTCCCCTCTAGCAGAACCCGCTGCTTGGTTAGCAACTATGGATTATGGTACTCTAAGTCGGACAAAATGTAAATGCAGTAAGGCAAAAAAGGAATAGTGAAAAAAGCACACGGTTAATCATGTATTGGTAGTCCAGGAATCCATGATCATCGCACTCGCATGCAGCCACTGGGCTTCAGTACCGGTGACCATGTCAGCAGAGGTGGCCGAGGGCATCGAGAGAGACTCCGTCGTCCCCAAAGAAGGAGATAGCTCGGGTAATGAACCAATCGGCATCATCTCCGTTAGGTGCATGCGCGCTTCAAAGTTGGGCATTGGCTGGTAGGACGACATTTCCAGGGTGGTCGGTGGCAGCGCCCGCTTTAGGGAGTTGGACCGGACCCCCGGTTGCCCGGATGCGACGAACGAGTTCTGATTCGACGGCGGCCTGGGATTCTGCGCCCTGGTGGACAAGGGCTGGCTCGTACGCGGTACTTGTCGCCGAGTTAGACCTTGTTGGACATTATTGATGAGTCGATCCGCCTGGCAACTGACTTGGCGGACGACCTGCGCCGCGTTTTTGGCTGCCAAAAAGTGATCACTCACGAGGTCCAGCGTGCGAATCGCCGTCTGCAATGACTTGCGGGCAGAAGGGGTTGGGGGACAGACGGGATTGGCGAGCACAAATCCCAGGGTACACAGGATAGCATCCCACTGGTACTGGAAGATGGGCGACCACCCGCGCAGGAGATCTGTCTCGGATAGCACTTGGTTGAGGATACTGGTAATTGCCATAGCGTGATTCAGACAGGAGATATTGTAAACGTCGGTCCGTGGGGTCACGGAGGAGCTCACGGGAGGGAATCGCATGAAGGGACGCAGTGTCGAGATCACAAGATGGTGATAGTGGAGCTCCAGCAGGAGACGTTGGCATTGCAGCCAAAGTGGGCTATACGGAGACAGATTCAACGCGTCCCGATTGGTGGAGAATGGGTCCCCCGCCCCCTTGCGAGCATTACATAGGGACTGCGGCACGTTTTGAACCCAGTTATGAATGGCTGTCATCTCCCCTCCGAGAAACTCTGCCAAGCTCTCGAGGAGGCGCGGGTCGTCATATAGATCCTTAACCTTATTCCCGCTCAGCAACTGGGAACATTTCCGGTGTAACGCTGTCTGCACACCCTGAACAAGATATATGAGCTTTGTGCACTGGACATGGAAGCTGAGCCAGCTGATATCCTCATTATTCGTGAGGAGGACTGTGCCAGACAGCCGGGCATGCTCCCGATCATCCCCTGGTAGCCCGCAGCTGACATGGGACAACTGAATGAGTGGGGGCCGACCCAGGGCCATCGAGAGCTGGCTGTCGATCCGATAGAGTGTCCACCAAATCCGGCGCTGTAGCTCCTGCTGCTCGGGGGAGGTCCCGTCCAGCGGGCGGATATGCAGCCGCAGCGCATGGGCGATTCGTAGCGTGGCACCCAGGTTAATGTGTGCCGTATTCAGCAGGGAGGTGTTGTACAAGTAGACAATCGAATAAATGTGACTCTGCACGACCATGATGGTTGGATTTTCGAGCTCACTCTGCAGAAGCCTCTGGGCCCTTTGGTAGTAAGTCCGACTGGCTAGATTCGCGTTTTTGGTCTGCCATTCAGACTCCGAATCTGACTGCTGGTTGTCTCCATTGATAAAGAAGGTGCTGCTGTACTGCATACAGACCGCTAATAGCACATCGACCAAGGCGGATGGCTTCCGGGTAGACATTCCATCTGTGGAATTAGACCATAGTGAGTCATAATGTTGCTGAAACTCGCGTTCATCGAGGATAGGATAGACACAATGAAAAGACTGCCAGAGTAGATTGATAAAGTGTTCCTCTTGTGACCGGGTCAGACCCTCGGCCTCCTCGTTTCCATCTGGAGGCTGATCCGCCTGACTGTTGGGGCTTGCATCCCATCGAGAGGGTTGATGGGTCGGGGTAACATAATTAAAACGGGCCATGCATGCCTCTAACTTCGCATCTTCCAATGGCTGGTTTAGGGCTTGTGAGAGATAGCGAGTGATTCGAGAGACAAAATATGAGGATGACAAGGGCCCGTAGTGAATCTGTCCCGTCTGCTGCAGACCTTGCCATCCTTCTGTGGTATTGCTGAGCTCCGCAAAGTCGAACGAAGTGTGGGCAGCATCCGATAGTGGGGGCGTCGCGAAACCCGTCTGTGCTTGGATTTCCGCTCCATCTTTGAGTTTCGCGATTTGATCTTGAAGGTCCTTGACCTCAGTTCGTAGCCGTTGCAACTCTCTGTCGATGTGAATCAGCAAACCATTTACTCCCATCCCCATGTGATCATGAGGGAGATAGATATCTGATTCCTACCGATTTGCAGCTGGGAGCGAGGTGGCCTCCTGTGGCTTTGTGTTGCTGCAAGAACCTCCTCGATTCAGGCAGTTGTGACATGGCTGCTTGTCATCGCATCTGACACGATTGAGCCGACACCAGTCACAGGCCCGAGCAACCTGATTGCGCTTTGGTCGTGGAGCTGTGATAGGCGTGGCTGATTTCTCACGGGAGGCGTCGATCGTGGTGTCGAAGTTGGCGGAGAAAGTGGAGTACATGACGGAGCGGTGGAGTGGAGGACAGCAAAATTCAGATATTCATTCAGACCAGATTCATTCGACTCCAAATGGCGGTCGGAACCTTAAAAGCAATTTCCCTCCAGACTACTCAAGACTAGATGGGAGGGGGTGGAGGGGCCGAAAGGTAGATCGAAGACACAAATGAGTTGTGTTGGGATTGGATGCCTGAGGTTTGCATATCGAAGCCTCGCGCAAATACAGGGGTTGTAGATTATGGGCTTCCCTGCACAGGATGAGACATGAAAAAAAACGAAGAGCAGAATAAAGACTAGAAAAGAGCAATATGCTGGCGAAACACCCACAAATCCCACTAGTGTGTCATGTCGTCAGCTATTGTCGTGGACATTGGCTGAATTGCCACATCCCTTTGTTGGAAGAATAGGCGAGCGTGATTGTTCTATTGGCCGAAGTCGGATAGATAAGACAATAGACATTAGGTAGCCTTCCAAGGTTGGAATGGCCTTGTAGGGAATTCATTCTATCATTTTATAGGTGAGAGATCTTACGGGCATTCAGTTTTGGTCAGATTTACTAAGTACTAATGGAAAAGCTTCGTCCTATATTGGAAAGATAGATACACGTGGGATCGCCATGTATATGGTATAAAATAGACTAGTACTAAACTATAAGCGGCATATAATCACAGATTTTATAGACATGGATAGTGATAGTGAAGAAATATTTTCAAGCGGAAGAGGCGTAGTTAGCTAGGTAGCAATACAATAAATTGGTAAATAAATCAAAGTAAATTAAAGTAACCCCTAGCGTGAGTCCCGATAGCGAGTCCTATAGCACTACCAACGAGCGCTAGAGGAATTCTTCACGATAATCCAACCCAAGTCCTATCCAGACACTCCGTGAACCCCAACCAAGCCTAAGGCGTGCTAGAGCACTCACCTTATCTCAAAAATTAGTTCCAATCTGTGGGGAATCGGAGAAGGTCCTTCTGGTGCTCCTTGCAGCGACATGCATGAGCTGCAGAAACGGAGTTGCCGTTATACAGTGATGCTATTATGCCTCTACAATGCGACGTGCATCGATGTACAGGAGTCAAATTGCCTATTCTAGGTACGATGTAGTAGCCATGTGGTAATACTAAAATGCACGAATAGATTTAGTTTACTTGCCTCGCCGCTTCCCCGGTGCTATAAACTTAAAATCCTATGCCGTTAGAAGCAAAGAAGTAAGATAATGTCAGGAAAAAGTAGGCGATACCAATTGTGGGCTTTGATTGACTCGAATGTATCCACATCGGAACATACTGCATTGATTACACGGATGATCTGCAGGAAAATAAGGTTTTGATGCCGCGCTGACAGCTCGCATAACAATGCCCGATGGAGTAGAGGAGGGGGTAATCGTCATATTAGAGCGTATGCTCTAATCTAATCAAATCGAGCAAATACCTCTTGTGCCTCGGCAAACTCCCGCATAATGGTCCCTCGCTTCTCCGGAGAACGGAGACGGATGGCACATCCATAGTCCTTGGGGCAATGAAGGAATCCCTTACTAGCGCCGGAGTGAGCCGAAATGTCACTGTCGCTGCCGGGTGGCTCGAGGAACTCAAAGGCCCAGAGCAGCTTGGCAACGCCGATTATCAAGTTTCGTTCCGCCAAGTGGATGCCCGGGCAGATGCGTCGGCCCGCCCCGTAACCGAAGTGGTCTCGCCGTTCGGACGCTGCGTAGGCCGAGGCTAAGGCTGGGAAATCGGCGAAGCGTTCAGGCTGGAAATGCTCAGGTTCCTGCCATCGCTCACTGTCATGATGCATGCCCCAGACGTTGAGAACGATGCTCGATCCTTGCGGGATGAGTTTCCCATCGACGTGGTCGTCTGAGGAGATTTGTTAGCCAATCTCTTGTTATTTTGAGAGAGAAGATACCGGTTTCAACAAACCTTCCGCAACGGCATGGGTAACCCCCAAGGGGCTAACAGGACGCCAGCGGTGGGATTCTTTGATAATCATGTTGATGTAGGGCAACTTGGACCGGTCAGACCAAGCCGGGGAGCGTTCATAGCCGATAATAGAGTCGATTTCTGCATGGGCCCTGCAATACCACCCTATGAGCTTTCCCATTGGATAAAAAACTTGGCGCGGTCAGCATACCTTGCCTGCACTTCTGGATACTTAGTCATGGCCTGGATAATGGTCAATATAAGCGAGGAAGAAGTATCGGAGCCTCCTTCCATCAGAACTCCTCCTAGGAACCGTAGTTCATTCTCGGAGAGCGGAGTTTGTTTCAGTGTATCAAGAACCCGATCCATAAAGGAGTCGCGCTGAACACCCCGTTGGCGGCGCTCTTTCACTTGGTCTAGAACAGTCTGGTAAAGAGACTGCATTAGATCACCCACTTCGACCGCTCGGTTCCGCCAGTTGCCTAACAGCCACTGCGGCACATAGCGCAGCAGAGCAAAAGAGTCGACAGGTGGGGTGGCGCCCAGCTCCTGCACTAAAGACCATTTGTCCATTAGATAGAAAAGCTTCTTCATGTACTCATCGTGGACAGTTTTGGTGCGAATCCCAAAGACAAGTGAGTTGGTGATACTGTTACTGTAACGCTTTGGATGCAGCATGTGATCCTCTGGCATGATCAGATAGTCATGCAGCATCTGTTTGGCCTCCGCCTCTTGGACTTTCCAGTGCTCGCGCTCGCAACGGGGCTCCATGAAGTATTGATGGATGGTTTTACGTAACATGCGCCATCTCTCCCCGTACTGCATGACCAGGAGATGGTCGCTCTGCGTGATCAGGTGAGATACCAATGATGCTGGTCGATGGGAATATATGTTGCTCTTCTTGTCCAGTAGTGTCTTGATCAGTTTCTGATCGCTGATGACGATGGTGGTGTTGTTGTATCGCTTCAGCGTGAAGAAACCGCCATATTCCTTAGCCCACTGAGAAAACCTATGTGAAGTACTTAGCATGTTAACCCCCTACATCACAGAGAGTTGTCCTTTACTGAAAATGTGCATCCGACTTTGGCACTTGCAGTTCGTTTCCAAAAAGAGGAACAGTTGGAGGCCCTGTGCATCTGTTAGATTTGAATTCCTACCTTATCCTTTGCAATACCATACCGTTCGGGAGCTCTGGGGGTCGATGTCCTGCACGGAGGAGGTATGTGACAAGGACGAATGCGCCCGTACTACTGAGCAGTATCGCCAGAAGGTGCGTTGGTGCGAGCTGTAGGAGATCCATAGTGTTGATGCCGGAAAGTAGTCCTCAGGGCAGATTCTCTATACTTATGTCCTCATAAACGTGGATAAACCTATTTTGAGATTGGGACTCAGCTAGGTGGGCGACAGTTTAGGGTTCCTAAAGGAGAATCGGAGTCTGCTCGTATAGAGCTCTCACAGCAAGATACATTGTCTCCACGTATATCCTGTCCTGTCTGCCTAACTATTATCAAAGATGTTTTTGTAATTCTCCTCGAAATACTATGGGAAACTTGCCTCAATGGACAGTTGGCCGTCAAACGTGTGCTACAACCTCTGAGAGGAGGTTTTGAAATCCTGCTAGCCCTGGTGTACGACAACCAACCGATCTATGTTTAATAGTCCACGTAGAAAGAGGAATTTATGGGAAGCAGGATTATTTTGAATAGGGTGTATAAGAGACGTAGTGTTCTATAGCAAGTGACACGCCAGCCACGTGAGATCATGAATTTTCCCCGCCGTCCAGATCATCTGAACATATCTCAGTCTAGACAATCAATCATCATCTCATATCGTACTCGACCGACGCAGGAAGCAGGAAACAGGAAGCAAGGAGTAAAAATAACAATTGAATTCAAACGAACTGGGACTCATGGACTAGCAGGTTTCGGGTGATATATCTCTACTTTCCCGCATTGTCCACCACTGTCCGTCGCTGCGTCCAAGAACCTGACTGCTCCAAATTGCTCTCGACCCCTGTGGAGTTACCATTAGACTCATTCGCTGACCCGGGCTGTACGCCGTTGAAAAGCACCTGCTCATACGCAACTGCGCCCAGGGTCAATGAGGTGGGAGACATATCCTCCGTCCACTGCTCAAACTCAGCGTTTTCAGGCTTAGCCTTGGGTTCCAGCTCTACCTGCTTCGTCCAGGATTTCTCCTCCTCGAATGCAGCATGCACCAGATGCCGCTGAAAGAACGAACCCTTCATCTTGGCGACAGCAAAGTCCCAATCCGTGGTATATTCTCGGAAGAATGGCTTATACCCTAGGAGTCCGCCAATCCAGCGGCCGATGATTACACAGGTCCAGTATCCAACCTGCCGGCGAAAGGGCACCCATGCAGGAGCGGGTGTGTAGGCATCCCCGCCGTCTTGAATCTACTACTATGTCAGCCGATGATAAGGAAGATTTTGTGCGGGGGATAGATCATTACCGCGAGGAACTGGATCCAGTCGATCCCTCCGTCGTGCAACAACGCATCGTGCCAATAGCCGTACCAGTTTTCGAAGAAGACCCGATCGAGCTGGTAGTCGTTCCCGGAGTCTGACGCACTCAGGTAGACCGTCATGCTCTCGGGAGAATCCGGATGGATGAAAAAGTTATGCACACTGCCCGCCTTGACCGAGATTTCGCCATCTTCTGGAGTGATGCGGCGGACGACCCCGTCCACTGCAATCCCGAGCACTCCCTGTCCGACACGGAAGTACTCGGTTTGGAATTGGTGGAAATGCGGAGGCGGACCCTTTGGTCGATCGGCGCTATTGATGAGCTTGCGCAGATTTTCTGGGATCGAGCCTTCAATGGTGTGGCGGTATGTCTGACGGAAGAGAAAACAACGACCTGGTGGAGGTTCGAGGAACTCGGTGGTGAGAAGACCACCAAATCTGGCTATGTCAGCGATCAAAAGACCGGTAAAGGGAGCTAGTTACACACTTAACAATAGTCGACTGGCCGGCCGAGTAGTGGTAGGGAACAAATGGAGCCATTATGCTTGCGAATGTTGACCAACTGGTGAAAATCGGATTTTACAGAAGAACCACGAGTATTCAATCTCTTCTCCTAAAGAATATCCAGAAAACGTCGTGTGTCTCTACCGTCGCATATATACTAGCTATCGCATTCAATCAGTTCCCCATGGGCTGCCTGTTGAAGCATGTTGAAATGGCCTGATCCACACTTGGGAGTTTTTGAACGATGCACCTTCTCCTCCTCCGGAGTATCTGTACGGAGGACTCATGAGGTTCCTAAATGGTGAGATAGCTCATCTAGTACCTTTGAAGAAATCGTTCCCGGCACTCCTTTGGGCCAAAAATCAGCATGCATCCCTTTCAGGCCTAGGGCTGACAGAGGCTTGGCCCTTGGTGTACGACAGTCTGCAGCCGCCAATCCTCGATGTCTCAAGATCGCCATTACCATTACTTACGGACGGACGGGAAAAGAATTCTTGGCTCCTATCCATAGATCCCCGTTATCTGTCGCTGAACTTTATTCTTGCGAAACCTGGCCGCAATATGGCGGAAACACGACAATATCCCCGAATGGACGAATGGTTGAAGATAAAGATGTCCCCATTCGGAAACTAGACCACAATCCGCTATCTCTGTTGATGCTGCATATCGGCTTTTCCGAGACGATAATAAACCGCCGTGGAGGGGGGTGATGGGAGGATTTCCTGATGTTGTACTGGTGAGCAAAAGATATAAAGGGACATCAATAACCGATAGCTGTAGACATTTTCATGAATAAGCTTGACTTTGCTAAGGAGACTGAGTCTCCAAACTGCTACTGACAAACATGAATTCTGTTTCACCTTCTACATATCCCTCTGGGAAAACATCCCCAGCACCAGCTGAAACCCCTAAGACTGAATACAGTGAATATGTATGTGGCCCCTCCCAACGTTGTCATTTCTGCCCAAGCGTACCTCGGACTGACAGTGAATAGGAATTCTCCACCGACGTGGCCGTGGTGGGAATGGGCTGCCGTGTAGCGGGAGGCAACCACAGCCCCGAGCTTCTCTGGCAATCGCTCCTCAGTCAGAAAAGTGCAGTGAGTGAGATCCCACCGATGCGCTGGGAGCCTTACTATCGCCGGGATCCACGAAATGCAAAAGAGCTCAAGAAGACGACATCGCGTGGTTATTTCTTGGATCGCCTCGAGGACTTTGACTGTCAGTTCTTCGGCATCTCCCCTAAGGAGGCCGAGCAGATGGATCCCCAACAGCGAGTCTCGCTAGAGGTGGCCTCGGAAGCACTTGAGGATGCCGGCATTCCTGCCAAGAGCCTGTCTGGGAGCGACACGGCGGTCTTCTGGGGTGTGAACTCGGACGACTACTCCAAGCTAGTGCTGGAGGATCTGCCGAATGTCGAGGCCTGGATGGGCATAGGCACCGCGTATTGTGGCGTGCCCAATCGCATTTCTTATCACCTCAACCTGATGGGACCCAGCAGTGCCGTGGATGCGGCCTGTGCCTCGTCCCTCGTCGCCATCCATCATGGTGTTCAGGCCATCCGGTTGGGGGAATCAAAGGTGGCTATTGTTGGAGGCGTCAATGCCCTCTGTGGACCGGGACTGACCCGCGTCCTCGACAAAGCCGGGGCCATCTCGTCTGATGGATCTTGCAAGTCCTTCGATGATGACGCCCATGGGTACGCTAGAGGTGAAGGCGCCGGCGCCCTCGTACTCAAAAGTCTACACCGTGCATTGCTTGACCATGATAATGTCTTGGCCGTTATCAAGGGCAGTGCAGTAGCCCAGGATGGGAAGACGAACGGCATCATGGCCCCCAATGCCAAAGCGCAACAGTTAGCAGCGCGGACTGCTCTTACCGTTGCGGGTGTCGATCCTAGCACCGTGCGATATGTGGAAGCTCATGCCACGTCTACGCCCTTGGGCGACCCAACTGAAATATCAGCCATTGCAGGCGTCTACGGAACTGACCGCCACGCCGACGACCCGTGCTACATTGGGTCCGTCAAGCCGAATATTGGTCACCTGGAGGCTGGTGCAGGAGTTATGGGCTTTATAAAAGCAATCCTGACTATCCAAAAGGGCATCCTGCCGCCCCAGGCCAACTTGACAAAGCTCAATAGCCGAATTGACTGGGACAAGGCCGGCGTGAAGGTCGTTCAGGAGGCCACTCCGTGGCCCTCCTCAGACCCCATTCGTCGAGCAGGTGTTTGCTCGTATGGCTACGGAGGAACCGTTTCTCACGCAGTCATCGAGGAGTTCAGTCATGTCCTACAGCCAGATCCCCTGGATGATGGAGCAGTGACTGGACCAGGCCTCTTGTTATTGTCGGGGCCCCAAGAAAAACGGCTAGCCCTGCAGGCCAAAACGTTGCGCGAGTGGATGGCCGCTGAAGGAAAAGACCATAATCTGAGTGAAGTTCTCACGACTTTGGCTACGCGACGAGATCACCATGACTACCGAGCAGCGCTTGTAGTTGACGACCATCTTGATGCTACCCAAGTCCTACAAGCATTGGTCAATGGAGTCAGCCATCCTTTCACGACTCAGAGCCGTGTGTTGGGCACAGAAATCAGCAAGGACGTAGTCTGGGTATTTTCCGGGCACGGTGCGCAGTGGCCAGACATGGGCAAGCAACTGATTCACAATCCTGTGTTCTCCGCAGCCATCCAGCCACTCGATGAGCTGATCCAAGCTGAGATTGGCCTATCACCCATCGAGCTGCTCCGGACAGGCGATTTTGAGTCGTCTGATCGGGTTCAAATCCTGACCTATCTCATGCAAATCGGACTTAGTGCCGTGCTGCAGAGCAATGGCATCACTCCACAGGCCGTGATCGGCCACTCAGTGGGCGAAATTGCGGCCAGTGTTGTGGCCGGGGCTTTATCCCCAGCAGAGGGTGCGCTTATCGTGACTCGCAGAGCGTTATTATACCGACAGGTCATGGGCAAGGGCGGCATGATTCTTGTCAACCTTCCTAGTGGCGAGGCTGAACAGATATTGGGCTCCCGACAGGACCTGGTTGTGGCCATCGATTCATCGCCTTCTTCCTGCGTGGTGGCTGGAGACAAGGAGATAGTGGCCGAGGCAGTAGAAGCCTTCAAGGCACGAGGCGTGAAAACTTTCACCGTTAAGAGCGACATTGCCTTCCATAGTCCAACTCTGAATGGCCTCATGGATCCCCTGCGAGATGCGCTCGGACAGACTCTGGCCCCCACGGCTCCCACCATCAAGCTGTATTCTACCGCACTGGTCGATGCTCGCGGCCAGGACCTGCGCGACGTGGAATACTGGACCGGCAACATGGTCAACCGCGTGCGTCTCACCACGGCCATTCAGGCGGCCGTTGAGGACGGATATCGCCTCTTCCTGGAAGTCTCAGCCCATCCAGTGGTGTCTCACTCCATCAATGAGACGCTTATGGACGCAGGCATGGAGAATTTTGCGGTCATTCCGACTCTCCTTCGCCAAAAGCCGACTGAGAAGCATATCCTGCACAGTATCGCACAGCTTCATTGTCGCGGCGCAGAAGTGAACTGGGCGGCGCAGATGCCTGGACGCTGGGCCACCGGACTGCCTACGACGACCTGGATGCATAAGCCCATCTGGCGCAAGGTAGAGACGGCGCCCCTCAATACTGGCCTCACGCATGATGTCGAGAAGCACACGCTTCTAGGACAGCGTATTGCAGTGCCTGGAACCGACACATTCGTCTATACTACCCGGCTGGACAACGAAACGAAGCCGTTCCCCGGCAGCCATCCTCTGCACGGCACCGAGATCGTTCCGGCAGCTGGTCTTATTAATACCTTCTTGAAGGGCACCGGTGCCCAGGTACTCCAGAACGTGGTGCTCCGCGTTCCTGTCGCCATCAACGCGCCACGGTCCGTCCAGGTCGTGGTGCAACAGGATCAGGTCAAGGTCGTTTCCCGCCTGATTCCGAGCGAGCCTTCGCTGTTGGATGACGATGCCTCCTGGGTCACTCACACCACTGCATATTGGAACCGGAAGGTTCTGGGTCCAGTAGATCGCATCGACCTCGCCGCCGTCAACGCGCGACTGGTCACCAAGCTTCCAGACAACTTTTCAATTGACTACTTGGACAAAGTAGGTGTCTCAGCCATGGGATTCCCCTGGGCGGTAACAGAGCACTACCGCAATACCAAGGAGATGCTGGCGCGCGTTGATGTCAATCCTGCAGTCCTCGGGGATGCGCCCCTGCCCTGGGATTCTTCCTCCTGGGCCCCGATTCTCGACGCTGCCACCTCCATCGGCTCTACCGTCTTCCAAACAGCTGCACTGCGGATGCCGGCCCATATCGAGCGTGTGGAGATATTCACCTCGGAGGATCCGCCTAAGATCAGCTGGCTCTTCGTCAAGGAGGCCTCCGACGCAGTGCCCACCTCTCACGTTAGCGTGCTGAGCAAGACGGGTGAGGTCCTCGCAAAGTTCACGGCCATGCGTTTCTCTGAGATTGAAGGCACACCCGGCGTAAGTGGCAGCATGGAGAGTCTCGTGCATCAAATCGCCTGGCCACCGGCCACCCCGGCCGAAGAGCCTTTGCCCATCATGACGGTGATTATGATCTCGCCCGATGCTGCCACCTTGGCCAAGTATGCCGCGACTCTGCCGACTCAAATTCAATCTTTCCAGTTCTCCGGCACAGAGGACTTCTTCAGCAACGCTCTATCCCTCCCACTCGAGAAGGGAACCGTCGTGGCCTACATCCCCGGCGAGGTCGCCTCGCTGGCAGAGATTCCCGCTGCATCCGAGTCGTTCACTTGGAACCTGCTAGAACTTATCAAATTCATTGTCAATGGCTCACTGCCCATTAAAGTCTTCACACTCACTGCGAACGTGGGCGATGGTCAAACTGCCACTGCCCTGGCCCAATCCCCGTTGTTTGGACTGGCGCGGATCATCGCTAGTGAGCATCCCGATTTGGGATCCCTCATCGACATTGAAGAGCCCATAATCCCCCTCTCCACGATGAGATACATCCACGGCGCCGGCATCATCCGAATTAGCGATGGAATCGCCCGCACCTCGCGGTTCCGCAGCCTACCGCGCAGCAAGCTGCGCCCTGTCAGTGACGGTCCTCGCCTGCTTCCTCGCGCCGAGGGCACGTATCTCATCACTGGTGGTCTCGGTATACTCGGGCTCGAGGTGGCCGACTTCCTGGTCGAGAAAGGAGCCAGACGTCTACTGCTCATCTCGCGACGTGCTCTTCCGCCTCGCCGCAGTTGGGACCAGGTCAGCACGGATCTCCAGCCTGCCATTGCCAAGATCCGCCTCCTGGAGAGTCGCGGTGCCTCCGTCCATGTCCTCCCCCTAGACATCACCAAGTCGGATGCAGTGGAGCAGCTGTCAACGGCCCTAGACCGCCTCGCCCTCCCTGCAGTCCAGGGTGTCGTCCATGCCGCCGGTGTCCTGGATAACGAGCTGGTAATGCAAACCACACGCGACGCCTTCAACCGGGTTCTCGCGCCCAAAATTGCGGGTGCACTAGCCTTGCATGAAGTCTTCCCCCCGAAGAGTGTTGATTTCTTCATCATGTTTTCCTCTTGCGGAAACCTAGTCGGATTTACTGGCCAAGCCTCTTACGGCAGCGGCAACGCTTTCTTAGATACACTGGCTACGCACCGGGCGCGCCTGAGCGACTCGGCCGTGTCCTTCCAGTGGACGTCGTGGCGAGGCCTAGGTATGGGCGCCAGCACAGACTTCATTAATGCGGAATTGGAATCCAAGGGAATCACAGATATCACGCGCGATGAGGCTTTTTCTGCCTGGCAGCACCTCGCCAAGTATGATATGGACCACGGAGTCGTCTTGCGAAGTCGTGCCTTTGAGGACGGGGAGCCGGTGCCGGTGTCCATCCTCAATGATATTGCGGTGCGTCGCGTGGGCGCGTTGTCTGGCAACACGCCGGTTGTTGCGGGTTCTAATGGCAGTGATGCGATTCCTTCATCCGGACCGGAACTCAAGACGTACCTGGATGAGAAGATCCGGGGCTGTGTGGCCAAGGTGTTGCAGATGACAGCTGAGGATGTGGATTCCAAGGCAGCCCTCGCTGATCTAGGTGTAGACTCGGTCATGACGGTCACTTTGCGTCGCCAGCTGCAGCAGACGCTCAAGGTTGCGGTGCCTCCGACTTTGACGTGGAGTCACCCGACTGTCAGTCATCTGGTGGTGTGGTTTGCGGAGAAGATTGGCAATTAATCGATCTTAATTCAACGAGATTGCTGCTCAATGTTCGCGATATCGATCGATTGCTCTTCGTTGTCTTCATACTGTGGAATGCTTGTTCTGTGGATTTCTGAGAGTTTATGATTGTCTTGTCCATGAGAGATTTATGTTGGCATTGTTTATATTCCTTTTTCACTATGTCGAGAGCCTTAGTTATTAGACCACATGCAATATATCTTGTATGTTCTTCCTGATCTGTAATTCGTAGTACAACATAGCAAAAAAGGGGAAGAATGAGCTGACATGTGACTGTGAATTACTTGTCACGTGTCATAGGCACCCTCTGCCAGAGCGGTCAGTCCCGAGATCGATCGAGTGTTGACGTTTTCGATCCACCAAGTCAGATATCATTTGTCTATACGTCGAGATCATCCATAGCGCTGCGAAATTGTGTTAGTTCAAACCAGACAATACACAGCATAGGCAACCATTGCGCAAGAGAGTAATCCACTTCGGAGACGTGGAGCTTGCTTGCCAGTAACTACCGAAAAACAGTCTATTACGTCGCGTGAAAATCACCGTCACCAAAAGAGTTCGCATAACACTTGTAGAATCTAATCACTCTTACACCGTAGAGGGTATCAATTTTCAAAGAATAAACGGGCTTCACTATTCAATTCTAGTCTCTCTCTAAGAACCCTCGCCAATCAATTATCCACCGCAATCATCAACGCCAGCGCAAAGTTGGAAAACTCTTCCATGCTCCTGAAGTTCCATCCGCTGGAGCGAGCTAACCATCTGTATGCCACAGTGAAAATGCGTTGCATGACTTCCAGGTTTTGTCCAAGGAGTAACATGTCCTAAACCCGGATGCCATGCGGAATAGGCGCGAGTCGATGATACCATGAAACTTCCGCAAAGGCTGAGAATAGGTAAATACTATTGGCACAGTAAAATCACTAATGTAAGGCCTGTGTTTCCCCGTAAAGAAGAGAATATGATATATATCCCAGCTGCGACAGCCGCTTGCTTGTGAGGAGCTGCCGGGTCCAAGGTACCTCAGATACAGTGGGGATGGAGAGGAATCAATTTCCTTTTCTAGAGCCTTGGTAGTTTCTTCTGTTGCGGTACTCTTTGTGTCGATCCATTTAGGGTTAATCCTTCCAATCTGGACGGTGTCGAGCCATTTGCGGTCCCATCCAACGCGCGGAGTTCGTCCCCTTTTTCGTCAGACTGTTTCTCCATCGGATTGGTATGTCGGTTCTAGCTTCGAGGGCAAGAGAAGGTCACTTGTGGGGGTGGAGCTGTTTTTTGAATTGTTAGAGGCGTTTGCTGGCGGGCTTCATGGACACACTAACATCACTGTCTACCTGTAGCTTGGATTCCACAATCACCCTCTGAGTATCCGGATCATGCCGGCTCCGAATGATGAGATGGCGAAGTATGTTCGCTGCTTCTTACTAGTGGATCTCCCTTCTCCCATTTCTGCTTGCGAACCAAGCGCATGGTATGAGCTTTCCCAGCAATCGTCCACGTCACAGTCATCAATGGCTGATTTCAAAGATTTCTGCTTTTTGCTGGGTATCTCGAAATTCAAGGAATTGGAGAGAACCGAAGTCTGCTGTTGGGCGAATTTTTTTCAGTGCCCCAATCCCAGTGACCTTCTTATAATTACCTTTCTCGCATCTCCCTCCTAGAGAGAGCTTGCGAGAGAGCTTGCGACAGTAAAGTTCTTCGTCGACCAGCCATCTTGATAATCTTCATATAAGCACCAGCTCGTCATGTGTGTTCCCATCTCCCATATCCGCTGTTGAATCTGGTGACCGCTTCAAGTGGACTTAAAGTGGTGATAGAAATCCCTATTCACGGACCATGTTCCACTTTTCTAAATAATGTATCAGCAACACTCAGCAATAGAGACAAATCACGTAAATGAGAAAAGAATGAACTCACTAAAATTATATATAAGCCCACATGTCAGAAGCTCAACCTTCTCGCGTGTTGACTCTGGGTCATTTGGTTCAAGATTAACCAGCCATTTCCCCCTTTATCTCTTGGTGCATCCCCGACAGTGAGGCGTGGAAAAGGATAGGCATGTTGAGGCGGCAGCTTCTTGACATTATCTTCCATGCCTGTGATCTTCTCATTTTGATATCGTCTTCACAAAGCTTCAATTCCGCATCGCGTGTTTGGTCAGCGCCTTCGATAAGACGCGTACTTTACGAATCGTCCAAGTGACGTTCAAGCTTCATTTTCTCGCTGTCAGATCCTTAACCCATATATTCTGAATCGTCGGTAAATGGAGCCTGTGACTGTACAAGTAATAGAATACGGTCAGTAAATGAATGACAAGGCTATAGCAGCAGCTGAGCGACGAACCAGAACAGTTTCCGTACTTCTCCAAGAAGGCAAGGAACTCGAGTACGAAGCATTAGTAGAGCGGATTGGAATTCGGGACGGAGTGGACTGCCGCGGAGACGGTCGAAGTAGAAGACTGGCTACGGGGGATTCGGGAACAGCCTCGCGCGTAATATGCTGAGGTAGGCGCCGGGTACGGTTCCCGAAACGTAGAAGCATTGTCGCCGTAGGCTGTGTAGGCTGGATGCGGTCAAAGTTGAAGCTCTCCTCGAACAGGATACCCCGGAGAGTGCGGATACGCGAGACGGCCACATAGTGCAGTCCAGAGGATTGGGGTCTCTCGGAAATGTTAAGAACGGCCCGGTCCACCCTTACCCTGAGACTTGTGCACAGTGATCGCATAAGCTAGCATTACTGGAAACTGTGTACGAGTGCACTGTATTGTCCCAAGGAAAAATTCGCGGGTGGAACGGACAATCGAGACTGCTGAGGATATTTCTGGCCGAATCCCGCGACCAGTGTACTCGTCAAACCTGACGAGTATGGTGGATGGCCGCTCACGACGAGGATCTATGGTACCGGGAGGCCAAACTATATCCTCTCCGGTCCCAAACTACCCATTGAAAAGCTCGCGCTGCATCCAGAGATTATCCAGCAGCATTACACGACTACCAATGGATAGGTGGATGGTCGCGTAGAGATTGCCAGCCACGCTTCGTAGCCAGAGTACCCACGGCCCGATGCAGTTGCTGGTCATCAAGAGACGCAACCTCTTGAACGCAAGGCCACGTTCCTCGTATGTTGTAGCGACATTTCCGGAGCCCTGTGATCGAGCACCGTGTTTGCCCGATAGTTCGAGGGCAGGGTTTGGATCCGGTCTTCTGAATGCCGGGATAATTGTTGCCTTCTGAGGCATCCACCGAATGTCTCTCGATATCACCGTCGGTGGAAGCTGTGCACAATCCCCACCAAGGATTGCTTTTTTCAACCCCATTCAGATTGCGCATGATACCATTTAGCGCTTGTGAGTCGACCATTTGAGACGCTTCTTCGATAATCAGGTAAGATCGCCCTGCGCGTTTTGATAGTTAGAAGTGTGGCTTTGGTTAAGTTTTTCGCTGCGTGGTTGAGCCTTACCATTGAGGATATATAGATATACCTCTCGGTTATATTTCAGCTCCCTTTGCTTTCCACATCAGATGTCTGTCACGGGAGAAATTCCCCTCACGGATTATATATAGCACACTTCCGTACGGTATTTGCGAAATGGACAGTCTCGGCGTCAACATCGGAGACGCTCCAGAACCGCTCGGCATAGGCTGCGTGCACTTTTTTCGCCTCCCTGCCGAAGGGATCTGCCGTCGTCGCAGGCTCTCATTGCTGCACGCTGATGACGGGGTGAATCCTCCAGGTTGGTGGAAGTTCAGGTCGGTGTGCCAACCGACCGACGCGCTCAGTGACCATGACAAGGTTGGTATATTGCTGTTCTAGCTTGTCGGCGGGAGTGTTGTAGCCGCGTCTGATGCGTAGGAGGACCTTCTCGTCAATAATGTGGAGGAATTTGCACTAGCTATATTGCTGGGAGGGATTAGCTATTCCAGTTCAGATGGTATTTCATAGGCCTTGAACTCACCTGATTATATAGAGAAATATATGTAAGGGGTGAGATATGCCGATTTGGCATGGACATTAAGGTCCTCGTGAGAGAAGACTTGAGGGACTCTCCTCAGTCCATGGTCTTTTGGGAGAGGAGTGTGAGAGAAAGTAAGATGAGAGTTGGTAGAATAAGGGTAAGCTGAATGGGCAGGCCGATATTTGATGGACCAGTGATAATATAAGCCAAATTGATGGAGAAGGTTGACAAGGAATAGAAGTTGAGCATGATGCTGAGGATATTTATACAGAGCCGTTGAGATCAGATGAAGTATGTGTTTGACTGAAGGGGACAAACATTCAACATCAGGCTGTAGTCATCTTCCATTATGTCTGGTGAGCCATCATTTTCAGCCTAGCTGAAATCACCATATCTGAGAATGCTTTTGAAAGAGTGTTTGAAGCTGGCTGGCCATTGTCAGCGTAACGGGGATGAAGGTGAGATCAACCCACCAGCCCACGGATATTAGTCAATTTGGCCCCAATTGATGCATATCGCCTTGCTGTCTCACTTACTCCCTTTCTCACCCATCTAAATCCCACCTTACTACCCTCACCACCCTCACCACCTAATAATCAAAATGGCCTCCGGTCTAATCCTAAACCCATACCTCCTCCTCCATACTCTACCCTTAGCAACCAGCACGGGTACCCTCGCACACGCCATCCTAGAACTAACAACCAACACGGGCTTCCTCCAGCCCTCCCTCCAACCCACATCCGACAAAGTCCTACCAAAATGGTTCTCCCACGTCTTCAACCGCGCAGTATGGACCGTCCTGGCCCTGAACCTCGGCACAATAACCTCCGCGGCCGGCACGCTCTTCTTGAACCGCTACTACCCGCAAAAGCCGCTGCAGACGACGGCGTTCTACTGGGTGGGGCTAGCCGGCGCGGTCGGACATTTGGTCTTCGTGCCGTTTGTCGCCGGGCCGGTGAAGAGGATTGTGGATAACGTTGCTGTTAGAGAGGATTTGGGCGAGAGTGGGGTGGGCGCGTCGGCTGATATGCGACGATGGGTGGGGATTCACCGGATTCGGATGGTTGTTGCGGATTTGCCTGCTTGGATTGCTTTTTTGGGGGCTGTGTTGACATTGTGATGTTGATGTTGATGTTGATATTGTGACATGACATTGAGATTGAGATTCGGTATTAATATCTAGTATAAATGGGACGCTTTTTTCGCTCTGGAATCAAGACGCTAATGCAAATAATACAATATAAACGAAGATGGAGGTCTACAGACTGAAAATTCCACTCCGCTTCTTTCCATGCGGGTAAACAATCAGATCGGAGATGAACAGCCCGACGGAAATACCAATGGCCGTCTGGATCATGCCGTATCCCAGCGCGGTAAGCGAGCTATTAGATGCCGCACTATTAGTAGCATCACCCGCCGCAACAGCTTCGGCATACTGCAAGCCAGAGATAATCGACCCACTGGACGCCAGACCCGACGGGACGAGGGTGAATATACCCGGAATAATAGCAGCAGCCGCATGGCCGTGCCACACCCGACTATACAGATTAGCCAGAAGCCCAATGGTAAACGCGCCCACGGTATTAGCAACCTGGTTCGCGCCGAGCTTCTTCGTGCTAAAGTAATTCGCGATGTAGCCGCACATACCCATGAAGATAGTCACGGGTAACTGTCTCGGCTTGGACTGATTGATCAGCCCCGCGAAGAGACAGAACAGCGCGACGAAGGGGAAGTGCTGGATGTATTCGTTGCCCCAGACCTCCGGCAGATGCGAGCACGTCGCCTCGTTCGTGGCGTTCTTGTCCATCAGCCCGTAGATGGTCGTGCCGACGGTAACGCCGTACCCGAGGAAGAGCGAGTAGATAATCGTGAAGACGAGGCGGATCGAGCCCGCGTTCATCTGGTGCGACTGCAGCTCGAGACTGCTGCTTAACACGGCGAAGCCTGGGAGGATCATTGCTATGGAGGACTGCACCATGGCGGAGAAGCAGAAGACGCGCTCGCCGTTATGCTGGATGCTGCCGAACGCGCGCGAGATGAACGAGACGAGGATGGCGACGGTGACTTCGAGCACGTTGGAGTAGGTCGCTGAGATGGGCGCGACGACGTACTGCATGAAGCCTACTAGACAGCCGAGCATGAAGATGATAGGGAGGTCGATGGGGCGGGCGCTGAAGGAGTATGGGCCGACGGTGACGCTGGCTAAGCCGGTCAGGAGGATGAGGAGCCAGCGGTTATAGCGCGGTTTGCGCTGCATGATCTGGTCTAGCTCGTGGATGGCTTTTTCCACGCTGATGATGTCGTGGACGACGTGTTTGTAGACGTTGTGTACCTCCGCGAGACGGGAGAGGTCCAGCCCCTGCACTACGCGGACGATCTTTACCTCGGTGGTGCGAGTTACCTGGTCGTCGAAGGACATGAACATGCATCCGGGGATGTACATAAACTGCGCTTTGATGTCTAGTACGTTGGATGTCATCATCATGTACTCTTCCAGGCGGTGGGTTGGGGCGCCGTATCTCATTAGAGCGCGGCACAGCTGCATGATGTACTGCTGGCGGGCGAGAATGGCGGCAATGTGGACGGTGAGCTTGATGTTTTTCTTTCCCTTGCGGTTTTCCTTCTTTCGTTCGTTGGGAGTCGCGGGAGGGGGACCCGTGGCTCCGGGGAGCGCGACCCGGCACAAATCCATGGATGCATTGACGAGGGAGGAAGCATAGTTGTGGGAGGGTTTGTTGGGGTGGTTGTACCATTTCGACTTGTCTTTCTTTTCACCCGTCGTTGTGTCGGGTAATGCGATGGGTTCTGCGTCCGGTTTGGGTTCTGCGTCCGGGCTGGGTTCTGACGCTGTAGACATACTACTCAGCCGGGCTGCGTGGAGGTTGTCGGCGTATACACGGAGAAGATGTGATAAGAGCCCTCCGGGTGGACTGCCAGGTCCTGCCGACTCATCTGGAGTCCCTGGCGTTCCTGGCGTTGTCGACCCGGAACACGGTTCTTTGATATGGTGTGGACGCCGTAGCCTGGACTGGGACCCCATTTGTTCCATCAAGAGGCGCGCTTGTGAATCATAGTCTGTTCCCGGGAGGCGCGCTTCCTCATCAAGTGCCTGGCGGGCCTCGTATGCTCGGATATCGTCTAGTGTTTCATAGTAGTCTGGCAACATTGGCGAATTCAACCCATCCCCTTTTTCATGTGGTCGCCCGAGCATCTCGGCTATGATGACAGCGCGATTGCGAATCCGCCGGCCTGCTGCCCGACATCGCTGGTAAAGTGTTTCGGGCTCCGGGTGCGCCTCGTCTGGACGAAGGGTTTCTGCGTTGGAATCGACATTGTGATCACTGCCTTCAGCGCGGTCTGCCTCGGCAGTCCCCGCAGAAGGATGAGGAGGGATCGGCGGCGCCTTTTCCTGTGCGTCCGACATGGCACGACGCGGCGAATATGAATCCTCCCGAATATGGACGGAAGGCAATGACTCGTTTTCTAGGGAAATGTCAGAGGGCAAGTTCTCCTTTAGCAGACCCCCATAGCAAAGGATGCTAACTTGGCAGTCTAGTAACAGCCCCACAAACGGTTCGACCTCATATTTTAGAAAGAAGAAAGAAAGAAAATGAAATCGGGGAAAAGTGGGTTCCTTTTGTCTAAAATGAGGAGAAACCGGTTCGAGGCCCCACGTAGTGCCATTTATGCATTGCAGTTATGGCCATACGCCTGCACTATTAACGCGTAATATGGAGGATCTATTCGTGGCATGCCCTAACTAGAAGCAGACGATGGATACGTACTGGATTCTCATGGGCTGGTGGACTGACAGATCCATGTTTGACACGTCCGGAGTGACATCTGCCATTTGATATCTGGCAATTGGCATTAGATAGACGAAAATAAGCTTCCCAGCCACTAACCCGCGCTAACATGGCTAATCTCCTTTGGTTAGAACATACAGCACTAGTCGAATGATGCTGCACGAACTCCCTCGCGCTGATTTTCTTCCAATTGCCCCTTTCAACGCATAATTCTTCCCCGGTCTGGACTGCGCCTCTATCCTCGGTCGGCGGCATATTGTGGGCCTGGTTCCAGCAGGTTCCACTCGGTGAAGGATCTGTCCGTGGTGAGATTCTAATTGGGTCTAGAGGTGCTAAAATTGGCACGATTGAAGACATGCTAACTATATTGAATGGATTATGAGGTATGTATTGGGAGGCGTAGATGTAAGTAGTACTCCGTAGTCGGTGTAGTTATATATCATGCCTCGGTAGATAGGTCAACATACTATATCCGTTATGTCCGTAGATAATAATGACCTTGTGTTCGAATAGCTTCATTCTTCTTTGTATACATAGGGGAGCACGAGACTTGCGATGGAAGGTTACATAGTCCCTGATGTATTCGACTGTTTATATATACTGTATTCCTAATTGGTGACCTCAGTGCTACAACGTATCCGGCACTCCCGCCCCCACTCAGCAACATCACTTCAACTTCCTAGATCTCTATATACACAACCTACAAGATATAACCAATCCCTCCAACATCCACATCAACCACCAAGCTACCAAACCACCACCACCAAACCGCAATCCCAATGCCCAATCGCAACTCCAAATCAAAAACCAACCCCCTCATATCCCCCGCAACACCAATAGCTCTCCAACCCCACCACCTCCTCTCTCCCCCCGCAGACCTGCTAGCCAACACCGCAACAATCCTAACAATAACCCCAACTCAAGACACCAGCCCGCCCTCCACAGCCCACCCCAAAGCCCCCACCTCCGCCACCGCCTCCGCCTTCACCATCCACCGCATCCGCGCCCACGAAACCCCAGACAGCCCCAACCGCGCGGTCCTCCTCTACACCGTGTACGGCAAACCATGGCCAAACATGACGCGCACAGTCTGCGATGCCGAGGACGTGCCGGTGCTCGTCTTGCGACGCGCGTGGCTGCCGATCCGGAAATGGGTGGCCCGACTCCCTGATCAGCAGGCGGAATTAATGGTTGCTTCGACGCCGTGGGTGACGGATGGGCCCGGGTCGAGGATTGGGGTTGGTGGGGGGTTTAGGCTTGATGTGCGGTTTGTGAATGCGCTTGCGTCGGCGGTTAGGGAGAGGCGTGTAGGGAGTGGGAGTGGGAGTGGATTGGCGGTGTCGGATGACGAGCCGCCGCCTTATAGTGCTGTTTCTGGTGTTGGGGTTGGGGTTGGGGTTAGAGGTCAAGAAGGGAGTGGGGATGCGGGGAATGAGAAAGATATACATCCACATCCACATTCACGTCAAGATCCCGTTCAGGCTCCTGTAGCACCAACACTCCTTCCCTCCTACGCCTCCGTTCGCCGGAACTCGCCTAATTCCTTGCGCGATCTGCTCGATGCAATTGAGCCGCCGCAGGAGCCGGCGCCGGCTTCACCGTTTCTTTCGTCTGCGTCTACATCTGCGTCGCGGAATGCCAATTCCAGTCCCGGCAGCAGTAGCGGCAGCAGCAGAACCAGTCCCCGTCCTGAAGCTAATGCTTCGCCCGGCGCAAAAGTCGAGCTGAAAGTGAAGCAGCTGGCTGGGTCGGGTACGGGTGTCATGATGGGTAACCAGAAGATCATGCATATCTCGCGACACAATGTGATGGACTACAGTAGATCCAAAGTGAAGTTGAGGCCGAGGTGGGAGGTTGAGGTATCTGAGGGAGTTGATTTGTTATTGGTGAGTTCTTCTGTTTTAAGGACGATCCGGGTGTCCTATTGACATATACTAACATCCTAAAAGGCAGTGAATATCGTGCTGATTATGGCTGAGACTGTGTCGTCTCAAAACAGATGGAAGTAAGCATTGGGAGGGGTTGGTGTAATATAATAGAATTTGCATGATAGAGTTATGTAGGACTATGGCAGTTCCAATGGGTAGGAATTTGGATTCCAAGGATCATCTTGCCCAAGCGGCCTCTCTCTGTTCTCGCTCGCCAAACTTTTTAAACCATACATTCGTCAAGGGAACAGGTCTTCTTTTGTTCCGTATTAAGTATTTCGCTGACCCGGATAAGTCTTTCTCAAAAAGAAAAACAGAAATAATGACAAAACAGTTTCAAAACTAGCACTTTCGCACAGGAATGTCTAATTCCAACAGCTTACTGAAGCTTCGCCAAGCGCTTGGTCATGAAGTCGAAGAACGCGAACTGGCTGGGGTTGTTGCCGTACTCGTATACGAAGCGGCTGGCCAGGTGGCTGCCGAAGATGGCACGGAGGTAGTTCTCAGGGACCTGGGATTATTAGCGGAGGTTCAAATACAAGAAGAGAAGGAGGGGAGACATACACGTTCCAAGATGGTTTCCAGACCGATCTTCTCCAACAGACGACGCGGGAGGGCATCGCCAAGCACAGAACGACGGAGCCCAACATTGTCCCAGAGCTCGGTCATTTGGAGTTCCTCGTCAAGCTTGGTGATAGCCAAGCTGAGACGGTCACTAAGAACACTGCGCAGCACACCAGTCTGCGCATGTTCGCGCCAGATAGCCTCGAACTCGAGAGCGGCGTTCGACTGAATAATCTCCTGCACTTCGCGGACATAGGCCTTGTAGAAGTCAGGGACGGCGCCATCCTCGTCAATGCACATGTTATCGACGAACTCCTCGTCATTGAAAGACAGCGAGGCTAGGACTTCCAGGGAGGAAGATGTCACACCACCCTTGTTGGCGGAGGCATCCTTGTACAGGATGCAGCCGGCCTTCTCGAGGCGCAGCTTGGCATCCTGGGTGATGAACAGGTTGGCACCTTCGACGATGTAAGGAATGATGCATTTGTTGTCCTTGATGAGCTTGCCGACGGACGCCAGGTCGATAGACTCGGGGCGGCCACCGCAGGGCACGAACAAATCGAACTTCTCCTGCGTGCGCAAGTGGTAGGTGTTCCGGAAGATCATGCCGTTCTGCACAACCTCGCCGCTGGGGAGCTTGATGTTCTTCTCGTCGACCAGGACGCGGTAGCCCTCGGGAGACAACTTGGTCATGTTAAAGTGTGAGATCATCGCGCGCGCTTTGGCCAAGCGGATGAGCTCTTCGTGGTTCAGACCGTTCGGATCGTAGATCACACCGGATCCATCAACAATGGCTCCGTACTTCTCGTTGGACAGGAGGATCTCGTTGGATCCGAGATCGCCGTCCGGACCACCGGTCTGCAGCTTGAGCTGTGTTGCGGGGTCGATGTTCAGCTTGCGCTGAATTCCAACCACGTATTGGCGGACCGAGAGAGTGGTCATGCCGTAAACGTCGTGGGGAATACCGCCCAACTTAGGGCTCTTGCCAGTGAAGAACGACTTCCACCAGGGAGCGCCACGGCCACGAGCGTGTTCGGTGGCCCAGTCAACGAGCTCAGCGGTGTTCTCGTCGGGACCCATGAAGAGGATCTCGTCTTTGCCGTGTAGATCAACGATCGGATCCTTGATACCGGGGCTGACGGGGGGCAGGAGCAGATCGAGAATACTGTCAATATACTTCTCGAAGGCGACCCGCGCCTTGTCCTGGTGGTCAGCATCCAAGAGGATGACACCCTTGGCACCGCCTTCGGGAATATCCTTGTTCTTGCGCTGTTGGGTGTTGGCCAAGTTATAATTCTCATCGAACAACGAGCGAGCGTTGATGTTATATGCTTCTCCGTTTCGACTCTTGACGATACGGATACCGCCACGAGCGATGTCACGGAACCGCAGGTGGAAGCCGCGGAACTCGGAGCTAATGACCAGGAACATGCCGTAGAGGGGCTGGGGGTATTCATGCTCTGGCAGGAAGTCCGGCTTCAAGCGGAAGCTGAGAGCCACCTTGGTCGGGGTGAAGAAGTTGGTCTTGAGGATGGAGGAGTTGAACACGCGGAAGGAGGTCATAACCATCTCGTCGTGCTCGTTGTGGGCGGTGCCACGGATGAGCTGCTTCAGCTTGGCGCCATCGAGGACCTCGTCGACCTGCAGACGCAGGTAACTGAGGGTGGGGAGGAAGTCATCACCAGACTCCTGGGTCTGAACGTAGTGGGTGTTGGCGAAGTCGAGGTAGAGCTTGTGGATCAGCTCGGGGTATTTGTTGATAATTTCGAAGATGTAGTCAGCGGTGAATGTCTCCGTACGCAGACGCTTTTTGATCTTGGAGAGCAACTCTGCGTGAACACTGTTGTTGCTATCCAAAAGAGCGGCCAACGAAGTGTATTCTGAACCGAGACGGTTAAGGAACTGCTGTACGAACACCCACGCGCAGTGGGCGTAGATTGTCTCCTGCAAGCTCAGACGACCAGTGGCAAAGTGGCTCTGGAAGCGGTTCTGAGGGATACAGTATAAGAGTGAGACCTCCTTCATGATCTGGTGGATGGCAGCCTCAATGGGAGGGAATTTGGCGGAGATTTCGGACTTGTCCGAGGGACGCAGGTAGAGCGAAATCACAGTGATTCCGTTGGAGA